AATCCTGGGGGGACAGGGGACATGTCCCCCCCCCCCCCCCTTTTGAAGGGTGGGGAACACAATATCAAATGTACCCCCCCCCCCAGATTTTTGAACTCGTGTCTCATTTACAGGACCCTATTATGTACTACAATGTATTTTTTGCTTAGAAAATATTGGTTAAAGTGGTCAGAAATTGCCTCAGATAGCACCACAGAGCATTTAGAATCCAAAATTTTTCCACGCCTAAAGCTCAGAATTCTGGTAGCTGATTCAATGACTCCAACCTCGAAAACAATGTTCAAAACATTTTCTTATGCCTTTAGCTGAGAAAACCTCGAAAATTATGTTTAAAATATTATCTTTTGTGCTAAGATAATTATTGGTTAAAGTGGTAAGAAATTGCCTCAGATCACACCACAGAGCATCGAGAATCCAATTTTTCGGGTCCCTTAAGCGGGCCCCGAACCCCACGCCTATAGCTCAGAATACCGATAGCTGATTCAATGACTCCAACCTCGAAAACGATGTTCAAATAATTATCTTTTGCTAAGAAAATATTACTTAAAGCATGGAGGAAAGTGGTAAGAAATTGCTTCAGATCACACCACAGAACATCTAGAATCTATTTTTTTGGGGGGCCTTGAGAAGCGATTGACGCCCCTGCATGACGCCCCCATGAAATGTTCCAGCCCCCCAGCCCCCCCCCCCCCACCCCCCACTGAAAAATTCCTGGCTACGCCACTGTACGATCTTTAACCAAAGAAAGCTTTATGATAATAGTTCGGTAGGTTATACTTTTGAGATAAATGCATATTAGCAAACTATATTAACGTTGATGCGAAATGGTCTTCGTTTTGTAAGACTAGTGCAACCTTGTTTTTAAACCCTTTCAAGTATTTACAGGCTACCCTTGGCCGCCCTTAACTGCATGTGTTCCGCTAAACCCAAAATTTAACCCTCTCAAATATAACTCAATTTGAATATGTTCAATTAAATTATGCGTGAAAAATTCATTTTTTGGGGTGAAACAGTATAGCTCCGAAAATTCGTCACTGATACCACGGTTTTACACCTTTGCAAAAACAAATGGAAATTAATACAGTGGCTTGAAGCTTTACTGATGTGACGTTTACAAGTTAGTTCAAAGGTTACTGCGTATGGACGATGACAAAGGAATGTCTCATTTTAATATAGTTTGTCAGTTTACTTGAGTTTGGAAAACACGCGCGTTACTTTTCATGGGTCAGTTGAATGGCTTGTCTTTTGCGCCTCTTGGTCCCCCTCCAACCCCCGAATTTGGGAGAATGTAAAGAATGGTACTCTTGTTTTGTTTTGTTAGAAACCATTGGGTACCCCCTTCCAGAAAATGAGCTCCCAGTGCCCCCTACAAATAAGAATAATAATTTAATAACTTCATTTTACTCTGCGAAAACTGGTAACAATGCTCTCTTATATTTGCACAGCGTGCAAAATCACTTTTTTTCGAGTGAAGATATATTTCCAAACGGCTGAAGCTATAGGGACCAGACGTTTTAGAGTGAAATTCAGTCAATCGAATAAATCGAGTCTTCATTTTTGTCAGAGTATTTTTCAATCTCAAATAAGAGTTATTTTTGCTCTAAATCGTCTGGTTCCTGATTTCAGTCGTTGGAAGTAAGAGAGTGTGGTTAACGAACGGTGTTGGCTATAACGTTGGGCAGAAATAAAAACCGTCCCTTTGTGCCGACGCCTTCCCACCCACCCATGGGCGTCGCGAGGGGGGGGGGGGCAAGGGGGAGGGTACACTTGCCTGTCCCCCTTGGAAAACGAAAGAAAGAAAGACTTAAAAGGAAAAAGAGGTGCCAGGCCATATATAATTTGATGGGGGGAGGTAGGGTAAATGCTCCCCTGCTCACGCTCGGAAAAATGATAAATTGAGAATATAATGAAAAAGTTAAGGAATTTTGGGGGAAAATTTGCTTTGCCCCCCCCCCCCCGGAAAAAATCCTGGCTACGTCCCACATCCCCCACCCCAACCGTAAAAACAATTTTTTGATGCTTAAGATTGCATGCAGAGTTCAGCATCATGCCCTGGAGCCCCACCCACGCACCCCAGGTTAGGGCTGGCCTTTGACACCCTGGCCTCAATCCTATGCTTCTGCTATCTATATCGTACAACTCTTTGAACATTAAAAAAACAATGGAAAACGAAACTGCAGGCACTATTATTTTTCCAAGAACGTCAACCCCAACTTGCCTCCCAACATACGGGTCTTTTTTTTTCAAATAGTAAAAATAGCATATTTATTACTAAGCATCCTTATATTGCAGAAAATGCTTTCAGTAAAATAATTATATCGATAGGAAATATGCTGAGAGAGATTTTACGTTGGCCGACCTACCTGTGCGGAACTGTCGGGAACGCAACCTGCCGTACGAAAGTAGGCGGACGCCACCGTACCGGTAGGGACACAGATCCGGAAACTGTAAGCCAGGTGCGGATCAGAATCGTTTCGTCACTGAATAACTGACGCGGAATTCCTTGTGCAAGATCGACAAAATCAATGAGGATGAGTGGCTTTTATACAATGAATTTCCGACACCACGTGATTCAATACGACGTGTTTTGCGCACGCGTGCGCGCCGCACGTGGGGGCGGTTGGCATGAATGAAATTGATTGATCTGGGAGAGTTGCCAACTATTTCTTTTCTCTCTGATTCGTCTGAACTTTGAATTAATTAGCTGCGTAGGAGGGGCTTCGACCGGTGACATTAACTAACTTTTAAGTTGGTAAACCACGTGAATATAAGTCGGGAGTGCGCACCGTACTCATGAGACATGCGTGAAAAAAGAAAGAGACCCTACTTCGGGGATTCTTCTTGAAAGAGAAACAGTAATTAATTGTGCGCGTACAAATGAAGCGTTTGTTTTTGCTCCCGTGAGGGGGACATTGCAATTTAATCATGGAGGCCTATACAAGGCCTTAAAATTCTCACAGGAACGTGGACATAAAGGAGTGCAGGCGTCAAGGAACCGGCGCCCTTTCTCCTGGGACTATTTTGCAAGACTTCAGTGCAGACAAAATAATGATGAACCGATCTGACATTTTAGCCATTCAAAAATATGGCTAAACTGTTTGTTTCACGTGTTTGTCTTTTCTTGAACAAAAAATGAAGTTCAATCCAGGGCCGACATGCCGGGAGTTCTTTTCGGCAGGTGGGCTGTGTGCGGGTTCGGAGAGGGTAAAGCGTGGGATGACTTAAGGAGAAAATGCGTACGGGACAAACAACCAAGTGTCTCATCACAAACAAAGCGTCTGCTTTAATGCACATTTCATTATTTAGGGACTATTTTTAAAACGAGCTTTGGTGCAAGTTCAGGTAAACAGGGGTACTTCTCGTTGCAAGAAAACTAAGGAGGATGTGTGAGAGCAGTGGCGGATTCAGGATTTCCCACAGGGGGTTGTTGGATGTTCAAGTTTAAGATTTGACAGGTGGGGTTGGGGTGGGTTTGGAGTCAGATGTGGCGTTGCAGACAACTGATAAAAAGACCAAAAGCCTGAAGCAGGGAATGAATATTAGTAATGTCGAGTGATGATGTTACTCTGGGAACCTTAAGGCAATTGAATTGTTTGCATTTATCCCAAAAGTAACCTACCGAATTATTATCAAAAAGCTTACTGGGATTAAAGATAGTAGGGTACTAAAATCCCGTGAAGTTATTCCGTCTGGCTTGCTGTCATTGACAAGAAATCAAGAAATGTAGGTGATTTCCAACAATATTAGTCAATTGATTTTTGGAAGTACAGAAGATAGACGAACTTACGGAAGATGGATAGTGCCACTCAATGAATGTGAATATATTTTTTTGGTGCGTGTGAAAATGTTTTTTGTACAGCGGCCGCCACTTATTATGTGACGGCCGCCAGATAATAAGTGGCGGCCGCCACATAAAAAAAAGTGTGAATATATTACGAACTCGTGTTTCGTGATCAAAAGGTTGTGCGTGGTTCAAATTTTGTTCAGGTAAGGTTTTGAATATTCTTCTTTTAATTTTGATTGGTGTCATTATTGGAAACAACAAAAGACAAGGAAAGCTTAATGATCCCATATAAGGAAATTTGAGACTTTTTCCATTATGCAATAATAAACATTCATTTGGTCAGTCACAGAGAGGAGGTTCAGCAACTCATCAGCCACCCCGAACTTGGATCCATCCTTGGGGAAGTTTTCATTTGGACTGCGTATTGACCATCCGTAGCAAGGGTCTAAATTGCACGGGGGTACCTTGTGGGGCCCTCATTTTCGGGAGGGTCACATATAATAGACGCCTTGCCCCTGATGTCACATTGAGGGCAGGTCTTTGTTGTGATAGGCATGAGCAGACTCATTGTACTTTCATTGTCGAGGAATTTAAATAACCAAACCTGTACTCTGTGAGGGCGCACCGTGCAAGCGGTCAGTGGGTTTGGTAAGTTTTAGTTTACGCCTTTTTCTCGTTGTTTGCATGAGCATGTCAACAGCTGTCCCCCCCCCCCCCAAGTACCTGAACCCAACCACTGTAAAAAAAAAAAAAAAAAAAATTACATTATTTTCAATTTTTGGGAGTCTTCTTTTTGTTAAGGGGTGGGGTGGGGGTGGTTAGGATTGGTAGCTTTAAAGACGTCAGAAAATCACAGTCCATAACTTGGGCCAAGGTAGGTGGGGATTTTTTTTGGAGGGGGGGGGGGCAATTTTGTGTGTGTGTACTATCATAATGGAGGCAACTGCATGTACATGTAGTCAAGGGTAAAAGGACATTTATGGTTTTGGGTGTTTTTTTTTCCTTCTCATTTTCCCCCAACAAAATCAGGGTAGGGGCTGTCAGAATAGGGTAGGTAGGGAAACCGGAAGCAGATATATATATTTTTTTGGCCTTATCGCTATTCAAGGTGACAACAGTGAATTCGTGATTTGAATCACGATTTTTATTGTAAGCTCACTCTAATGGGTTTTCTGCATCCGTATGAAGTGAACACACAAAAATGGAAAAACACATCTTTATTTTTTTCTAATATTGATTTTTAATTCATGATCATCTTTATTTATATTACAATATTTGTTTTTAATTAGGAGCTTAGAATAATGAAGCTAAATACAGTAGTAACATTCATTAAAATAAATTGACTCGCGTTAAATTATTAAAATAAAACGATACAATGTACAAGATTTACAAGGAAATTAACAGGACTTGGATGCCAAAAAACCCAGGATTTTTTAAATTTCAAATTTGCATTGGCACTTAGAGCCTCAGTGTTTTCTTTCATAATGAAAAACACAAAGAAAGAGGACAGATCCTCAATGTCCTTCAATGGCTTAGAACTGTTACATCCCAACTAGAGCATCGGTCCCAACTTCAGCTGGGACCGTCCCGAGTTGAGTGTTTCAGTTGGAACACTTTAGCTGGGACGGTCCCAACTTAAGTTGCAAGCGTTCCAACTTAAGTTGGGCTGACGGTCTAGTTGGGCGCTAACAGAGCCAAAGTTTTCAATGTGGATGATTTGTTCGAAATTCGTCTATGGAGCGCCAAAGCATTTTTCAATCTACATGCACAATAGGGCTTTAGTGCAAACTTTGAAAAGGCTGTCTTTTCGTGGGCGTTCTGCACTTTGGTGAAATGAGAGTGAAAATGTTAAAGGCAGATATCTTTGGATTTTCTTCGATTTACTGGCGATGAAGAAAAACAAAAGATAGGCAGGATAATCTTTTGATGCCTTAAGCCCAATCGTAATTTTTGAAAGCAACAGAATTTATGCCTGCCAGCCATTACAAAGAGCATTTTCGTTCTTTTTAAAATTATTATTCAATAAACAATGAATGCACAAAATGGTCCACTCGATGACATGCTCTTCCAGTTGAAGTAATGCACTGCACTTATGGCTGCTGTGCATAAAGTCTATTGCATATTATCTATTTTTCATCTAGTACCACGGCAACAAAACAAAGAGCATGTCTGCCAAATAGATCCTGTTTTTGAAGTGTTACTTCATCGATGTACATGTACAAAAGACTTTAGTGAAATGGCTGGGCTCAATATGTGCTCAAATTGCTCATACAATTTTGTTCCCAGTTTGCACTAAGAAATAGGCCTCTCCCTCATTAAATACGGTATAACTTACATAAAACAACCAACAGTCGCTTTTACCCCTGTTGTATGAGTACTTATTAAAGGAATCAATCAATTATTGGAACAGAGTTCAGAAGGCAAAGTACCGAACTTGAAGTCTTGTGACACTTTGTCATCTTTATGCTACCGGAGTCAGACCATGGAACAGATGGCCGCAATATTAAAAGTAAAGAGTGAACGATAAGACAAGATTTTAATGTACTTCAAGATGAGAATGCCACTGTTGCCTTGTCTGTGTGGTACGCTCAAACTAAACATGTTATTAATGGTGCTGGGGGGGGGGGGGGCTAGAAAATGCTTATTTCATCAGCTATATTTTGCCTTGAATTTCAAGTAGGCATTGTGTCAAATTTGAATGGTACTTTACTGTCAAAACAAAAAGATCAAGAAAGTACAAACAATTCAATGCTTGGCAAATATACATATATATCTGAAAAAGGGATTACAATCCAAGGGTGGTTGAATTGATAATAAGTGATCATCACCATATTATCTCTCCTACTTGGAAATCTATGTAACATGTAAAATGAAGTAAAACCGTTCATATGGGTTATGAAGTGTTAAAGTGTATGTAACTGTCACTACACAAAACACTGTGAAAAGATACTGTGGAGGGTTTTGAAGCATCATCCATGCTCCGCAGAATATTACCTCAAAAGCATTTTGATGGGTGGGTACTAACTCTTAAGGCAATTACAGTGTTGTAGTCAAGACCATCACAAGACCAGCCACAAGTAACAGGGAACGAACAATGACAAAGGAATGCCTTTGTTGCAGTTCATTTGAATAGCTTGTGACTTGAATTGAGACTGGAGGTCTTGGGTTGGTCTTGTGTCTTGTGATGGTCTTGCTGGTCTCGACTACAACATTGAGGGCAAAAGTGGTTTTGCAAAACTTGAAAGGTTACGGAGTAGACATCAGGAGGGTTAACCACAACCTTTACCTTCCTACTCACAGTCAGATTAAAAAAAACGTGTTGAAGGAAAAATGAAAAACTGACTCGCGTTGGACTCGAACCTGCAATCTTTTTGATACCGCATCTGAGCACTACCACTGACCTATATTGCCCCTTGTTGATGAAGCTCTCAATTTGTCAATGCACTGCAACAACCGTGGTTTTCAATTACAGATTTGTACATGTATACTGTGGTTGATGCCAACAGAAAAGTTGATTTAGGATGACATTTCAGTACAAGCCCACTGTGTCTCCCTGGATTTCTTGTATCTCCAATAGCTAATTGAGAAGCCAAACTTGTACATGTACTTACAAAAGCTGCCTACGCCTTCAACTATGGTTAATTTGTACGGGGCTCTCGTGGGACATTTCGTTGCTCAGATGTCTCTGTGCTGACCATTCAAACAGTGCGATGTCACTGACAATGAACCTAGGCCTCCAATGTTATGTTAAAAATGAGAGACGAGATTGAACCGACATGCAATGAAGAAACGCACGATTGTGGGAAGTGGTTGGCAGCCTATGGACTCAAAAAACCACAATAGGGTTGGCTTTCATATTGAAAAGCTGACATTTCAACGGATCAAATATGGCAAGGTTAATAACAAGTTAGGAAATAAAAGGTTACAAGGTGTAACGTGAGCCTTTCTATTATACCTGCTTGCCATATAAAAAAAAAACCTCGACTGCAGTAATTTCAAATTGAATCGCAGCAAAAATCCCCTCAACATTTTGATGGCACAGTGTGAATATATGAGTTGCAGCTTTACATTTTTAAAGATATTTTTAGATATTTGGGACAGAAACCCAAAGTTGGAAAATAACAGCGCAAGACAAAATGATATTTGAAGGCAAAGGAGAACAGCGCAGCGGGTACATTACCGTGTGACATTTATGAACCAATTATAGTTTCAAGTTTCACAAAAATTCAGCCGGGTGCCTGGTTGATGACCTTTTGCAGAGGTCAACTTGCTAAACTTCAAGCCACTATAAACAAAAGTAGTACACCACGAAATGACAACTTCAGTTTTCGCATTGCAATGCAGATTGTAACATTCTGTTTTTTTTATGGCAATTTGTAGCACATGCAAATTAACCACTGAATTTGGCTGGGTTTTTTTCCCCCACTAGGGCTCCACTGTATACAAAGTTGTGCAAACAAACACCGTATTTTGATCTGGTCAACGGCCATTTTGGTCTTGTTCCCTAGTGGGACTGTGGAGTTGTCTAGCGGGTGGGTATGTATGTCTTAAGCACCAGTCTAATTTGTGCCTGACTCGGATTCTGAACCACATTTAGAGTTTGAACCAATATGGTTCGTGATTTCAACAATGACAGAACTAAGATAATTAAAACTAGGTAGGTGCATTCTTGGGTTTGCGAGGCAGAAAATGGTGTGATCTGAAAATAAAAACGCCCTATCAAATACATACGCAGCCATAAGCAAAAGTGGTTTTGAATAATCAAACCAAAAAAAGTTAACCACCCACCAAATTGTTAGATAATACTTAATAATCAATGCAGGTCTACCCTCTACCCTAAAAAGTGCTTTTGATGGATAAAAGGCTATATAAGTGGGCGTTGCCATGAATGGATGACCCAATTAATATTGTTGTAAAAAAACAATCGTTGGACAAATAGACCACTAAATATACCTGAACTATTGGCTATTGAATATGTCTGAACCTCCCTGGAAGTTACGGCTGCATGTACCGTGCCCTTAAAATGCACCAATGTACTGAGAGTGAACTCATACTTTGACAGACCGGGATACAATTAAAATTTCTTCAGATGAGAAGGCAATTTGTATCTCATTACAAGGGTCAGTGTGGACCGCAAGAGGTCTTCGGTTGTCAACAACAGGTGCGGAGACGACACGTGGGTGTGAGAGTGAAATATCAGCAATTATGGGCTCTGGACTCCTACTGTCTTGATATTCTCTGCGGTTAGATATTGGCTTCAATAGACTCCTGAAGTGACTGTAACGCAAGACGGACGGGAAACAACGGTCAGCGTCTTATATTACACGATGTGTTTTGCTGGCCGAACGCAACCATTGATGGGACTTGCTAATCAATCTTCAAATTGGTGGAAATGTGCAGGGACAAAAAGAGAAGAGGGTTGGTGTCGATGAGGCGTCGGAGTGAGGTGACATTTGGGGCTGCTCAGATTTGGATTTGGGTGAAAAATACCAGCACAGCAATGAGTCTCCTGTAACTCAGTGTAACTACTCAAAATGTGAGTAGCTCAAAAAGAAGAAGAAGAAAATCAGTGCCCCTTGAACAAAGACATTAACAAAATCGGGAACTGCCAACACAGGGCTGGATAGCTCAGTTGATAGAGCACCGGAGCGGTAATCCGGAGGTCGCAAGTTCAAACCCTGTCCCAGTCAATACTTTTTAAAAAATGTTTAAAAGGAAATCAGATTAGAAACTTCTGAATCAAAATCAAACTGCAGCAAAGCTTTATAATTTCAGGTTTTTTAAAAGTCAACTTTGTTGGCATTATTGGCTTGCAACCAAAATCCTCAAAAATTTGCCAAAGTGAAAAAAAACCCCGAAATGGTCTGCATTTTTGGAGAGGCATCAAGCTCTATGTTATGAAATTGTGGGTGGGCTGTACCCTCCTCAATCCTGCAAAAGCGTAAAAAAAACTCCCACTTCCCAGTAGATTTCAGCGGATCTGTGAGTTATGCTTAATACAGCCTGCCAAAGCAGGGTGGTTGTAGGGAGTGGGTGGGTGGGGGTGGATGGGTGGGTTCAATTTACATGTACTTTAATCACCATACCGGTACATGGGCTCAATGTAGGACAACGGCACTTTGTGGCCGACCAATGGTAGCCCGGTAAGGACACACTGGGTTAATTGATGCATATGAATGATATGGATGGTGCATTCAGTAAGATCCTTGCTTTCACATTGAGGAATGCACCTTCGTACGGTTGCAGAAATACTGTAACAACAAGGGCCCATACATGTAAATGACACTAATGTTCTGAAGTCACACTGTTCTGAAGTCATACTGATGAAGGTATAGGTATGTTCATAGTCCGTATCAAATTATCAAATTTCATCTTGTTTTGAATGCATGGAGTAGCAAATGTACAAAATGTGCATGTAACATTTTTCATAGGGATATTCAAATAGTCAATAATTTAATCTATTATGGAAACGTTCAGATTCAACAGTAAATTAGTCCCCACTTACGCATGTATATAAGATTATTTCCTCATCTGGAAATGTGATAGGCAAACTGGAAAACACCACCCTAAAACTTTCCAAACCTGGCCCCTTCTAACTGCAATTTGGACGTTAACAGTAAAAATTTCACTTACAAAGAATCAGAAGCGGATACAACAAGCATAAAGTAAAAAAGACAAGACAAATTTCAACATTCAACCTATAAACTTTGACCACACCCTCTGCTCTGTAAGTAATACAAGGCATTGAGACACCATTACAATTTTTATTAAACAGAAAAATAAAAGGGCAAACAGTATTTCATTTGAATAAAATTTTCAGATGGGGTTGTGGGTCTTAGCTTTTTGTGAGGGAGACGAGGAGAGTTGCATCAGGCCACGAATACCACGAATATGACGAAGAAGACGATGAGAACGATGAACACCTTGACCATGAGCCATCTGTTGGACGTGACGGATTGGAAATACTTGAGGATCTCGCCGTGGGCTGCCTCGACGTTCATCACTGTGTCTTCGACGTTGTTGTCGATCCTGTTCAAAAGTGAAAACAAATAAATATTCAAAATAAATAACCTTTTATTGACTGCGCTCAACCTAGGGCATATTCGCCAAAGTTTGCTGCAGAGATTCAATTGAGATATCGCAAGCCCTTACAATGAACAAAAAAAATACAATGTAAACAAATGTTTATTTAATCACCTCAATTTTTCAATATTTGTGTGTGTGTGTGGGGGGGGGGGGGTCAAATTGTAAGGCACAGGTACGATAAATTTATCACAACTCATCGCAAGTTAATTTTTGTTCACTTGTTCTAGTGTCAAGTCAATTGAGACTTTCAATTTTGGATGCAACAATATTGGAGTGGGTGGGGCAGGATGGGTTTCTCTATCTTTCTTGCAGTTACAAATTAAATGTCAGTACTTCTCAGTGAATAAAACTGAATGCATAGTCAGTATAAAAATACTTGCAGTATTTCAGAGTTCACAGTGAAATTTAATATCAGAAGATGGCATTTTCACAGCTGTACATGTGACATAAAAAAAATAGCTGTTATCCAAATTAAAATCTGCCAGTCTTTTTTTAAAAGTAAATTTAAGATGATAAGATGGATTTTTGCGTCTGGGTGATATAAATCAAATTAGGTTTTGCCCTTCACCGACGTTTTTTTTACACTGTATACTCAGTGTGTTACCTCCCGAGTGAAAGTATACAGTGATAAAAAATGTTAGTGAAGGGCAAAACCTAATTTGATTTATATCACCCCGACGCAAAAATCCATTTTATAATAGTTTATGCGGTACCCGCTGCTATGTACATCAGATTCGAACCGGCCAACCGATCCCGTTAGCTCAGTGGTCGAGTGGTAAGACATCTGCACTAGAAAGCAGGAGGTCGTGGGTTGGAGTCCCACCCGAGTGAATTTGTCCAACTTTTACTCGGGAGGTAACACACTGAGTATACAGTGTTAAAAAACGTTGGTGAAGGGCAAAACCTAATTTGATTTAAATTTAAGATGAACAGAAAAAATTGTTGTTATCAGTTTTCAGATTGTGATACGGAATAATCATCTTAAGTTCTATGTTTATTAAATCTTTTCCTCTTGGTTTAACTCCATCACAGAAGAAATAATTTGGCAAGATACATGCATGCAGATGTTCGTACTGTACATCTACAGTTTGTCAAGTTCAGGAGTTTGATGGCCATACAATGTATTTAATAAAGAATATTATACTTGTAGCTGCAAAAACATCTGTAAGTTGTTTTTCTAACCTGGCCAAAGAAAATATTGTCGAGCCGTTCAACTTCAAAACACAGGCCTTGTGGTTTTCAAGGGCAGAATTTATACGCATTCCCAAGACAGTGAGGATACTTATTGAAGACACTTGAATTTTTGAATTGTAGATTTATACATGATATGTCCTCCTACATGTAGAACAAACAGGCAGCAATTTCACGTCCAGGCAGCACTTGCGACAGTTTTGTTATTCATTAAAAAAAAAAAGGCAAACATCAAAAAGGTCAATGATCGGCGATTCTTATTTGTTCAACATTTAAAAATGACAAACAACTGGCTAGCTGTGAATTGGGATTACAGCCCACCCCCCCTAAAAAAAATGAATACTGTGTATTACATGTGGAGCTGGGCTTGGATTTCTATGTCGGAGATTGAAAGGTGACGTGACTCATGGTTAATCACTGGAAACAAGTGGTTTTCTATTTTGAATTTATAGGAGAGACCTGCTCAAGGGGGGTGGGGGGGGGGGGAGAAAACAGCATTTTATGGTAGTGCACCAAGGGAGACCCAAATTTGTCTCCAATTATTCAGGGTGGCGACTGGCCCTTTCCTCACCTTGCACCGCTGTGACCTGGGTTCGACTCCTGCCCTGGTCCACATGTGGATTGGGCTTTTAGTCTCTACCTGATTCTGTGGGTTTTCCCCCAGAATATTCCTCTGGGGTTTTCCTCCCACCTCTACGACTGCAATTTCCCCTCACTGTCTTCTCTCTACAGGTTTCTTCAGGCTTGCGAGCTACAGAGCCTAGGACGCTTTATGAGGAATCCTTGGTTTCATTACCAGAAATAATTAAAAACAAATAATTAAAATAAGGAGAAGTGATTTGTGGTTCTTACCGTTGGACCTGTTCTTCTTGTTCTTTGACCATATGAGCCAGCTGTTGGAATATCCCGCTCAGCTCCACGATGGTGCTCTCGATACTGTGCATTGTCTCCTCCCTGCTCTTGATGTAATTGTCTTGTTCCTCCACCATGGCCATCTGTTGGACGTTGCTGCGGTGCCGTGGACCCTCCATGTCGATGGAGAAGTCGCCTTTTTGCTCCTCCTGTAGCAGGACTGAACCTCCTGGGAGAACAAAGCAATAAAAGTAGCAACATTCAATGCTGGGTTTTGCCCTTTCACCAATGTAATTTCTTAACACTTAATACTCTAGTCTTGATCAAGGGCTTGTGAGAAACATTTCACAACCTTTTCTGGTTGGGACTCGAACCCATGGCCTTCCATCCTTCCTTCCTTCCTTCCTTCAAAGTGCAGCCTCATATGTATGAGGATAAACGCACTTGCCAGAAACACCGGGGTGAACCCCTTCTCTTAGTGATAAGTGTTACTGGGTTCTTTAACGTGCATTATAGAACACACAGGACCTCCAGCTTTACGTCCCATCCGAAGGACGAAGCAATAATGGTTAAGTGCCTTGCTTAAGGGCACAAGTGTCTAGACCCGGGCTCGAACCCACGCCACTGTTGCCTCTGAAACACCAGAGCATTAGTCCGGTGCTCTTAACCATAAAGCCATGACACTCCACTGGCCTCCTGCAAACTAGTGCAGACCACCAAGCTGGTGAGTGTCAGCTGGCTCGTTTGAATCTGATCAAGGGTAGCAGTGGGTACCACAACCAATTAATATTTGTGTGATGGAATATTTGTATCAGCCCTTTCACCAATGTGAACTCAGTGTTGACTGAGGACATGGGTGAAACATTTCACAAGCTTATTCAGTTGGTACCCATGACCTCCTGCTTACTAGTGCAGACGTTTTACCACTCCAACATAAAGATATAGATTTTTACAATTTTCAATGACATACATTGTAATTGTGAAGTGAAAAAAAGAGGAAATCAGCTTATCAAAGGAAAATTTGCATGCCTGAAAATGTTAGGTCAACTTTGCCTGAGCATTTTTATCTACTTTCAATCTCAAATCTGGCCACTGAGGAAAAACAGAAGTAAATGTTAAGTTGTACATTATGTAAGTTGCGTACACGTTTATCTGCAACAAGCCCATTGTATCGGATATTTAATACGGGACGCTAAAAAAACTTTCACTAAATCTTCCCGCGATGAAGTTTTTAAGTTGTAAAAAATACTTCCCTAGAGGTAGATTCCAGAAAAGTTGTTCAGAATCAAGCAACCAATACCCATTTGCAAAGGGTCTATTGCAGATAAACTTGTCAACAACCTATCCTGGATATTTTTATGACATGAGCCCTAAGCTGGCTCTCTGGAAAGAGCTTCCACTGCCTCTGACAGCAGAGCCAAGGCCTGAAAGCTCAACTAAGCCCTACTCTCTTTGGGAAAGAACACGCATGCAACTGGGAATTTAGAAAAAACGAGGAAATTCCAAACCACACAAGATTTCGTACAGTTTTTTCAATTTGTAATGGCATTCATGAGAAGTAAAATACGAGGAAATCAGTGGATCCGAAGAAAAGTTGCACGCCTGAAAGAAACAGCTGAATCCCCATTTAATCTCAAGGAATTGAGCTGCTAATCAATTGATCCTGGGCCATTTTACCTGAGGCACTGATGGCAGACGGCGGAAGACTTGAGGCGATAGGACCCTGCGAGAATTGTTCTCTTCTGTCCTTCTGATCTTTCAGGTTCTAAAACAAAAAAGGAAAAAACTTATGAAGTGTTTTTTTAGGTTGTGTCTTTGTGTGTCTGATTGTTGTCCATTTTGTCCTTTGTCATTGTCTCTGTTTGTTTCTCGGTCATGTCCACTTGTCTGTCGATAGGTTAGGGTACAAAAGCATGACGCTTCACCATATACCTAAATGTTGTCGTAAATTTGTTTTAGTATTGATCCATGTACATTATTATACACCACTACATAATTCATTGCATTTTGCTCTGTATAATAAGTTTACACGACATTGTAACATTTTGCAACATTGAAATAAATGTTTCTACTACAAAAAAAACCCATTGATATGTATAATATTTATCTTTTTACCCCACCACTACGTTTCTTTAAATTGCACACAAAAAACCCTCATGCATCATCTGCTTTAATTGCTACCCGGATAACATAGAATGTTTAATGCAATGCGCAATATGGATACATTGGCATATGTTTGTTGCTTTCCACAAGATTGCTTTTTATTCATCACATAGTGTGCACTGTGCTTAATAATGCATGAGGGACACATACATTTTCGGCCTTACAAAAAACAGGAAAACACCAGAAAAAGTCTGCAGTAGCAATACGTAACAGGAATCTCTTTTGTGAGTCTGTACATACACTTTACATACACGTACATGAATCAACTCAGAAATATTGGGTGGGCATGGGTGTCGCGTGATCTGATACACCGTGCCCTCTGGAGACATGCACACAATAGGGAACAAAAGATTGTATACTTCTCCACAGGGCAATTTCTATAGATGAATACGTCTCCACAAGGTTATCATGAAATAGATATATGGATTTTACTCAAAAACTAGGAATTTCCAAGGTACAGTATGTTGATCTGTCGCAAATGGAAGAGTTTTAGAAAAGGGATATTAAGTCCGAATTTCAGCCAAGGAAATTAATTCTGGTAAAAATAAGATCATTTGAAACTACACTTTCAAACGCGAAAACTTTACTACACGAGAACAAAAAAAATGTCTCCACAAGGATACAAATTCCAGTATGTGTGTGTAGGTAAGTTTGTTTCTGCATTTAATAGGGGACGCTGAACAGTAGGTCCCCAATTATTCCCGAAGGTCCCCTATTTGGTGATGTGTACAAAACATACATGTATGGGAGGTCTTCCTAAAAAGTTACAAACAATAGAGGGACAATAGGGGGTCCCTGATTGCAGGCAAATACACACCTGTACGGGTGGGCGGAGTAAGGGGTAAGGGGGGGGGGAGGCTAAATATTACCTGTGTTCTGACTTCCAGTACTGTCTTGAAGTCATTGGACATGTTGGCCAGCTTGGACTGCAGGGCCAACACCACTGTATTGGAATGTGTTTGCATATGCCGGCCATTCTGGGAATTTCGTTGTCGTACAACCTTTCAGAGAAAAACAAATAAAAGAGTTATTTGCAACAAATTAAGATTTTACGTAAATTCGCAATTATATGCTGCAATCTTTATATTCATGTACATGTACCTTACTTTCAATTGAAAATATGTGCGCTTAAATGTACAAACAACTGTTATTCATGTACAGCAACTGTCAAAACACAAATCTCATATGCTGCACGCTCAACCTTGCTCTAAAATCAATTCTTTGTTCAACAATGTAATAATATCAGTAGCCTTCAAGTTCAATATGGTGACTGGGTATATGTGTACGTGTACATGTTGCAGTGCATACTGTTATGGGGCAATTCCATGCAAACGTAGACACAGCTGAAAAGTGGAAAATGTATGAAATCTTCAACACTGCAAGCACCGCAACCTCAAGTGTGGTATCAAATTAAAAGAGTGATCATTTGCGTGATGTGGCAGTGAGATGGAATATGGCTAAGTGTACTTGTTTGTCAAAACGTTTTGGCCAAAATATTGGCTAAAAATATGCATTTTAGAAAGTAATTTTGGCACCTGGTTTTTACATGCAAAATGCAAGTTTTATTGCGAGTTTTGTTTTTCAGGGAGAGAAAAAAGGTTCTTATCTTGTGCCAAATTTTTTTTTTGACAACTAGTTTCTTAATTTTTTTTTTACTTGTACCAAAAATGGGGGAGGGGGAAAACTGTAACATTAGTCACAGTCAGTCACAGAGTCTCATTTGCATAGTTTCTTAATTCTAACATAAAGTTAACATCTCTTCACACGTACATAATGTATACACTGAGCTACTGGCTGTGATGAATAAATGTAATTATATCCACTGAACAATTAACTTGAAGAGATTTTTTTCCGGGAAATGCAAAAATTACTATCCTTCTTTAAGTTCCATCATTTGTCTGTGAGCCAACTCTTCCCTCGCATTTATAACTCAAATTTGTAAAGCTCTTCAGCAAACACCGAGTCTTTTCATAACAGTACATAAAATAACATATCATGCATTTCAGTTGAAATTCCCAAAATATGACAATTTGTGAATAGTGGGCATTCCAATGAAAACCTGGTTCACAATATGCACTTTCAGATTTTTTTTCCCTTTTGGAAAGGGGTTCTGAAAAAAGGCAAATAAGCACTGAGATATTTATAAAATTCAGGTGCAGTTCAGCTGAAAAGTGATACCCCAACAAGCCTGGCCAATTTCATGGAAACAGTTCCGGTGTTTGTTATACAAAGGAAGTCTTAAGCCACGAACCGGTTGTGATGGAAGAAAGGAAATGAAACGGAAATCTTCCTGTTATCTTGTGCATTGGAGATTTTTAGAAAGGATCGAGTGTTTTGTGCGCCACAATTGCTGAGTTTTTGGGCCGGATATATGTGAAGAGCAGAGCTTCAAATGAGACTTGGTCAAATGCAATTGGGTTGTGGATTGACGTGAACTACTTTTGTATTGTTGTGAGAATACGGTTACATCTACTGGAATACTTTGATTACCTAGGCACATGTATACTAATACATTTTTATTAGTTTATTTTCCACTAAATTTCTTAACAAATAGCATCCTAAACAGTAATTAAATGGAGTGAACTGTTTCAAGATGCATTCCCTGTGCTCTTTTTGATTTTCATCCTGAAAAACGGATTCCTCTTCTAAATTGCTCGTTTTTCTAGCAATAGATATGTGTATACAAAAGTTATTCAATGTTAAATGAGACACTGACCGAAAAAAAATTTCCACACTCATTTAATTATTACTTTTACAAATTTTCAATTTATTACTTTCAGCCTAATAATAATTTTGTTGTCATGGGGAAGGCTGGCTCCCACCCCACAACAATCATAACCGATAGTATACAGACTGGGAACCAGCCTGCTTGAAAGGCGGCTCTTTTTGTGGCCAAAACAAATGGCTGCAGACACCCAAAAAATAAAGTGAGGACTTTTTGGGTTGGATTAAAACACAAGAGTCGCAAATTTATTAAGAGAAAAAAATTTAACTTGTTGAAGAGCACGGGGAAAGGAGCGTTATTTCAGAACAAGGTAAAAATAATGATTTTCTCCTGACCTGTTGAAGTTGTCCAATTTGTTTGTTGAGACTGTTGATATCCTGTTTGATGATATACGTCAACTCCTGGATCTCCACTGATTTGTCGTCAAATAGAGATCTCCTCTTCGCCACTGTTGGAATAGTATTAAGAAAGTAGGCATTTTAAGCACAGACAGGTATTGTACATACATGTATATGTCATCACTGTTTAACCCTTACTCCCTAGACATTTTTTCTAGGATGTACATGTACAATGTAGCCTCAATCCTACAAAATCCTCAAATTGGCCTCATGGAAAAATAGCTTGTATAGCCTCCATCCTACAAATTCCTCCATTATTTCTTGAATATGGTCCGTGGAGGGTGACCACTGCCTGAATCCTGCAAAATCTTGCAGCAGTGACTGTCAATATGTTGAGGCTTGGCCAGTGACATCCTGGAGCAGTACCAAGGATTTCAAGCATAATCCAGGCCTATATTTATGCATGGCTGAGCAAAAACAACACAAGGTCCGGCCCAAGACCTTGACAAAGTGCATCCTACGAAATCAGTAACGCACTTTGGCCATGTAAGTAACTTCAATCCTCCAAATTCCTCCACTTTGGCAAAGAGGATTTTGAAGGATTCAGGGCAGTTAGGGTTAAATTAATGGAAAATATCATAAAGGTCTCTTTATTACGAGACTGTTAACAAACAAAAATGCTTCCAACGATTCATACCACCACCATACACTTTGTTTGGAAGAGTTTCCCCCCAAAAAATATCTAGTGTTTGTCTATTCTTACGTCATTAAAAATCATGTGTGGGCATATTAGGCCAAAAAAAAAAAATATTCTGTCTCTGGTCAGACCAAAGTTCCGGAATTGACGTGGCCACGCGGCTTTTTTTTTTTTTTTTTCAAGCTTGGATTGTACAGACAAGGTGGGGTACTATTTTGCTTTTTTGGTGTCCTCATGTACATTGGTGTCCACCATAATTTGCCTTGGTGCTTTCGATCATTTACCTTGGTGCAATTTCCCATTCCTTGGTGCTCTTTGGTAAAAAGAATTTAGGAGGTGCGGAAATAGAGGGCGCTGTTGGAGCTACCGTGGAACACTTTGGGGAAAAAAAAAGATCGACGCGCGTGATTAAAATCGACGCGCGCGCTGACCAGAGACCGACTTATTTTTTTTTTGGCCTTATTATCCTACTGGTACAAGCACGAGCCTAACATTGAGTAATGTGTAGTGTGTTTGTGTCCCACTCGCCATTTTCCGTGTTCCAAATTTATCTTCAAGCAAGCTTGAGGCACAGTAAGAATGGAATACGCATGCCGTGGGTAATTTTCAGCCGTTTCCTGTTACAGTCGTGTGCAGCAGGAAAAGCGCAGGCATCTTTTTTTTTTTTAAAGTGTACTGGATTTTGTGTAATCGAGGATTTTTTAAATAATTTTTTTTAAGTTTGTTTTTTAAAACGTAACTTTATTACTGACATCGGGTACTGATAATAGGTTTACATGTATATGTAAAACCAAATGGTTACAGTGACAGCTCAACCAAATATTATTCGCTTACATATGTGTGTCTTTTTTTAATTTGTACAATGAGACACCTTATAATGTACATGACACCTCCTACGGTTTCAACAGCTTGCACTGAACTTTCATGTACATTTACAGTGTATCAAATACAATTTTATACAAAAACATTTCTAAGAAGTTTCAGTGAAGTGTGTTGTACAAACAGGTGTATCATGCAGGGATTAAGAGATTTATTTCCAATTTTGAATTTAAGGCAAAATAAACAATCGTTATTGTGGCGAGACCTTTGGAAAACAGACAAACAGGGGGCAGTGCAATCTAACACTCCACTCAACAAACGCTACTGGATGCATTTCTGATCAAGGAGGCTGCCAACATAATGTACATGTACATGTACATCTTCAACAATAACAGGTGTTTCTCATGTTTCTAGGTAAACCTTACTCCCTTTAGCAAACCCAGATGCTTGTAGTACGGTTACCTGTAAAACAACATGCTACTGATTCTCCTACATGGCTTTTGTCCTCCCGAGCAAGTTTCAAAAGTACATGCCACCTTTGTAGCCACAAAGGCAGGCCGGGGTCGAGAGGGAATATAATTTGAGCCTACAAATACAATGCAAAGTTCTCAAATGTAGGTACCATTTATATACACATTGCACAATAATGTACACTGTACACATGACTTGTTTTTATTTAGAGACGATTCATGCCAAACAAATTTTCAACCGAGTTAGACTATTTTATCAACACAGTCAGACATTTCTGATTGTTCATCGCTTTGTTAAATTTGGATATGATAGTGCTGTTTCAGTATTAAAAAGCTCTTGAGACGTGAAAATCAATCAACGAAATAAAATATGTGCACATAATGTACCTACATTTTGTAAACACACAAATCAGCCTGACATTTTGATCTGCACTTGTAAATTTATGCATGAATTTGTACATACACGTGCCATACATCATAGTTTGTGCATCATATCATATAGTGGGGGAAGAAATCGTAGATTTCAATATCCGGTCATCCTTTTTCTTCTCTAGAGCTTTGGTTATTGGATCTCCAATTCTCCATTCGAAAATTGATACCAACGAAAGCCCTGGCTTTTCTTGTAATTCCAAGATTTGACTTTTGTTGCCAGCTGACAGGAAAATAAATTTGAATAGGATGCCCAGGATGTGCAGTACATGTACCTTGATAGGGTGACAAAGGCAGCGTTTGAGGAAATCCTATAATCAGGCATGCAACTGGGAATTTAGACAAAAATGAGGAAATTCCAAACCACAGAAGACTTTGTACAGTATTTTAAATTTTCTAATGGCATTCATGAGAAGTAAAAAAAATTCTTGATGTTTTTTTTATTTTTATTTTGTAAAAGAAGAGCAGAGCAGGAAGTCAAACCATTGAAGGATTCTCAGAAGGAGAAATTGAGTTAAGTATGGCCTGACATGGAATTCTTTGTCCATTGGGTCTCTGTCTGGTAAGTGTGATCAAATGTACCCTTTAATGGAAACAGTGTACGTAAGGCCCATGATGGAAGAGTCATTTTGTATTATCTTCAGCTGCTGACAGCAGTGCAGAAGTTCAAAGACGCAGACATGACAAAGTATTGTTCAGAAGTTTGGTTCACAACCTGTGCTAACCCAAGCCTTATAATGCCATGTTTAGGCAAAAAAAAAATACTCGGTCTCTGGTCAGCGCGCGCGTCGATTTTAATCATGCGCGTCAACCTTTTTTTCCTTCAAATTAACCATGGACATATTAAATGTCTATGAAATTAACACGGAAGCTACAACAGCGCCCTCTATTGCCGCACCTCCTCAAATTTTTGTACCAAGGAGCACCAAGGAATGGGGAAATTGCACCAAGGAAAATGATAAAGGGCACCAAGGCATATTATGGAGGACACCAATGTATAATGAGGACACAAAAAAAGCAAAATAATACCCACCTTGTCTGTACAATTCAAGCTTGACAAAAAAAAAAAAAAGCCACCAAAAAAAACCAAAAAAAAAATGCGTCGCCGCATCAATTCTGGAACTTCGGTCTGACCAGAGACCAGATGGGGTTCCAAAAAAAAAATATTATGTAAATCTCACTTAGTAAAAGTGCATACACAAGAACCACAAACAAACAAGCAAATAAATAAAAAGAAAAACAGAAAAATTGCAATGATGGAAATTCACACCCACAGTTGCCAAAAAAGTTTTAGAAAAAAAATCATACTTACATATCGTTAGTTTTTCTAGCTTTGTGAATGTGTTTGTGATGTCTTTCCCAATTTGTCTGAAAACAAAAGGTAAAAAAAATCATCAATTTATTATTATGCAAGACCAGTCCCACTGATGCATCTAGGGTAATGGAAGAGAAGACCCAAAGAAGTTTCATTTGATCAAGAGAGGGCGCTATTACAAAACCTATAGTCACCAAGAACAGGAATGGTCCATTTTTTTAAAGACAAATTTCAAATAAATGTTCAGCTATGTACATGTATTGCAGAACATTGATAACCTTTTAAATTCCTTTCCACTGAGGGAGACTACTACACCCTGCGCTAATTTGAAATTTGTCTGAAGTTACATTTTATACAATAATTGACCTATCGCGGTAGAATCGCATTAGAATCACGTCAACGCAGCTGGTGAAATATTGTCCAATTACATGATATACAAATGGGACCCGGAACGTGCAATTTGAATCAAAAATTAGTGTACAAAAATTCCATAGGGCTGTCTAAGGGGCGTGGCTAACTCGCAAACGGCGATAGATCAATTACCAGTAAATTACTACCGGTTTATTGGATTTAACTTGCAACTGGACTGCATCAAATTTAGGCCCAAAAAAAAGTCTCCGGTTTCTGGTATCGGCAAAATCGGCAAAATTAAAAAGTTTTTTTTTTTCAATGTAAGATGATGTCTCAAAACCGCCAAACTCACTGGTTTGACTGGAATCCTGCTGCTGCACAATTTAAACGTGTTTTTAGATGGGGTTACGATCGAGTATAAGCTTTATGCGGCCTCTCTGGGCTCCCATATATTTTGCACTAAATTTAGTCGGGCACCATTTGCAGACGGTATTGCAATTTTGTAATTGTGCGTCAGGAAGCCAGATTGAGGGAGCGATGGTCGTGTATCTGGAACCTGTAAACGCTTTTTAATTAGCGAAATATGCAAGGAAGCAGACTAATGACCAGCCTGGCAGCGCATGCACGATGTTGCTGTATGGTCTGATGTTACCATTTTCTCGGATTTTTGTCTTGACTATCCAAATTTCCAGAAGAATGTTCGTATCGGTCGAGATCGTAAGTGGGTGCAGAATTCTCAAGCCTTATGGCCTTACTGAGGTCACCTCAAGCTCCACCCTGAAGGATATTTTTGAGAGTTTTAAGGGATCTAAGAGTCACCTGCAGCATCAGCTGACATTTGAAGAAAACAAAAAAGAAGGGGGGAAAAAAACCTGCGTCGCCTCACCACTTTTGGGGCAAGCTCCATACCAGAAACCGGAGCCTTTTTTTTTTGCCTTAAGTGGTTGTACGACATAATGATCAGCATAAAAATGTACATCATTTGACAATAACCCAAAGGCAGCGAGTTGGATATATATATTCGAAATTAATTACTGCATTATATTGAACATTTTCCTGGTGTGCTTATTTTTGGAAGGAAGGTGGGGAAGGGGGGGGGGGCGGTTGTAATTTAATTTTTTCATAACAGAAACTAATAGGACTGCAGGTTACTATGTGTACTAAACCTTTAAACCTTTCAATTGCAATGGAGTTCACATTCATCAACGAATGACACTACAGACACATAAATTCAGATGTGGACAGCAGAAATTGTGGGAATTGCATGTTCAAAATGCTGTCGACAGATTGTTTAATTTTAAAATACAGAGAGCCAATGTGGGCGAAACAAACGATTATTACGCAAATACTTACTTGGCAATTAACATAAATTCGGTGTGTTGATGTCTCTTTGCATTGGCCGTCCTGCCTGCTGCCACCCCATTGCCCTGCACAGAAAGCAAAACAACAACAATCTTAGGCTGGACATCATCTGACAATGGGGCACTGTGTTTTTTATACAAACTTGTAGGTTTACGAAAGGTTTGTATTGAATTTGGAGAGTAGATGGAATGCCGTTACTAAAATAATCGCAGTATTCAGAATTACCAGGTACATATATATACATTTCTGGGCGGATTATTATATCATCAAAGTACTACAAGACACATGGAAATAGGTGTACCACAAACAGGCAGTATGGGCAGAACGTCAAAGGCCCTGCTGGATGAGTAATAATTTTCTTGTAATTAAACTTGCCACAGAGTCCCAAATTTGTGGACTAAGTCTGGGACTAAACACAAAAGGAATTGGTTATTTGGTAGTTTATTTTTTTACTGAGGCTTTCTCTAATTGGCTGATACATACATTTGCAAATACGTCATAATTATTGGCTGCACTGGCTTTCGTTTAATAAATGTTAATTACATGTAAATATGAGCCAATTAGAGAGACCTCCATGCAAATAACCTTTACCAAAGATTGCAGACCAGCAAATAAACTGCCACAGACCTCAGTGATAAATATCCCCACTTTTCAAGATCTTGAAAAATACAACTCTCCAAGGTGTTTGACACGCCCATCACATTCAAGCTAATTTCATCATCTTTCATTTTCTGTTAATTTTCAGGGCGTAATCCCATGACTTTTGGGAGAAAATTCAATCCTCTAAAAGTATGACTGAAGTCCATCACCATTTTGAAAAATGACGCATACGCTCTATTGCAAAATAGAGCAACTTTAGGACCTAATTTCATCAATATTTCACAGAAATGCAATGTCGCAGTCATGGTCACAAACAAACCCCCAAGTTTATGGCCTACAAAATGCTCGTCACTCGTCTATCCACGAAGCCAAGTCCTGGGGTGCGTTTTGGCGGTCATAACCAAGAATTGGTTCGGTGGTTTCTCTTTGGTTAATTGTTTGGGGGATTTGAGTACTACATGATCACGCGTAATTCTAACGCAATTAAAATTGCCGAAGAAATTCAATGACAAGAAACCACCGAACCAATTCTTGGTTATGACCGCCAAAACGCACCCATGTACAACGTCTGATGTGTCTAGACATGCAGATATATGCCAGCCAATCAGAGTCGACTTTACTAAATCATGACATTACTTCATTCCCAATTCAGGACTAAATGGTTTGATTGGTTAATTCGCATGCAGTGTTTTGTAATGCAACAACTGCTGGGCGCATTATCGTGTAACACGATACAGAGCGCGTGACACAGGTTTGTTAAAATCCATTGTCTATGACACGCAACGGGTGAATGACAGAATACTCGATATAGAAAGCGCCCGCTGATTGGTCAAATCTAAAAGGTCAAGAGGCGGTAGCTTGCCTACATAATCAGCGAATGTGTCCATATGTGATAGACAATGGCATTCGCCATGGTCTATTACATACATGTACATATCCACTGGGCTAAAGAAAAAATTCAGTCACGCACATGTACTTGTCTTGACTGTAGCGACTTGATGGCCGAGTTGAACTCTTGCGTTCTGTCTCGGCAGGTCATCTCTTGCTGCTCAAACGGTTGTGCGAGACGACCGGTTTCCTGTTCGGGGACACTATGCGACGTGACTGTCCAGTTACTCTGCGGAGGATACTGTGGCTGATTCCAACTGGTGTCCTGGGTGTGTCTACGTCTTGCGAACATTGGTCAGCCCTGACATGCTATGTATGTACAGTCAACTACAGCTGCTTGTAACTGTAAACTGAGAAGAGACAAAAACAAAAGCCAACAATTACTCATGAAAATGTGTGGTCATTTCTGAAGTACATCATTTGAAGTATGTACTAAGTTCCTAGTACTTACATTGTTAGGTCAGTGCAAAAAAATTGTACTAAGTACAACCAACCAAAGTCAAAATTGGAAAAAAGGGAGTTCTCCATTTTCTGAATTATTAAATTGCCAACTCACATCGAGCGAACACGTGGCCTACATGCAGTGGATAGCGGAATTGCAAGCACACCGCTCGAGTTTGAGTCATAGCTCTGCCTAACCTAGCCCCATAAATGTGGCCTATTTACTGGACTGCCTCCGTAAACATAGGCCACACATCCACATGTACAAAAAACGTGTCGACTTTGCCAAATTTTGATTTTCACATTTAGGCTTACTTTGTAGGTTTTTTTTGCTTTAGAAGCATTCTCACCCTCTATATAGGCTAATCAGAAAGTGCTGCCTTTTTCAGATGTCTAATTTTTGTGAAATTTCATGTTGAACTTTTGATACGCAAACGTGTGCAAATGTATCTGGAAATTTCACGAAAAATGGACATCTGAAAAAGGCAGCACTTTCTGATTAGCCTATATAGAGGGTGAGAATGCTTCTAAAGCAAAAAAAACCTACAAAGTAAGTCTAAATGTGAAAATCAAAATTTGGCAAAGTCGACACGTTTTAGTACATGTGGATGTGTGGCCTATGTTTACCGAGGCAGTCCAGTAAATAGGCCACATTTATGGGGATATGCCTAACCTTGCCATTGTTTTTGAAAAAAAATGTTTGGTGTCTCAAAAAGTAAGAATTATCTCCCTTTTTTTTGGTTTAAATCAAATCCTACATTTAAGTGCTGATTTAGGCCTATGTTATTTTCATTTTCTGATTCATTGCTCTGAAGGAATTTTTGTAAAGGGAAATAAAATCCAAAATTGCATGAGCTCTGCATGCAGGAATGTGAGAGACCACTGACAAAAATAGCTGAAAAAAGGTATAAAAAGGCTGAACTTTGGAAATCTCCTATACTTTTGTACACAGAAAGTGAGGGAAAAAAGCTGAAATCCCAAACAAAAATAGCTGAAATCAGCTTTAGTTTGAATATCCCTGTGCATGGTCTGATTCTTGTCTCGTGAATATGAAATACTTTGTTAGAAAAACTTTGAAAATGCTCTGGACTCTCGAGCTGAGCTCCATAAACTTTGTAGTTGTACACAACCAAAGAAGTGGCATCTGGATACTTTTAAGTTAGGCCATTCTTTCCATAAAATTTCAAATTAGTTACTGCGCATGTTCATTGCCGTGCCCGTACAACACCGAAAACAATTGGGAACTGGTTTAAGGTTAAAAGAAATGTCTGCGGCCAATTTCAAATTATACAAAAAACACAACTTTTCAGGAAATAAAGCAATTAATATTTTAAATAATAACAATAATACAATAACCAATTCTTGTGTAGCGCCAAATCCGTCAAAATTTATGCTCAACTGCTTAACATGCTCAAGCATGTCAAGGCGCTTTACACTTATTTACAGAAACTAGAAAGAAAAAAAAAATTCATGACATTGAAAAAGAAAATTCAACCAGTTAAAAATGCATGAGGAAGTACAGTATTTGCGACACATTTAGGGGGCTACTTCTGTACATACTCCTGTCAACATAATCAAGCAAAGAAGAATAAGTGGAATTGAAAATGGAATAAACATGAGAAAAAGGGGTCCGCCCACACTGTTCCCCCATCGCATGCCATACGCCGTGCACGCAAAATGTCAACATGTTGTAAAAATCTTAGCAACTGTCATTGTAAAGTGTCGTAAACTCATGTCAAATGATATCATTCAAGTAACTGAATACAAGCAATCACAGAATAATGCTTACCAACTCAAATACAGCGATGGATATTCACAAAATCTAGTCTCAACCTAAAGTTTTAAAAGACAAAAATACCACACAGGAACTACGAAATCTCATGCGTCGGGCATTTAACACGTAAGTAACCATGTAGATAGAATCGATTAAATTTCATCGGTTACGACGACGACTGTTATTTTCGAATGAGATATTCGTTGTGTACGCCGCGTGCAATGATAAGAATCGATACTGAATTATTTTACTAGAATATTCGAATGTCATTGGTATCGACCATTTCTCAAACGATTGACGTGTTCAATTTGAACGACGGGAAGGACTTCCTTGACCTTTGAACTGTAAACATGTGTCGTATGCTGACGTCATATCAATGTGCGCTCGCATTGGCTGACTTGAAAGGTTCACCGGTAAAAATGAATTTCATGTGAAGGTAATGTTATTTTTTGTAAATAATCATTCAAATTTCAAGCACAGATCTTTTAAACGACACAAGTGTAAGTGTTAACAGTTTTTGGTTGAATTGAAAGTAACAAAGTTGAGCAAAAAAAATTGCAAAATGACGAAAACTGGAAAATGACCGCCGTCAGGCGCACACGTTTTCCGCTGTATGAGGGACAGTTCAAAGCCGTCTTTTTCCGACACCTAACGTTGAATTCGAAACAATTGCATCTATGATCTGGTTATTATCTATTGATGACAAACAAAAAGAGCAGTGAACCATTATTTAAAACTGTTTTCTCCTCCATAGGACCTGGGCGGGATACTCTTCGTGATATTGTGATGTTTATGATGTTATTATTAATTTTAACTTAGCGCGGTCATCCAACATTGTAATTTGCCTGTTTGTAGGCCCTAACTTCTGAAATATAGAGGGCGCTGTTTAAATTTTATATGCCACATTGTGATTCAAATGATTCATTTTGTGTGTTCAATATACATTTGAATAACACAGTTTTTGATATCTTGATTGCTTTATCATGTTTACAACATGGTTTATGCCAGTTCTATAGGCACATGATGGGCTAGCCCCATAAATGTGGCCAATTTACTGGACTACCTCCGTAAACAAAGGCCACACTTCCACCATGTCCACATGTACAAAAACGTGTCGAACTTTGTCAAATTTTGATTTTCACATTTATTTAGGCTTAGTTTGTAGGTTTTTTGCTTTAGAAGCATACTGTACTCACCCTCTTTATAGGCTAATCAGAAAGTGCTGCTTGTTTCAGATGTCTATTTTTCGTGAAATTTCCAGATTCATTTGCACACATTTGCGTATCAAAATTCAAAAATTAGACATCTGAAAAAGGCAGCACTTTCTGATTAGCCTGTAAATTAAAGAGGGTGAGTATGCTTCTAAAGCAAAAAACCCTACAAACTAACCTAAATGTGAAAATCAAAATTTGACAAAGTTCGACATGTTTTTGTACATGGTGGAAGTGTGGCCTTTGTTTACGGAGGTAGTCCAGTAAATTGGCCACATTTATGGGGCTAATGATGGGCCTACTTTCAAATAAAAGACATGAATGAATAACTTTTTTGGAAAGAATTCCATACAATAATAAATATGTGGACAATTGAATGATGAACATTGTCATTGAGATTTAGTCCGATCGAACATGGTCTGGCGACAGTCGCCAGACCATGTCCGAATGTTAAAAAAGGCGATGAGTACTAAGGTCAAAGTAATACTTAGTTTGTGCACTGGGTGTCAAGTGATGTCCAGGTATAGAAATTTTTCCACCAGGCAATAAATTGCATGGAATCTGTTGCGGGTGAACCAGTGAAAGTTACATTTCATTTGATTCCTCCACCAGGGAAATTTCAAGAAATGAGTGGTTATCTTGTTATGCGCCTATCAATTGTTTCCTCCCTTCGCCCCCCCTTCGCCCCCCCCCCCCCCCCCCCCCCCCCCCCCCGGGCCGCCCCACCCAAGACATGGGGGTTGTCACTTTTGAAGTAATTTAGATCAATTTGCAGAAATTGCTTTTAAATTTTGTTCTCTATGCAGACAGTGGGGTAAACATTTGATAGGCGCATTACACATTGAAATATACCGTTAATGTCAAAAATGTCAAAAAGGTTAAAGATAAAAGTTTTGAAAATGTATGAATTTTACGCGCTTTATTTTTAATCTGTACTGCAGTTTCGTGTGTAACTGATCACACTTTGCTCTGCATAAATAGACACGCGTTTTTTTTTCAGGGACAAAAAATGTGCTTTTAATCACTATATCTGTGCTTTGCAGAATGATCCGAATCTGACAGAATCCAAAATGTGAATTTAAACTTTTTCTTGTCTTAAATCAAATCACATCAAAATTAGTGATAGAAACTTTATTCCCCAAATCTGAGTGGCTCAGCCTCCCTGCCATATTGGCTCATTGGCTGTCCATGTACAATGTACATGTAGGCCTAGTCGACCAGTTTGCATGCTCCACTGTGCATGCGTAGCGGACAGGCCGAAGCCTCGTAACTTCCTTAACCCTAACCGAACTCAACCCATCAAAGTTCAACAGCAGGTTTTGTTTAAATCTGTTGGAATAGGTACAGTACCCCTAAACTGATGGTCTTTTACACTGGGCTTGGCGTACCTCCAGAAACTAAGTCCAACAGTGTTGTGTGTGCAATTTCCCATGTGGGTGTTGGAATTTGCCAGAATGGGTATTGTTCCTAGTAAATTAGGCTGGGGAGTTAGGGTTAATATCGTTTAACCTTTAATCAACATGCATACTTACATTGTACTTGTAATGAACAAAACCTTTACGTCTGTTTATTTGCTTGCAGGATGTAATGTAACCACAGTACCATGAAGGGCAAAAAGAAGTGTGAGTTTAAGGACAGCAAGAAAGTATATGTGGAGTATGACAAGAGTACTGGTAAGAGTCTGTTTTGTAGCATAATCATTAGCAATTTGCAGAAATCGCATTTACATTTTGTTAATGTTATGCATAGTTTTTTTATGACAATATTTATTATTCCATAATTAAAGGGCCTACATTTGTATGAGATGAATTTTCTTAGGAACATATTTTTTGCAACTTTCTACTCTTAAATGTATGAAAACTGTTTGACATCCCTTTTTGGTTATTTACATTGAAAAGTGCACTTTTTAATAAACATTTAATAATTGTCCATGCTTGTCCGTGAGGGCACTGTTGCTGTGATGTCATTTCAGGAAGACACTGTTCAGTTTAGGTTTTTTTTGGTTCAAATTGTGAACCTAAAGATTCGCTCATTGTAAACATTTGTGAGAAAAGTCTGCTTGGCTTACTGCCATGTATTGACACAACAAGGAATCACCAAAGAAAAGAATACTTACAACAGAAAAATATCCAAAATTCTTGCAGCTTTTGGTGCTGAAATACATGTAGCTGTAACATTGAGGTTTCTGCCTGAATTGACATCACATTTTTGTTCATGAATATGGAAAGTCGCCGTGAAAAAAGCCCTTATTAATTTTTCTTAACCTAGGCATTTTTGCCAGGATGCAACCTCAATCCTGCTAAATCCTCCAATTGCCTCCCTGTAAAAATAGCATATATCAACAATACTGCAAAATCCTCTGTTATTTCTTGAATGTGGTCCTCGGAGGTGTGACCACTGCCTGAATCTTGCAAAATCCTGCGGCAGTGACTGTTGACATGTTAAGGCAGAGCCAGTGACATCCTGGAGCAGTGCAGAGGATTTCAAGTATAATCCAGGCCTATATTTATGCACGGCTGAGCATAAACAACACAAGGTCCGGCCCAAGACCTTGACACAGTGCGTCCTCTGTAATCAGCCACACACTTTTGCAAAGTAACCTCAATCTTGCAAAATCCTCCATTTTGCAAAGAAGATTTGGGAGGGTTAGGGTTAAACTCATACTCTGGCATCACATTATACTGGGATGTTTCTCATGTTTGCTTCTGTTTTGTCCAGGTTTGTGCATTTACTGTAACAAGGATGAGGAAGAGGGAGTGGACTGCGGCAAGCTTTTGACGGACAAGGACAGACAGCTCTTTGTGCACAAGTACTGCCTGGTAATTACAAGCTTATCCAAATGTGAAAACCCCTTAAAGCTATAGTCCATCATTTGCAGCCATCCGAAAAAGTAACTGGCGTAATTATTGTTGAAAAACATACTTGGTTGAAAGATAGTAAGGGGACTAAACTCCCTGTGAAATTATTCTTTCTGGCAAGCTATCATTGAAGTAATCAACGAAAGAAGGCCTTTCCAACGGTGTGTCTTAAGACGCACCGTAGGAAAATTTAAACTAGCAGTTCGTTTTGTTATTCGGTGCAGCGCGCGCAAGCATTGGCACGACGCACAGGCGCGCACATTTGCTATAATTCGTCGGATCAGTGCGCGACATCGCGTATAGCTGCAATTCAAAACATGATTCAGCAACTTTTGATTTGAAATTGAGATCCTAGATATCCTAGATATGAGATCCGGAATATACAGCTGAAGCTGAGCTGAAACTTCATCAGGTTAGTTGTTAGTATCCTTCATTAGATTTTGAACACTTTTGTTGCTTCAAACGAACAAAATGCACAAATTACAAATGATGGACTATATCTTTGAGCCATTTGTTTACTATGATAAGGGTTTCCCTGATCGTATCATCTTGATTTCTTTCTGGGCCATTCTATAAATGTGGGGTCCACTTTTTACCCGTCCCTGTTACATCTGACATCTATGATGTTGTGATTTCTAGATGTGCTCCTTAATGTAGTCTCCATCCAAGAGTGATTATGTGAAGCAAACGACCTACATGTACCCAACAAATAAAACTTAGTTTGAAGTCATGTGGGGAGTGCGGCCTAGTGGTTAGGGTTCGTGACTCATGATCAGAGGGTCAGGGGTTCGAATCCAGCTGCTGGTCATATGTTGTGTCCTTGGGCAAGCCACTTCACCCCCACTTGCCTCTCTCCACCCAGGAGTATAAATGGGTACCGGCATTAGCTGGGGAGACCTGCGATGGACTAGCATCCCATCCAGGAGGGATGGGCATATTCTCAGTCGTTTCATGCTACTGAAACCGGAGATAAAAGCCGGCCTGATGGGCCACATTGGCTGGTGACAGACTTTACTTACTGGAAGTCATTTATAGTGACACTTGAGTGGCAATTATAAAGTACTGAGGTAGCGGGGACTGGAAAAATGTCAGACTAGAATCTATAGAAAAACCCTTCTGGCAGTGCAGGCAGTAAAAGTCACTCAGAGTCAGATGTGCTTAAAAGGGAATGTACATCATTGGCTTTTGCTGTAATTTTCAGAAATGAACTATTTGAGGGGTTAGTATAACAGATCAAATATTGTTACACTGACATGTTTAAAGTTTTGTGTTCGAAAATGCTGGAAAGACCAAGAAAAACACAAATGATGGAGTAGTCTGGTTCTCTGACTCCACTAAAGATAAAATGGATCAATTTACAGATGCCGGAAAATTGTAAGGTAAGGGAACCAGTCTAGCTGGCCTGCACCCGTTCATGAACATGTAACCAATAGCAAACAAAATTTGGACGAAAAAAAAATGGTGCATTTGGAGCTGTAGTTGAAAAATAGTTAGGTTTTTCCAACGGTAGTTGGCTGACCACTGTTGGAAATTTATACAAAAATACCATTTTCTTGAAAATGACTTCACACCAGATGCCATTATTTTACAGGATGCTTTAGACTGTCATTTACCAACATCCTAGTAAGGTATTTCGTATAAACTTGGTAGTTTATTTTTCGAATTTTGCAAATGTTGTGTATTCCCTTTAAATGGAGAGCACCATTGATGATAAGACAAACTTCTCCCTCTATTTATTTCCAGTTGTTTGCCAGTGGTCTGCCGCAGGCCGGAGCTGACACGGAAGGAATTGAAGGCTTCCTTGTCCGGGACATCCTGAAGGAATTCAGGAGGGGCCGCAGGCTGGTCAGTAATCTTTGAATTGTCTCTGTAAAATCTTTTCCTGGGCCCAGAGTACCAGCGTGGAATCCTTGCACCTATCTCACTGACTCACACACCAACCTCGTTTCCATGGGTACACTTTGCTTTGACGTACGTTGCATGCTCTGGAAACATATTTTTGATTGGAGGTGGAAATACGTACATGTAGAATGGATATATGATTCTTTTTCTTCTCATTGTTTTTTTGTCTTTCAGAGCTGTTTTTATTGCCATAAGAAGACGGCCACCATTGGTTGTTCGCTGTCACTTTGCAAGCGAAGCTTTCACTTCAACTGCGGAGTCAAGAATGAAGCCCTGTTTTGCTTTTTCGATGCTTTCTTGTAAGTTTGTGGCTCCAACATGTTTTCTTGCCGTTTAAGTTTTAACGGAACCTTTAAGCAAAAGAAAGAAGACATTTGAAATGAAAAAAAGCCTGTACTTAATACACATGGCTAACATTGTGTGAGGCACATTGGCATAAAACACAATTAAACACACATAATTTACATTAATATGTAACATTTTAGCACAGTTTCTGCTGGTTTCAGAGGGCCAGCACCCGATTTCAAGAAGTGCTGGGAGATGTCGCAACTCGAGTTGCGACGCGTAACACGTCGCGAGCGGAGCTTTCACTGTACTTCAATGTACATGTATGTTGAATAAATATATATAACAGTAACACATGTTGTGCTATAAATACACCTATGACGTGTTTTGTGAAATGAATCGCAGGATGCGTCGCAGCTGCAATGCATTATCATAGGGATACGACGCGTCGCAGCGCTGTGATGCCTCGTAAGTTAGGATGAGTTTTATGAAAGCGGTTGCTGCCTATAATCCTCTTTGCACTTCTATCTCACTAACTCACTGACTGACCGTCACTTGTGATGTAGACTTAGTTAAGTCTCACCCTGGCCCAAAAGTTTGACTCAGATGACTACCTACATGTACATGTAGACCCCTTAAACCAAATGGGTCTGTGATAGTCTACTAGCTAGCTTGTGTAGTCTTGTTAAAAAAAAAAAATTGTCAGGAAGCATCGCCAGTTCAGCGTGGTCGCTCCTTGGAAATTTCCCCAATATTTCTTGTGATTTAGTCCAGGCCTTGGGAATGTTTCGCCGAGCCTTGGGATTTTTTGCTTATTGAGTACGCACAATAGTATGTACTGGACAAAAAGCACAAAATGTGCAAAATGTTAATTGCAGCACTTGGAGCACTGTAAGCCCCATGTGTGTACATGTACAATGTATAGTACACATAAAAATAGGGTCCATGCTGCTAAGTTGATACATAATCCTGAAATCTTGGGTATTCTTGGGAATTTTCTGAAGTCAATCTTGGGATTTTGAAATGTGATTAGTGGCCACGGGCGCTGGGCCAGTTGGCCTGCTTTTGCAGGCCAGATGATTTTCCATGGCAACCCCACCACTTTTTAAATCATTGCAGGCTTATTTATAGGGGTGTAGGTCAAAGGGTGAATTGACCTATCGCTGTTTGCGAGTTAGCCACGCCCCTTAGAAAACCCTATGGAGTTTCTGTACACTAAGTTTTGTTTGTCTCAGATTTTGTGCGTTCCGCTTCCTTTTGTACAATGTATATCATGTAATTGGACAATATTTCACAAGCTGCGTTTACGCAATTCTAACGCGATTCTGCCACGATAGGTCAATGGACCGATCCAGTAAGCCCTGCCCACTGCGCGGGCAAATTAACACCTGTTCCTCTCCAATGCCACGCTGCATTTTCCTGCTGCTCGCATCATACGTGCGGGCACGCATGTCGGACTTTTGTGCACGCACGTTGGACCTAAATCACGGCTGTGATTGGTCAGAACACCATGGGGCGGTCCATTGTGCACAGAGCTCTCAGTAGGATGACTGACTTGTCCCCTCATCCTTTGCCTCCCTCACAGGGCATACTGCAGGGATCATCGGCCCCAGCAGGACGTCAAGGTTTCTGAGTCGGACCCGGCCACCGTCACCTGCCCCATCTGCTTTGAGGATGTAGAAGCCCAAGTCTCTTGTCATACCCTGAAGACGCCGTGCTGCAACAATACGTGGTTCCATCGAAACTGCGTCCAGGTACAACACGCTAGTGACTCGGCAAAGGCTGATTACATTGAGCTGTTAAGACCACTGATTTACCAAATGCCTTTATGAAACCCCTGCTTCGTCTTTGACTTTGGCTTAACCCTAACTCCGTACTTACTTTTACTAAGTAGATAGGACTAAGTCAGTCAAAATCCATCACTCACTCTGCTTCGCATTCAGGACATAATGGAATCCACCACTGGTGATGATGGATTTTGATGGATTTAGTACACGTGGCTTAAATGACAAGAGCAGTACTCCATGCTGTACAAAATCAATCAGATTCCCCCAGCACTGCTTCAGGCCTCCCAGTCCAAGTCCTTTATACTCAGGCATGCAATTTTTCCTCGGATCAGCTGATTTCCTCTTTCTTTACTTCCCATGTGTGCTATTGAAAATAGAAAATCACTGTACAAAGTCTGGGAAAGATTTGAATTTCCTCTTTTTTGTGACTTCCCAGTTGCATGCCTGCATATACTCCATCAAAATTTAGTCAAACCAGGCCAGCAGGACCATGTCCCCCACAATCCACCAAAATGGGGGGGATGCATTTTCATTGAGTTGGTAAGGTTAGGGTTAAAAACCCACTGGTTATGGCACCACTGGGTATGGCTTTTGTGAAAAGAAGTAGTAATTCTCTTGTTCCAGTCGGGTTTAGAAAATAGTTGATTGTTTTGTTTTGCTATTTCAAACGATTCTGCACACTACACTATCATTTTCAACAGAGCTGAAATGTTAAAAAAAAATTAAAATTAGGGGAGCTATAGATTGTAATTCACCTTTGAGAATGATTCTCAAATGATTGAAACAAAAGGCCCCTCTATACAATTCATGTATTTCAGCAAAACCTAGATTAGAAGCAGTTTCCAGGAGTCATTTTTATCCTGTTTACAGAAGGTCACAATTTTTGTACAAAATTAAAATACACCATTCCAAAATGTTCAACGTTTTTTGTCTCTTCTGATTTTGTCATCACAATTTTATAAAATAGATCAAAACCTCCCCCAAAAGGAAAATGATGCATTTTATTTGCTTTCATTCTTACAGCGTCAAGCTCTGAGTGCTGGCTATTTCTTCCGCTGTGCCATCTGCAACAATCAGGAGCAGTTTCAGATCGAGATGAAAAAGTTTGGCATCTACATTCCTGAACAGTGAGTTATACCTCTCGTACCCTAGCTAAATACTGCCGGTCTGCCTTAGATTTTAGCTTGAGAAACTGTAGGCTTGTAAAATACAAAAGAAAAGTGTGATGCGATCATCTTCCTTGCACTGAGCTGTAATCATACTAATTTGTGAGCCAGAACCAAGGACATTACTGTTAAATCCCTGCTCCGACGAGAACAAATTCAGTAAGTACGTACTTAGGGAATAAATGTGTGCTTGGGAGGTGTTAAACACTATGTTTAAGACTGATAGAAGTCTGGAATGCTGATAATTACCTGACGCAGACCGGCCAAGTGACGGGCTCACGATCAATGGGAATGGGTAATCTGTCTTAGGTATTTCTGAATTGCTATTTAATTGTGGAAGAAGCTGCATTATAACCATAGAGCTACATTAAATTACTAGAGCGCTAACTCCTCATTCTTGCGCGCGGAGACGCTTTGAAGCCGCTCTGGGTGCAGACATTTTGAAGTTATTAGCGTATTTGTAAAACACAATCAAAATAGATGGAGTGAAGTTTAAAAGTGTACTCTAAATGCAACGCGCAAGTAGAAGATACATGTATGCAAACAACTTAAGCGCGTCATGACGGTTCAAAAAACATCATGGCAAAAAGCATCTGCACACATTGCGTTGTTTGCCTAAAGCAAAATGAAACGCTCATTTGCTGATTGTGCTTTTCGGTTTTGGGCGCATCGGCTTCGATGACGCACCGGTATGGAATTCAAATGCAGATATGCGAATAGCCATACAAAAGCCGTACAAAATATCGAGTTTTCCATAGATTTGTGCACAAACATGGATGCGCCTATCAAACATTACTTTGTACATGGAATTAGCGCTCTAGTAATTTAATATAGCTCTATGATTATAACAGATAAGGTCTTTACTGCACTCTGCAGACTCCACTCGATTTAGATGCCAAAATATATGGATTTTATTTTCTAGAAGATGTACATAATACTGTTGGAATAAGGAACTGGACATTCCATGTTCATGTTGTTTTTAATTGTCCGATATACTGTATTCGAAAAAAGTTTGTTGGGGATGGCATTCTTGCAATGGAAATATTTTGAGACAGGCCCAACGCACTTGTGTTGTCTTTTACAGAAGACTTTGTGAAGAGTTAAAGACACAGCTGTTCACCCTTCATCTTTCAATTGTCATGACACTTCTCGTTTTTGTTTTTAATCATTTATGAAGTGATGCATCATGGGAGATGGACGACAACGCTTTTCAGGAGTTGTATTGGCGGCATGACAAGTGCGACTTTGACCCCTGCGTGTGCCCGAAAGGACGGCAGTTCAACAAAGCCTCAAGGTAAGTATTTGCTCTCACAGAAAAAAAAAAAAACTTACCAATGGATTACCTTACCAAGTTTGGATCTAGTATTGGTTTGGTTTGGTGGAAGCCAGATTTCATGTAAAAAAAGTCCCACAAAAGTTCCACAAACATTTGTGTTCCACAAACATTGGTGTTCCACAAACATGGGGTGTTTTTTTATGAGGAAACCACCCTCATCCACCATCGTGGCCAACCACCAAACAAACTTTCAAAAGTAATCTCAAGTCAAAATCGTAATCTTTCTCTCTTTACATCAAACCATCAAATGAAACAAAACGGCATAGCAAGCAAACAATCTCTTCAAAAAAGCTAAAGAGGTTGGCTGTCTTGATACTTCATGTGTACGTCGAGCTTACAGTTTTTCATTGCAGGAAAAAAATCAGGAAATCTTTGAAAAGATTTTCGGCTGTACTTTGTATGTCAAGTCATTGCTTCCATCTTTGTAATTAGTTTCACAAACTTTTCCACACACTGTTTTTGCAGCATCAAATTTACTTTGGTTTGAAGATGAAATTTTTAATGCAAAATGTGATGATATTGTGTTTGGGTTGATGCAATTGCCGAACTTTCAATTGTACATGTATGAGAACTGTAACCTATTCTTTCTTTGTTATCCTTGCTGTTCAGTAAGTGGGAGCTCGTGCTGTGCGACCTCTGTGGTTCCTCTGGATGCCATCTTGCCTGCGGAGGATTGAGAAGTGTCAGTCAGGACTGGGCGTGTGCCATGTGTAACGCCATGATGAGTAATGGTGGGTACCAGCCAAAATCATCCGTAAAGCATTGTTCTAATGAGTAGGGTATAGTCAGCGTTTTAACAATAGATTTCCCTTGTGGTTTATTTGAAAATTTGGAATGAATTTCTGTGTTAATGTACCGTAATTTCCTGCGGATAAGGCGCGCGGCGGATAAGGCGCAGGTCCCTAAAATCACCCAAAAAAATTCAAACGCCAACAGATAAGGCGCACTGCCGCATAAGACGCATGTTTGACCGCACACAGAAGAACACCAGGCGTCACCCGGTGTCGGTACATCGCCACAAAGGGGCCATTGTGTTGCCTTAGAACGATCACACTATTCGGAGGATGAATTAAGCCGTGTCCGCACTGGACTTTTTTTTTGGAAGGTTTTACCGAGACGATAGTAAAATGAGAAATGGTCAAATGTGACCACTGTCCGCACTTGGACTTTCGACACGGGAAAATTTACCCAGACCGCGTGGGAGAAGTAACCGAGCTGTCACAGTGTCAGTATAATTACTCACCGTACACAGAAAACAAATTGCCGATCACATTTTCAGCCGCCGATACGCACAGTAATATTACACACGCCATTTGCATGCACAACATAATCGTTTACACGATATTATTTCATCTTGACACGCTAAATCTTGACGAAAAGGCCTGTAATTCTGACGCATTTGTGATGCACGTCGTCGAAGCCATGCCGCTGTACGATATTCCGTACGGCAGCAGTGCCATCAGTATTCGTTGGTTCCCATCGCATGCTTACAGAATCGAAGCTATGATGTGGGTCAGGAACCAGTGACTACGGCCTACATACGGTACCGGACCATGATGTTCCGTGCATGACTACAGTAGCGTATCAGGACGAATTTGGATCGTAGAAAATAACATACATCGGTGGAGAAAGAGAATTTCCGCAAATTAATTCTCAGAACGTGATCTCTCTTCTCTGTGTATGTATTTGTCCGTTGAAATATATATTTTAACGAGATTTTACCGCTCGGACTTGATGATACACCGCAGCGTGTTTCTACAAAATGTTCGGCCACACGTGCACTGAGGTTCGCGCGGTCTCTGTATGCATAACATGGCGCTCGGGCCGGAAGTACGCTTTCCTGAGCCGCTTTTACCGACTCGCAAGGTTTTCATCTTGATCTTCAGGCTTGCAGACTTCGAAGATATCCTGTACAATAAACACCCTCAACGTTCACACAATAGAACTTGAGTGAATGCGATTTCCAAACGTTTAAGTAATTCTGATTGCAGCATTTTCGGAATGAAAAAACGGTCACAAAGAAAAACGTTTGTATGATGATTGTTGGAACGAAAGCACGATCACTAAGGGGGATCAACGCATTGCGGCATTGTTGGAAGGAAAGCACGATCATGGGGGATCAACACATCGCGGCATTGTTGGAATGAAAATACGGTCACAATGTCTGGAGAGTTGAGCCTCGGTTGACCGCATTATTGATTACGGCATTGAAAGAATTCTTCACACAAAGACCGTCACTTTGAACTCAAGCGACACTAGATAAGGCGCACCTGTAGATAAGGCGCAGCGATGTTTTTGTGGTCTAGAAAGTCAGATAAGACGCGTCTTATCCGCAGGAAATTACGGTATGTCTTTAGCAAAGTTGAATCATGAGGCCATTGTAAGTCCTAGTTTTCGTGACTGATTTGTTTTTGTGACTAATGCTGATAGTCCCCCATGATGGTATGAATGTACAGTGAACTTTCGATATGTCAAACCTCAAGGCCTGGGGAACGGGTTCAAAATTTGACTTAAGCAGAGTTTTGAGTTAAGCAGGGTTGTGTATCATTGTTATACCACTGAAGGGAATGGATTGTTTGTTTGTTTGACTTAACAGTTGTTTTGAGTTATCAGAGTTTGACTTATCGAGATTTCACTGTACATCACAGGCAACTCGGCTATGGTGGCGGTACCCATGCGTACACCTGGGTGGTGAGAGGCAATTAGGGGTAATGTTACCTGCCTGGAGACGTATGGCCAGCAGGTGGTATCAAGCACCTGACTATCTGATCATTTTCAAAGACCCTAACCACTGAAGTCACATGTGAATCACTAGATTTTCTCCTTTTCTTGACAGCCACTGAAGTCAGCTGTCCATCATCGGCTTCCCCTCAGAAGTCCCCCTGCCCGGGCGGGGATTCCCCTTCCAAGACTGGACAGACCACCAGGACGGCCATGAAGTTGATGGGCAAGCACCCACGCACTCCCCTCTCCTCCCACGCCTTCCGCAAGAAGACAGCCTCCTCGCCTTTCTCCTCTTTGAAGCTCCCCAATTCCCCAGATGAGATCGCCAACTCGGCGCAGGATTCCTTTGTTGGCTTCGGAGGCAACAGCAGAAAGAACAGCTTCGAATCTTCAGATCTGGTTGGCTCATTCGAACACTGTCAGCCGTCGACGTCCAAGCAAGGCCTGGAAGATGCAGACTACAAAAGGGGGAAGAAGAGGAAGTTGTCATATTCCAGCAAGGAGAACGATCTGAACTACTCTTCCAAGTCGCCTGAATACCTTGGCTTTAAAAAGCACTACACTTGGAAAACCCAGTCTGCTGATCAGCACGCCTCATCATCAGGGTTGATTTATGGGCCACGTACCACTCTGCGGATGAGCATGCGTCCTAGAAAGATTGCACTGTTACAGTGTTCCCCTGTTAACACGCCAATAAACAGCATCACCCAAACTCTGAAACAGTCCCCAAAGAATGCTGAGAAATTTCGCAGAACAGAAACCATCTCATCCCCTACAGCAGTAACAAGTTATTCAGAAAACGTATCTGCAGTTACTGAAGAATTCAGCAGCAGTCAGAAGGTATTGGCAACTGACAAGTCAAGAAATGTGACCGTTTCACACTCCCCGGATCAAGAGCTATCATCCTGTTCCTCGGGGGCCATTGCTAATGGAACGTCTGTAAACAAATCCATGCTTAGATCTCTCAAAGATTCTCTGGTCGCTTCACTCTCTCAGGCTGCTGACAGTGTTGGCCTAGAAACCAGGAACCTGACCAGCTTTTGGAAAAAGTCACCACAAAATGCAACAGTCACGCGTCCTGTAGAGGACGAACCACTGTCGTGTTTAGCGGCAAAGCTGGCAAGTGCAGTTTCCAGCCAGAAGCCAGCAGTTCCAAGTGAAACTGGAAATGTCACCAACCAGAGCATCCAACAAGAATATGACAAGCCTGATGAGAAATTCAGTGGCAATCAACAGTCGACCGATGATCCAGATGTTCTCAAACCAACGTCGCCTACAAAAGATAGTTGCAGTCCAAGTTTGGTTGGGGAGACTTCCAAATCTGACACTGAGAAACTCTCTGCCATGACCCAAGCCCTTGCTAATGATCACCTTCCATCCTGTCTGCAAACGTACACGAGCGGACATCTGGCGGAAACAGATGCGGAAACAGCTTCACCCAGGGAAGAAGCAGACTATATCTCTCATAACGGTACAGGACGGGCAGATACTGATAACAACGTGAAGCAAGCATGGAGTGCAACAAACTCACCCGAGAATACTATGCCTCCCCCGGATGATACATCAAAACGTATTGCAGGAACAAGTGACATCACCAAGGATGCATGCCCGAATAAGGTGACAAGCACGGTTAAGAAAAGGAAAAGTTATGTATACAGGAACCGGTACGCGGTCTATGGCGGGAAGTGGAGGAAACAAAAGAAGGCTAGGAGGAAACAACAGTCAGCTAGATTGAATGATGAGGCAAATTCACCGCTGCTTGCAGTGCGTACCAACAATCCGAGAATGGGTAAGGAAAAGGAGAATGGCACCGCTAGTTTACCATCAGCCGAGGTCGAAGTCCAAACTCCCTTTAAATCTCCATCATATCCTCAAAATAACTCCATTTCTGAAAAGTCTCCTGGGAACATCAGTGGATGTTCAATGACTCTCTTCGCTCTCTTTGATAATACAGAGTGTGTATCTGCATCACCATCGGGACCTGAAAATGTCATCAAGCCTCATGTAGGGGCAGAACTCCAAGACGATGTGCTCGGACCAAGTGCGGACACCACACCATGCCCATCACCTCATTCGTTAAGGTTTTGTGAGACTTTACCTCAACAGTGGTCACCCTGTGGGCTACCTCCACACTACCCTTCTCCTGGATATCATCCAAGCCCGGATCACAGGGTCTCGTCCCCATCAGGCTTGCCTCCCGATCACCATGAAAACTCTTCTCAACAATCAGAGGACCCTGTTGGAGACAAAACCAACTTGACCAGGCCTCAGTCAACTGAGACACTGATCAAGGGCCAAGTAAAGGCGGAGAGTGTTGATCCATCTCCCAAAAAGTCCAGGCACAGTAATGACATCAAAGAGTGGAAGCCTGAGTTGCTTCCAACCCCCTTGCTTCAAGATGAGAAGATTTCAACCTCTCAAAATGTGGAATCCATGCCGAGGGCATCCACACCTGTATTGCTTCCCGAATCTGTAAAACTTGAAGATGACCAAATTCACTCAGAAAGCACACAAGAATCAAACTACAAAACATGTGATTCTCAATCAGACTTGCAACAGTTACTAAAAGAAGATACCCCTTGCCAGGACGTCAATGTTGATTGTCAGGCTGACCAACCAATGGGAAGGAAGGAAGCAGACAGATCACAAAGACCCAAGAAACGGAAGGATTCCAAATTCACTCGTGCTTATCCGGTCATCGGTACTAGAAGGTATGCAACATTAATTACAAAAACGAGATCTAAAAGACAAGCACCCGGAAAATCTAAAAGAGCAGTTGGCTTAAAGTGTGTGCAGCGGCAGCGAAGATTTTCAACAGGCACCTGTCGACCAAGGCTGAGCCAGAGCGGCAACAAAAAAGCAGAGAGTCAGTGCCGAGTGAGGCTTTCAACTGGAATGCTTCTGAGGAGAAGAATTTCCTCAAACAAAGAATCTGTGCCCGGTCAGAAGACAGAAACTGCTGGTGGAGAACCAGCATTTTCCGCCATTACTATGCGAGAATCTTCATGCAAGCATCTCACTAACGACTGTAGGGCTGTAGATGTTGGCAGCAGTGAGAGCAACACAGTCACGACACCATCAAAGGATTGTGAAGCGGTGGGAAACCAGTCTGTGATTGGAAGGTCCAAGGATTCACCTCGGGATGAGAGCTGCTCTTCCCAGGACAGTGACCGTGGTGACTGGGGTCCTGAAATTCACGGAGCAAGAAGGCAATCAACAGGAAAGCTGTTAAGGAGGAAGTACATAAGGAACCGTGTAGAAAACGCACAGGATTCTGCCCCGGGTGCGGGAGGAAGGCGAACAGAAAGAGAAAGGCCAGGATCTTTTGTCTCCGACTACCAAGCCCAGGAGACTGCACCAAGGCCTGATCTCATCCTAGGCGGAACTACAGAAGCCAACATCACACAAAATGAGCAAATATCCACACTGTCGGGGGATGAAAGAGGCGGAGACATATCAATGGAAGAACCAGCGATCAAAAGTGAAATCTCTTCATCTGATACTTCACCTGACAGTGGAATCTCGCAGGGCTTCAATTGTAGTCAAGAAGAGTCACCTCCTGGAAAACCATCCTTGACACCCATGGAGACCAGTGAATCAGCCTTGGTAAATTTGACAAACAGTGACTCAGTGGAAAAACACGATCAACCATTTGCTCTAACACAATCAAGAGAGAGCTCCCCCAATACACCTGGATCAGATACAAGCAATCACATGATACCTGAGAGCAAGAACAACCCAACTGAAATTGATGCCAGTGACGATGACGATCTGCTTATTGAGTCTGTGAATTTTGAGCCAGTCAAAAACGACCCGGGCCCAGACAGCCCCATTATTGACAGTTCGCGAACTGCCAGCCCTGTTACCAGTGTCTGCAGTAGTTCTGACACCCCAAAAGACACAGAAAGTCACCCCCAAACTGTTGGTTCTGACTGTAACTGCTCTACAAGTGACAGTTCACAGAGTAGTGGCGATTCAGTCCAAAATCCAAACCCTCCAATGAACTGGATCGTCATTCCGGCACCGCAAATGCCTAGAACTCCACCCATCAAACCAACACACATGGAACCATCTCTGACGTTCTGTGGTAGAAATAGGGGTAGCAGCCCCAGACTTAGTGACGGCTCTACTAAACCCATGTCCTGTCCAGGAAAGTGTCAATCTGAAAGAGAGTCTGAGATCTTAGAGAAGTCCCACAGGTCGTTGAGAAAAAGGGACAGCCAGAAACTCTGCTCCAAAGTTCGTGCTAACCTGTTCAAAGTCAGGGAGAATCGTGGGAGACCTTTGAAGAGGCCAAGAATGGATATTCCAACCAGACCAGTATCGCCGCTGGTATCAGGAAGTGATGTATCAGTTACAACTCGAAGCAAAACGAGGATTTACATGTCAAACTCGTCGAAAACCACGCCACAGAAAGAGATGCTTGAGGTTGACTCTCCAAAGTCTCAAACGAGCTCCCCCTCAGGAGGTGCTATTCGCAAAAAGCGTCTTGCAGACTGCCACTCTCCAACAAAGTCGACCTCACCAGGATTGCTAACATCAACAGGAGAATCACCTCAAAGGCCGTGGCTACTCCGGTCGCAGAACAAAAAGGGTCAAACTGTTGTCTCTGTGGAGTCAGCCTTCCTCTTGCCTTCTTCAGCCAGTGACAAATCTTGCACAAGTCACCCTGGAACTGTGACCGAGGAAAAACCAGATTCTAGTCGTCAGTGGGAGGACGACAAATCTGGTAATGGGGGAGACAAAACAAAGGTTCACATACCAAATTCATCCAAAGTCAGACCATCCAGGAAGCCAACAGAAGGCAAGTCTCCAAAACCCCCAACAGGCTCAATGCCACAAGAAAATTGTTACCCTGAACCGGGTGGTGGGCCTCATACAGGACCTGACTCAAGCTCTTCTCGCACCCCAAAGACGGAGTCTCAACGAGGTGCCACACCAAGGCCACTGCTGCTGCGCTCTTGCTCTAAAAAGGGAGTCAAATCATCGGCAGAGTCTACGTCTCCATTATGTTCACCGTTACCCTCCTCCCCGTGCAGCTCCAGTCCAAAGCAACCAAGAATCTACCGTTCCCTTCCACCGAGATCAACATCAAACAAACAGTCTCCTCAAAAAGGCGATGCTTCATCAGCCTCCATTCTTGAAAAAGAAAGCACAAAATCCCCTCACATCAAACCGGAGAGGAGCAGTCCAAAATGTGTCGGCGCACCCTCACTTTCCCCAATATTCTTGCCAAATTCGAGTGGTGGCTTAAAAAGCTCACCAAGGCCAACCAAGCTGCCAAGGCAGGAGGACTTAACTGTTAAGAAGGCTAAAGGTCGAGTCCAACTCTTTACAAGTTAAGGACAGCATTGTAGATTATTGGATAATTTAAGAAATATTTGATGAAGTGCCGATGATATTGGCATTTTTTACTTCTTTGTGTGAACTGGTGTTGCAGACATGACAGTTTGTAGGGTTGGATGTACATGTATACACAGGCAAATCCACTGCTGATGTATGGTTTCTAGTTAACCGCATCAGTTAAAATTTTTGATTGTGCCATTTAGTTGTAGTTATAATGATACTCAATTTGATAGAGGATATTGTTGTCTCTTTAGATATTTGTACTCATAAGATAAAATGAGAAAAAGGTTTTTTTTTTGTAAATTTTCATTCAGAATTCATTTTATCTGTGTGTAATACCTGCAAGGCTTGTGCCAGTGGTGCAGACCAAGAAGTGTTTGGTAAAAACGTCTTTGACCTATTCTGTGGATCATTGTTCAAACATTATCAGAGTAAAACTGGTTCTTCCATTTCGACTTGTGTTTGAAAAGGAAGTACATGTACTACAACATGTAGTGTATTAATGTATTAATTTCACTTAAAAAAGGTACGATGTATTTCTTTGAAATGGAAAATTTTGACTGTACATGTTTGAGCTCCATGCCACAGTCACTGCAAAAGTGAAGATGTAAGATATTGATTTTGTTGTGCAGTGAATGCTGGTAATTTTATATGAGTCATGCAGGTGAACTAATTATTTCACCATTTCTAGTCCATAATTAGACTTCACTTAGCCATTAGAATGATTTGCAATGAGTTACATTAACTAAAGTACAACATTGACTAGCCCCATGTATTAGAAAAATTAGGTATTTGAAATTGAGATATTTTATAAACAAAAAAAAATATTGTTAATGTACATGCAGTTTTCATTGTTTTACTTCTTTTTCAATAAGTTTTTTCTGACTAATTAAAAGGGGGAATGTATGTTGTATGTTTGACTTAAAGGCAGTGCTGAAGGCTTAAATGTACAGTCGAGTCTCGTTATAACAAACTCGTTCGGACCTAGCCAAATTGTTTGTTATATCAGAATTTTGTATTAAGAGGAACCAAGGCTCTATGTTTGTTATAACCAGAATTTTGTATTAACAGAGTTTGTACTAACGAGAGTCGACTGTATTAGTTTTACAAAACCATCTGAGAATCAGGGAAAAAGTTGGATAGAATGTAGTATACAGTTGCCACTTCAGCAGTTGTGTGCAAAGTGTATGAGAGTCAAGAACATTTTCTAAGTATTTCCTAACAAAATTAGAAATATTCTCAGTCCCAGATTCATGTCTTCTCAACATTTTTGCGATGACCGACCTTCATTGATATGTTATTATGATGAAAAAAGGAGGCGTCAGGATGGAACATTCTTTCTAAAAAGTTGAAATTTGAGCTACATGTGTGTATATTACTTTCAACCCAGGGATCTAAGTTCACATAAATTGGAAGCGTGAGGCAACCATACTTTTCTACAGAATAATACTTTTAATTAATATTATTTGACTTATGGGTATATTTAATTTGTTATAAATTCATGATGTAAATATAAATATAAGTTCATGTGTTTCCTTCCGAAAATTGAAATTACCTTTCCTATTAAGAATTGATTTTGTAATGTACATGTATTTGGATTTTTTTTTTCTTGGAACAGGCAACAGCGAAATGGTTTACAGGTACTGCAAATTTCAGTATTGAATATAAAATAGTCCATTTATTGTAAATAATTCATGTTTTGAAGGAATTTTCAATGTCGTTTTGAAAAGGAGTTGTGGGATTCTATTGTCTTCTTTGCCCCCCCCCCTTTCCACCTGAAAATCTTTTTAATTAAAATACAGACCTTATTCTGTTTTTTTTAAATATTGTTAGAGAAAAAAGCAAAATACTGAATAAAGACAAGTTGTATAGCATGTATAAATGACAATTCGTTCATCGACTCCTTTTAATGTGGTCAGTGGTACATGTACGTGCCCCCCCCCAAAAAAAAACCCCACTCCCCCGAAGATCCCCCCCCCCCCCCGACGAAAAAAAAATCAAACCTGAAATTTGCCCCTTGCCCAAGAAGTGTCTTGTTTTTCAAAGTACATGTATAATTGAACCAAAGGAGGAATGTAGACAGTTTGTTTTTAATGTTAATTTCCTTCACTTTATGGATATATGACATATGAAAAAGAGATAAAAAGAGATAAAATGGGATAAAGAGCACGCCCTAGCATCAAAGGTGGTCCAGTCCCCCCCCCCCCCCCCAGTACAAATTGTGACATTTCGTGCAGAATATTCGCCCGAGCCGTAGATTGGTCAATTAATTGGCCGCCATGTTTTTGTAATACAATTTAGAGGTTACCGAAGATGCGATAGGTGCCCTGCACTGTATGGCCAGAATCTGGATGTCAAGACACAAGTCTTGTATTTGAATCATTACTTGCCAAATCTGTGCACATATCATAGACGCTTGCTTTGCAAGCAGCTTTATCCTCCCTCCTCCTCCCCCTTCCCCTCACTTTTCAAATTTGCAGCAACTTGCTGGCCAGCCCCCCTGAAATTAGTGATGGAGCCAGGATTTTACAAACGGGGGTTGCTGGAGCGAGTCCAAGAATTACTGTGGGGGGGGGGGGGGGGGGGGGGGAGGTGGAGAGTGGATGGAGGCAGTGCAGTCAACGCATAAAAGACCAAGGCCTGAATCAAGATTTGTAATATGGAATTGCTTTATTCACAGAATAAAACAGGCACTCCCGATCGCCCTCCTTGGATCCACCCCTCATAAGCACTCTGTTCTAGGCAATCAATACATTTTGGTCATACAATTGTATACACTCACTGGTGATGGCAAATTACAATTGATTCTGACCATAACTCAATTTGAAAATCAATAATATACAACCAGAATTGTTTTGATTCTGGCAATTATTTTTCTCCATCCACAATACAAAAAATCTAAATCAGTACAATAACAATATTCTATTGCATTGAAATGGCCAAAAGTTTTGACTGAAAAATTCCTCTGCTTTGTGACTCAAAAATATCTTTTTCTTCCAATACCATTGCCTCATATTGAAATTGGCCACTGGGCAGCACCTTTTTTTGTAAAACTTTATAGCACACTACAGTTCCATGGCCATCCTGATGCATGAGGGCACTTTTGCTATGATGTCACTTTAGGTCATCTCAAACCTAGAAAATGTACCTGTAATGAAGCAATTATAGTTTGGAATGTCGGAACAAATGGGGGAAAAAGGCAATTGAAGCATCCAATAGACCTTGTACACTGCAGGTCTCTCACACGGTATTCTCACTGTTAGTGAAATGAATGTACACAAGGTTTACTCATGCTTTTCCAGGCAATACTGCCCTCCAACTCCGCATTAATGCATAGGGTCTATAGAAAAAAATTCTGTTACACATTAAAAGCACAGCTTTTCAAAAAATGTAATTATCTTATTCCTCACAGTGTCCAAAACTGCCCTGATTTTTTTAGCACAGTGTAATATTGCTGTTTTACACAATGCACTCAGCAAGAACACTAAGTGTTAAGGCCAAAACAAATAATAGCTCTGCCTCTTTTTTATTTGGGAAAAACCGAGGGGAAAAACCTGAAAATCATCAATTACAACCTTTTTTACCCTTGACAACACGCAGACAACTCATATGATTGTACACAAAAACAAACTGCCAATTTTTTTTCTCCTACATGTACCTACCTACCCTTATTTTCAAATGCAATGTAATCAGAAGCAGAATTATTTTTTTTTGGCTTAATAATTAATACAGACTCAACAACAAACCTTGAAAGGATAAATCATATGTTATCAGTGAAGGTGTCCATTCTTTATATATATTTTTTGAAAAACTCTTTGAGTAAAACGAATTACCGGTACTTTATAATTGTGTGTGAGTACCATAAGGGGTTAAAAATGAACTGGTTACAAGCCGGGTGTAACTTGGGGTTCATTTTTTCCCTGTCCCCGTTACAATAACATCATACAATTTTGTAATTCTGATACGCTCTTTAATGCAGACGTCCTCCATGAGTCATTATGAATAGCAAACAACCTACATGACATGTACCCAATAAAAATTTTTAAAAATCATCAAGACATTCTTAATACTTGAATGGCAAATTACTAAGTACATGTACCAACAGGGACAGGAAAAATGTCACACTTTGGACCCCAAATTTACAGAGTGTCAAACTACGTGGCCATTTAATTGCCAACAGCGACAGAAATTCCCAGCAAAATAGCCTCAGATTTTAATCATAATACAGCTGTTTCTGTGAAACTATCAACTCTTCTCTGTTGATGTCGTTGAAGCAGGCTGTCCGTCCTTTTCCTTGACAAAACTTCCCGCCCTGTCCACCCCTCCCGTCTGCAGCATCCCAAGCTGTCTCTGGCCCCTGCGCAGCAGGTACTCGATGCGCTGGACGTCGGTGCGCTCCAGGGCCGCCCATCGCCGGAACTCCTGCCGTACGTGAGCATCCAGCCCCGGCTTCTGCTCGGCCAGACGAAGGAACTGCTTGTAGAGCTGTAGGATTTGGCGTTGCAGCCTGCTGTGCCGGCCAGCCATCGTAGAGTCCAGTCACTACTCTAACTGGACATATACAATTGTCTTGACAGTATCACTGCAGTTGTAGCACTTGTTGCAGCATGCATGTCACTCACATGGCTTCATTATCCACTGATCATCAGTTTAAGCTGAAATACAAAAAAACAAAAAAACATTGTAATCCTCACTGTGCAACAAGGGCTGACCAAGATAGCATATTTTGCTGCGCTTGCAGACTGTACAACTTGCACAGATCTATACACAAGTTCAAATGTATAAGGATGCATTTCCCATGCCATTTTCAAGTTCACCTCGAAAAATAGAATTTGTTTATTTTTCAATTGCTATTGCTATTGGCCTAGCCGTAAAATTCACTTTTAAATGAGACATTGAACAAAAAAGTCCACCGACGTTCAAAAAATTGGAATTTAATTTTGGCTGCTAGACAGTAATTCGGCACTTGCAGGGCAGGTTACTTGTCCACAAAATGGAAGCCCTTTTCCAACGGGTACGCTGCAGATGCCCAAAATTGGACATGTTGGAGCAAAGACACTTTTTTTTTTATTAAAACAAAACATACAATTAAATTGCAAATTCGATAAGGGAAAAAAACAATTCCATTTTTAAGAGCATACGTTACGAGTTAGCTTGAGTAACTCCAGCTGACATACTCATCAGGAATTACATGTGAATTTCCTGATGAACATGATACTACTAAGTACTAATGTAGGTGAGGGTTTACCAAAGATTTAAAAAGTGAACTCAGTTTCTTTATTCCTCCAAGTTCACAGACTCAAAACCACACAGCTTTTACAGAATTAATTCCTGTGACTGTGTGAGTCATTAAGTTTGATAGGCGGGCAGTGATATACAGCTTACTTTACTGTGCATAAATGATTGACTCAAACTCAGTTTGCTGTCTGTAAAGTTTTCAAATTTCTGACATTGCAAAGTTACTAAAATCAACACAAAACACATGCCTTCTTTCAATTTGCCCACCCAAAACAATATTTGCATAAGGCAGCTACCCTGACTCCCCCTGCGGTTACCACCACAAATTTAAGAATGAAACCAGACTAATTGTGGCACTTCTGAAAATCCCCGGATGAACCATTCTTCAATGCGGGCGTCATTTTAGCGTCGCTGGTTGCCTTCAATATTCTATTATCGCGCATTGTATTTCAAAAGTTTTGGGCAGAGGACCAGCGAAGGGCGTCCTAATGCATTACACACGATGAATTCACCAATTCCGCAACACTGACTCACCGAAGTTTTGGGCAATTCATCAAAAACCCGGCATTTCTATTGCAGTGCGGTGTATACGGTGGAGGGTTGTGGTTAGCTGAGAACTAGGTAAGGTACTATTTTACTGATTACGCGTTAGCTTTATTTATAAAAAAAAATATTGAACGATGTTTTACTGTGATCGAAAATCAAACTCGACTGCTCGAGAGTCGAAGTCGAACTCGAAGTTCAATATTTAATTATGTTTGTGGGCCGCCGCCTTGCTTGAATCTTGAGCATGTTGAGCATGTCACTGTCAGCTGGAGCATGGAGGTAGAACTACCTCCATGGCTGGAGTTAATTACTCAAACTAGTGTAGGCCTACGTTCACATTAAGATTTTCACATAAAGACTTTATTTGTAAAATTGTAGTTTATTTACGCTTTAGACATGTTAGAAAAATAGAAGCACGATTTTCCAGAAGCACACTCGCCCTCCTATAGTAATAGTATTAAGCAAAGGATTAGGAAGTCCTGCCTTTTCTCAGACGTCTATTTTTCGTGTATTTTCCAGGTTAGTTTGCGCACGTTTGCGTATCTAAGTTTCAACATCAAAAAGATCACGCGCGTACTGGATCGGTTCCACTGTCAGTCACGTATAGTCAAGGCGCATGTGGCAACGAAAAAAGAACAACGAAAAAAGACCACGCGAGTGCAGTGGCGGCTCACGGAGCCAACGAGCTCCGTTAATGGCATGGTCTGTTTTCGTGGAGAGTCAAGACAATTTTCTAAGTATTTCCTAACAAAATTGGAAATGTTTCTCAGTCCCGCTCCCAGATTCATGTCTTATAATCATTTTTGCAATGACTGACCTTCATTGAGATAATATATGAAGGAAAAAGTGGCGTTAGGCTGCAACATTTTTTCCCGAGTGTGCTTCTATTACTATTAGCATGAATTACCGTACAATAATAAAGTCTAAATGTGAAAATCAAAAGTTGACAAAGTTCCACATTTTTGGGGTACATGTTCCAAGTGTGGCCCTTATTTAAGGAGGTAGTCCAGTAAATTGACCACATTTAACTGGGGCTAGGTTAGGCAATACACAAATGAAACTTAATTTAAGGCCACAACATTTTATAATTTGCAGTGGCTATCGTTTAAATATGGCATTCGACCGTTTGGTTCCCTGACCTGACAATAGGCGGACGCAACTTTGCGTGACCTTGGGTCAATGCGAGGTGAAAACAAGGGCGTGAACGACAACGTATAGCTTTGCACCACGATATTGTGTTCACCTCGGGATGTTTTCACCGCGCTAACGCGCAAGTTGCGTCCTATATTCAACGTCAGGATCTTGGCCAGGCTCTTGCAACCAGACCAGTCTATCGACCAAATGGTCCAAATGGTCCTCAGACTTTCTTTCCCATTTAAAAAGAATCCTCCAAAGCCACGGATCACTAAGAAAACAAGTGCGACTGCACGATAAGCTCTGGCCGTCTTGCATGAGAGTCTTCCATGAAATGATACAAATACTCACTTGGTCATGATTGTCAATTGAAATAAGGATTTCCCATTTTTATGAGCGAAGGTCACTGAAAAGCCATTGCAGTGGATCGAAGTGGGCACTTTGGCTCAGCACATGAGGGCGCTAAAACACTGTCCATGCAACCTCTCCTTCATGCCTCCTTAGAGGCAAGATAATGAGGCAGACACTAAAACCTGTCGCTACAGTTGCCAGTCTAACAACCTGTCATTCAAATTTTCTTGTGTCCTCAACTTGGATTACCCCATATTTGGCAGAAGTTTTCTTAACATCTTAACTTGATTTCCATTTCTTAACAAGGATGTAGTCGAAATCGTCACAAGTCCCTACAAGTCCATCACAAGTCCCTGCAAGTCCATCACAAGTCCTCCAGTCCCAATTCAAATCACAAGCTACCGGTATTCAAATGAGCTTTGACAACTTACAACATTGTAGCATTCCTTCATTACTGTTCATCCACTGTTTCTTGTGACTAAACTTGTGAAGTTGTGATTCACTTGTGACTGGACTTGTGATGGACACGACCACATCCCTGCAACAGAAGTTGTAGAGCAACAAGTGGGTGGGGACAACCCACTTTTTTGTGTGGGGGGGGGGGCATATTCAGTCCTGTAGAAAGTTTCGTTTCCAGCCATGCAGGAAAAGTATATTGCCAAAGTACAAAGTTTTGGTTGTTGACAATGCTTCCCATTGTTACAAAATCAGCATGTCAAGAATGTATGTCTCCTTTAACCCTAACCTTCCCAATCCTGTAAAATCCTCTTTGCAAAATGGAGGATTTTGCAGGATTGAGGCTACATGTATATGTATGGCAAAAGTGTGTGGCTGATTTCTGAGGATGCACTGTGTCAAGGTCTTAGGCTGGACCTTGTGTTGTTTATGCTCAGCTGTGCATGAATTTAGGCCTAGATTATACTTGAAATCCTCCGCACTGCTCCAGGATGTCACTGGCTCTGCCTCGACATTTTGACAGTGATTGCCGGAGGATTTTGCAGGATTGAGGCAGTGGTCACCCCTCTAAGGACCACATTAAAAAAATAAGAGGATTTAGGAGGATTGAGGCTGTATGCAATTTTTACATGGAGGCAGTTGGAGGATTTTGTAGGATTGATGTTACATCCTAGCAAAAATGCCTAGGGAGTAAGGGTTAAGCTCCCATGCTGCCAGGCTAATGTGAATCAGTTGCAACAAAAATGGCCTGATCTGATGCCACATTGATGGTTGTGTACAAAGTTTATGAGGAGTTGTGAAACTTTCCCAAGTATTTTTTAACAAACAGACAAAATGTTTAACTTTCAGCCCTCCAATGCATGTTTTTCCCCCCCAACATATTTGCAATAAGTTTGCACTGATGACCCACTATTTAACATGTAATTGTATGACTTACGCTATGTACGCTAGTTACCAGTGTTTTGTGCATGAATTTGTAAATTTGCTTTTTTCTGGCCATTCTGTCGTGCTTCAGTGCCTTCTGCATTGCTTCACTTTTTGTATGTTTTTGCAGTGACTCTCTGTACATGTACATGTATGACAAGGTTACTTTAACCATGGAGGTGGAATACACTTCATAACCTTTCACCTGAAGGGTTTTAAAGTGTTTGTACATATTGCACTGAGTAGGAGAGATACTGTAAAACTTGTTTGCTACTGTATCGTACATGTACAGGTAAGTTCTGTACAAACAATATGTACATATCATTTTGCACAGTAACGATATAAAATTGTGCACAGCAAAAGCTCCCTTATGTTTTCTTAAGAGGCCTTGGTTCAGTGCATACTTGGAATTGAATTAGACATCATTAGATTTAGCTTGAATGGTCTGATTTATACAGCCAGACATTTTCATGTGGCCCAAGGCACTTGTTATTTGCCAAAGACATAAGAGCTGACAGGCTCCTGAGAATTCCCAGACATTGGGAATAATGGACTTCTGTGTCCCTCTGGTTGCTGTGATTTTTTTCCCCAGTTATAGTGCATGTACATACACGTAGTAAGTTTTGTGGAAAAATAGTGTGGATGGACCAGACCAACTTAAAGATCTTTTAAACATTCAACACCAACGTATAATTCTTCTCTTTTGGGGGGGGGGGAACAGATCTTATTTTAGTTTATTTAAACCATAAAAGCCTTGCTCAAACTTGTCAAATTTGAACATTGTTAACTCTTTTGAAAATTACATGAAGATGAGCAGAAACTGCTGCAAACTGCTTGCTGACTGGATTGACCTGAGATATTCAAATCCAACAAAATTACAATCTACATGGCCTAATGTTTCAAATGTAGTGAGACATGGCAAAGCCACCACACAGCCGTCTTCGTGAATCCCCCCCCCCCAAAAAAAACCCTGTTTATCTGTCTTCTTTAACCTCTAACCATGAAGGCTTCTAGGCTTTTCAGGGTCAACTTTAATCACAAAATTCTGTTTTTAAAAATTGTACATGTTCGGGGAACAGGTACCTAATTTGTCCTTCTGGACTTCATGATGATATTTTAGAATTGGTACCAGTTTGGTATTACACAAAATTTTGTCCAAGTTTTCTTTTCAAAACCCTGCCCTCCCTCACGTTCAGTGACATTTTGTTTGAACTTGAATCAGATTTGACACTTGCTTCCCAATCTGTCTTCACCTGGCTTTTTTTCCTTGAGTTAAACAAAAATGGCAGGTTTCCTAGCAATAAATAACCCAGAGGAACAGGGAGGACCTTGAGGTCAAGACTACCCCTAACCCCAAGGGCATTAATAAGTCTACTGGAATGCCAATGGACAGGACAATAATGGCTCCCACACATAACAAGTTCCTTGTTTTTAACTTTGTGAATTGATGGTGCTATAATAAAGGCCCAGCCCTGTCCATGCAGAGTGGCTGTTCTGTTGGGCTGCAGACAACACATCTTTCTGGAGGCCAACTTGTTTAATGTTCATCTCTAAAATCCTATTCGTTTTATCAAACAATTCTACAGTACAGTTTTAAAAGCGTTCCACAAAAGACTGGCCAAGTCTTTCTGTACCCAATTTCGTGTGAAATTGACTTCATTTCTCAAGAACTTTGGAACGCCAAAAGTTGAGGCTGTTTTGAAGGTTTTCAGAGATTCAGTTCATAGGGTGCACTTTATTGCCGGTGTTTTTTTGTAAAGATGTGCAGTCATGGATTTTCTGTCTTGCTGTCCAGATGTACATTTAGGTGAGTTTGGATATTGTTTGAAAGTTGATATTTTTGAAATAATGAAGTTGTTTGACATATGTACATGTACTTATAAATTAAAGTTTTAAAACACAATAATCCACAGAGGAAATGTACAGAATCTGTGTGACGGACATGTTATGGTACAGCACTGTATATTGGTTCAAGAAGAACGTGTACAATGTACATTGTGTACATACATGTGTGTGTACAGTGTACTACAATGTACACGTATTTTGTGTGTATAATCAATGTACACACATGTCCATGGGACATGTACATGTACAATGTATATGTACATGTACATGTATGTACTGTGTAGGACATCCATGGCAACTGCCTGTTTATAAAGAAGGTATCAATTTCGGAGACAAGTACTACATGTACATGTAGGTTAACCAGTGACAGGTGCACGGCCATAGGCAGTATGGTTTGTTCCCATTTGCTCTCAATTTGCCAAATTGGATTTACTGGTACTGTACATGCAGTCATGTGCAGTGAAAATTGCCCCACGTAATTTATGTACGGTATATAGCTGTTTACATCTAGAAACACAAAGTTTATGGCATTTTGCTGGTTGCTGGTTAAGTGGGTTGCTGGTATATTACATGGTGAAATTACAACGTACAGAATATTATAAAAGTACTGTTCTGAAATACTACATGTAGGCTAGGTATGTACACATATGTGAAAAGGTAAGAAACTGCCAAATTTGTGAACGGCACTTTGTTGTGATGAACTGATACATACCATACGTGTATGTGTACATGTATGTATATTGTATCTTTGTTTACACACGTACATGTATCAAGGAGGCATTGTATAGTGTAAACGTGCAGCCTGTTTGGAAAAAATATATATTTAGATGACCTGTCTGAAATTTTGAATCATGATTTTTTTTTTAAAGTTGTAAAAATGGATCATGAAAATGAGTTTTGAATGATACATACATGTAACTTTAATAGTTCAAAAATGGAAATACGGGTATTTGAAGTCATTACCGCCTGCCGACGAGTTTCGTTGCCAACAGATACAGTTTGGTAACTTACAACTGTACTTGTGTACATGTATACATGTAGGCTTGCATTTATCCTGCTCATGTAAATGTACACTGAGATGCATGTACTGGTATGTAATCCAAATCCATTATCTCTCAGCGAATTCCAGTGTTTCCTGCATTCCACCACTACAGGAAATACTTCAGAAGATTACTCACATGTTGTAGATTTCAAAGAGATAATGGGTGTATTATAATGTACAGTCGACTCTGTTAGTACAAACTCTGTTAATACAAAATTCTGGTTATAACAAACATAAAGCCTTGGTCCCGACTGTGCATTTATGTGCACAATGAATGGGACAGATGTTCCTCTTAATACAAAATTCTGATATAACAAACAATTTGGCTAGGTCCGAACGAGTTTGTTATAACGAGACTCAACTGTATTTCATTCAATATTAGACCATAGAGCATAGAAACAGACATGGCGCTCATCAAATCATTACGGTATAACAGAATTTTTTTCTGTCACACTACACATGCATGTACATACACAAGTACATATTTTGTACAAGCTACATTGTATGCTTCTTAATTTCCTCAGTAATGATATTGACTAAAACACTAATTAGCTAATTAATTTAAAAGTATGGGGCGCACTCAATGACAGCCATACCGGTATCTGTAGGATAACTGCAACTGCGAGTTACTCTTACGTAATTTATCAAGCATGCAATGCACAGTGTTTGAAATTGTTCCAAACACACGCACTTGTTGCTTGAAATGTGTTCGAAATACGACGCAGCCGATGCGCGTTATGCAAGTTCATGCTCAAAATGTCGATGCACGTGGATGGTCTGTAGGAAATGACGTCATTTGAACGAGACCTATTCTGTGTTTTATGTGGTACCCGCTGCTATGTACATCAGATTCGAACCGGCCAACCGATCCCGTTAGCTCGGTGATCGAGTGGTAAGACATCTGCACTAGAAACATGAGAAAGCAGGAGGTCGTGGGTTCGAGTCTCACCCGAGTGATTTTTTCCAACTTTCACTCGGGAGGTAACACCCTGAGTATACAGTGTTTAAAAAACGTCGGTGAAGGGCAAAACCTAATTTGATTTATTCTGTGTTCATTGAGGAAAGTTTTTTATTGAAGTTGTGCATTTGTTCAAAAATATTGTTTGATCAGTACACATGAATGTCACTGATAACATTACACGCATGCAATTCATGTTTATTATCTTTCTGGCAAGTGCCCCTCAGACTGAGATTTGAAAAATCTTGACAGTTCTGTTTGTTGAAGGAATGTGATCATGTCCATGTACATGGCTTTTATCTCACAGATAAGACATGCCAATGTTGACCCACACTTTACTGTCAAGGTTTAACTCATCACTGACCCATATTGTGCCATGGTTTGACAGATTTGTAACTTAATAATGTAAAATATTTGATCTGATCTGATGAGATTTTAGGTATGTTCAGTTAGTTACAGTACTTGTATGAACAGAAACTTTAAAAGGGGGTCCTGAGCTCATATTCAAATTTGGATGCACTTGTATGGCCATGTTTTTGTAACTTTTAAAGTGACACACAATGTATGTAAATTTACACATGTATTGTAAACTAAGTTATTAGGTTTATCAAGAACTTTGTGTAAAATTGATCAGGGTTTCCTGTACTTTATTAACACAAAACCCTCCAGAGTTTTCCCTGATAGAAAATACATGAGAAAACATTGTATTTTTACTTTATCAAGGCTGCTGGCAATGCTGGGAAAGGTATACAGTACATGTACATGTGTAGCACAACCAATTGTTTGTTATTTTCTGTAGAGCTGTGTAATATTCACACTGCATAAACACTAAAAAGCCACCATAGCCAGTCAGTCAATAGACACAACCGCCGTACTTGGCCCGGCACAAAACACACAGGCCTATACATTTGTATACCAAACTGGTGGAAAACCTTTCCCTTTCAAGGTCACTGTCAAATTCCCTTCGTTTTCCCTGACTGAAGAAAAAAGGAAAATCCTTTTCAAGTTTTTTTCCCGTGATTTCCAGAGTGGCTGGTAACCCAGGTGATTTTGGTGCACAGGAAAGGAAAAAGAAAATGTGAAATTCTTACGCAAATAACCAACATGACCAATCCGGCATTTATGGTGCACTTGTACAGTAAATGTACATGTACATGTACATGTACATGTACATGTTTGTACAAAATTGAACATGTACAGTGTACATGTACATGATGTACCTCTCTCTTTCTCAAAAATGTCAAGAATCTGGAGTACCATCAGACCATGCTATGGTGACCCCTGACCTGTGGGTCATCTATCCTAGCATAGAGCTATGATACTAGCATGTTCCCACTGTGATCTATTTTCTGATTCAGTGCAAGCGCTCTCACATTTTAATCCAGGTTTCACAGCGGGCTACTGTCTCTTCAGAAGGGACTTGGGCTGAGGTCTAGGCCTACCGGTATTAGGTGAACAAAAATGCTGCATCCATGTACAGAGTCAACACAACATGAACATGTAAACAATTGCCACTTATAGTACATAATTATGTGGAAAGTGTTAAAGAATATGATAATGCTACCGGTATTTTAAGTAAAAACATGATGTTTTACCTTTATAATGTCAAACAAAAATTCCTGAGATATTCCTCAATCTTTCGACCCAGAAAATTCCAAGAACTGCTCATGTTTCTATTTGTTTCCATGTACAGTACAATGCACCTGTGGTTTTGGAAATATCCTGTGCATTTATTTTATGGCTATGTTTGTCAGGAGACTGAGCATAGTGTTTTGAAATGTTGCATAATTGGCGTACACAAATTTTTCTCAGAAACAGATTTAGTGTCAAAAAGTGTCACCTCAAACTTCCCCTTACTCTTCATGAAAATATGCTGTGAATTTGCTCTAACTACATGTTTGAGTTAAGGAAAAATCTACAAGTACAATGTAGGCCTATTTGTAATTTGCTGAAGATCAACAATTCAAAAGATATTGTTATGAATGGAATGTGCACACTAGTACATACATTTACATTGTACTGTTTGTACGACTACGTACCCGGTACATGTAGGCCTACATATTGAACACGTACATGTACAGTAACAGTATACCTTGTGAACATGTACCGTACATGCTGAACGAGAAAATATTTCTGCCAAATTGGCTTCATTAACCCTCACCTTTTTAAATCCTCCAAATCCTCTGTGCAAAATTGAGGATTTTGCAGGATTGAGGCTACGTACATCATGACAAAAATGTGTGGCTGATTTTGGAGGATGCACTTTGTCAAGGTCTTGGACCGGACCTTGTGTTGTTTATGCTCAGTCGTGCATAAATTTAAGGCTACATTGTATATTTTACCTAAACCCTCCGCACTACTCCAGGATGTCACTGGCTCTGCCTCAACGTATTGAGTGATTCCTGGAGGATTTTGCAGGATTGAGGCAGTAGTTGCCCCTCCGAGGACAACATTCAAGAAATATTTTGGAGGATTGTGGCTGTATGCAATTTTTACATGGAGGCAATTGGAGGATTTTGCAGGATAGAGGTTGCATCCTAGCATTACAGAAAAAAATATCCAGGGAGTTAGGGTAAAATTAATGTTCAGGTGAAGCATCAACCATAACGCATTGGTTTTATATGTAAAATCTTCCAAAGAAATGTCCACACTGGATCTCAATCTCTACTTGCAGTAAGTTGTTGCATTTTCTATCGTAGATCTTATGGACATTGTTCAGTCAGAGTCATATCGGTTGCGTCTCCTGTCCAATGGAATACTCTCCACTCACATCAAAGAAGCTTTGACCCTGAAAACTTCAAATCAGCTCACAATTTGTTTCACAATGTTTGGTTTTTTCCCTTAAATTTCTTTTGATCTTTTTTTTTTCTTTGTAAATTTACATGTACAGCACATTGGGACTTGCATACATGTACATGCAGTGAAGAATGCACGTCACAAGAATGGTTGATTTTTTAGCCATTGATTATTTTTTCATTCTGTTTTTTTTTGCAGAAAAATGTTTGCCAAGAAGGGGAAGAGGGGTCCCCGCGTCAATATCTCGCATCCTTCCAACTTTGAGCACCGGGTGCACACCGGCTATGACAGGGACTCGGGCAAGTACATGGGACTACCCCGCCAGTGGCAAAACATCATTGGTGCCGATGAGAAGAGGCCACGACCCATCGTGGATCCCTCGCTGATCACTCCTACCGAAGTGACCGGCCTGAAAGTGAGTATTTTCATATTCCTCACTGCTTATTCTACAAATTGTTTCAGCCATTCTGAAACAAATGAATAGAATTTTGTACACTCTGAGACCGGCTTTCCTTGTCATATTTTTTTCTGATTCCAACAGTTACATGCACAACATTCAAGTGAAGTAAAAAAATGTGCTTGTACTCACAAGTTCAAGTCTCACAAACAAAACCTGAATATTTCCCTTCTTAAAATATCATTTTGACTTTAACCCTAGCTCCCTACTGTCTTTTACTAAGTATGGACCAAGTCTGCCAAAATCCATCAATAACACTGCCTCTAGTACTCCATCAATATTTAGTCACACCAGGCCTGCAGGACCGAGGCCCCCAAAATCCACCATAATGGGGGGGGGGGGGGAATGGATCTTGGTGGAGTTGGGGAGGTTAGGGTTGTGTTACTAGTCATCACCTCAATACTTATGGAGTTTATTTGGAGCAGTGCAGTGTTCTCACTATGTATACATGTACCTCCATAATTTAATGTTGGTGTTTCAACCCACAAAATAGAGAATCCCCCATGCTAAGAACATACCGGTACATGTAGTGTATCACATGTACAATAAAAAGTTCTGATGTTGTAGTTTGTCTTCACAGAACAGGCTGCCACCAACATGACCAAGACAAGGAAAGAAGTGAAAAAAATATTCAAACATACCGGGGGTACCCGGTACTTAGTACATGTTACTAGAAAAATGCGAGAAAAAAAGTAAAACAGCTGCGCCACATCAGGCTCCCAATTATGTTTAGACAAATACTCGTAAAACATTCCCATTCCTGGAATAATGAACCCACAAAGTCTGTATGCACAACGATGACAAAAGTCACGAACCCTATCAACCTGAAGACAGTTGAATACCTTGAGTTGCATCAACATCCGAACGTGGAGATTGATAACAAAATACTAACATTATTGGTAACAAAATTGGAAAATAACTTGGGTAAATTGCTAAGGTCCATGGTTTTCCTTTCACTTCAGAAAGTCCATGACCAGAATTAAGCTTCCCTCCCCCTGTCAGGTTTGGCTTGACATAGGTCAGATAGAGAAAAAACAAATACCATTCTTACCAAAACAAACTGGGCAACGGTGAAAGTGAAAGTAAGACCAACACACCTATTCTTTGATAAAATTACACTCCTACGTTTTTTTGTTGTTTTGTAACAGTTTCATCATGCTTTATCAGTGTTGTGCAGACACAGCCCCTGCCTAGCCCTGCATTGATCAAAACATATTTTGAGTATTTCTTTCAATAAGGTTTTGTCATTCAAAACAAGAAGGTTTTGTAATTCAGTGTCCTGATCAGAAATTAATTTATCTCTCTCATAATGTTAAGTTCAAAAGCAAATGCCCACTTGTTTAGAAATGCAGAAGTACATGTGTAGCTTACAGAGTGTTTATTCAAATTTAGCCTGACCTTTTCCAGATTTTTCAAAATCCTTCTTGAGGTTTTGAAAATGTTTGCAGGATGGAGTAAGGTTGAGCCCTGGCACTTTTACATGACATGAGGCTTGATACCCAATGAAAGTTATATACATGTAGTAAACAGAATGTGTCATTGGATTCCTGCACAATAATGGAGGATCTTGGAATGTTTCTAGCAAACATACATTGTACTGTACAGTGACAAGGGACAAGGGTTACATAAACCTCCTGGTCTTCTGCACTTCACAACCCTTCAAGTTTTGTGAAACCACTGTCCGTAGCATTAGCACCCACACTTCAAATTCCTTTGAGATAATCTTCTATCATGTCTATGGAGTATGGATAACACTTCAATGACCCTTTTGTGCGATTAAGGTCAGAGCGAGCAGACAGATACAGTCACGATTCACTGCTCTCCACCATTGTCCACGGTGCTTTTTTTGTGCAGTGACTTTCTGTGTCACACCAGAAAACCTCGAGTGTGTTCGATTACTTCCCCCAGCTTACTCGCGCCTGGCTCCTCGCGTGATGACAGACATGCGCAGAGCCAAATAAACGGACGGTTTCGGGTAAAGTTTCGTGTAAGAGCTGGAAAGTTGAACTTTGACATGACACAGGCTGCATCCAAAGAGCTAGGTCTAGGTCCACGCCCATGAAAATACGCCGGGACTCGCTGACATACGTAGCCGTAGCTCTGGAAGCCCGTTTCGGACACGGCCTGAGGTGCCTGCCGGACGTCACGTTGGCAGCCATGTTTATTGTATGGCCTTATGGGACACTTACCCAAGTAACTGGCTCTTCGAGTCGGTTACTTGGGTCAGGCTCGAGTAAGCATGAGGAATTACATGAGAGGTAAATCGAACACTGTCACGCTTGCCTGAGTAAGCACAGGGGAAGTAATCGAACACAGTCCTCATATCCCTTCACCTGAAACTGACCTGTAGGGTTTTAAAGGGTTTAACACATTGCTCTGAATATTGACTTCCTTCTAGGAGGGTTAATGTTTACAATTGAACGACCTGCATATACACAAACATTCTTTATTTAATTTTTACCCCTTTCTCCTTTGACAGCAAATTGTACGTGGTCCAAGCTCACCGACCGGCGATGGACCCACCAACGGCTTTGGCTTTGAGCCTCGTAAAATATCGGTGGCCCGGTCCAACTCGCTGCGCAACCAGAACGCTGCCAGGCAGCGCCAACAGAGGGACAGAACGGAACCACAGGTAACTGCAAGTCACTTCAACATCCCGCAAAATGAGCTGAATACAGTTTGAAAGATTGCCAATCAGTTTTTCAATGATGACTTCAGTGTACTGCTGAATCCGGTTTTGTCTTATGCCCAACATTTTGATTTAAATTGCAAAATCAAAGGTTTACGACGTGCTGTCATAAAAAGTTGTTATTTTTCGCAGAAAAAAATGTTGTGTCTTAAGAAGTATTTACTGATAGAGTGTATGTCTGCATGATTTTATTGGGCATTATACAACACCTGAATAACTCCCAGTCATCTGATTGGTGGATCGTTGATCACATGTCATTGAATTATTCGTACCAACGCACGGCGCGCGCGTCGCACGCAGCGCACAGTGCAATGGAAGTTCTATTGCACTGTGAATAGAACTTCCATTGCATGGTGTCGCTGCTGCTGGTGGTGGCGCTGTTTTAAATCGAGATGAATTGAATATGATTGTTCTTAACCCGTCGAACAGTTTGCATTAATATAGATATGATGAACTTGTTGCACTTTTAAACAGTTTTTAACCTGAATAAATTGGCTATTAAAAGTCTCACCTCATGAAATTATTCTTACCATTGCACTCACAAACATTCATTATTTGTATACTATTGACTTCTTCCAGTGATGCACTGTGGTTAAATTGGAACTCACAAAATGTACTTTGGCAGTTTTCTGAGTTATGTACATTTTGACTTTTGCAATTATTCTAGGTTCCAGAGTCAGTTCCCGAAAACGATTGGGCTGCTCCAGCACACCCTTACGACCAGCCACCACCGGGCTACTCCACCTTCCCCCGAGGTCAGCAAGGCCCCAGGGGACAGCCCCCACCCAGGGGGGAACCGGGACCCAGGGGAGATCCTGGCTACCGCGGTGACCGACCCCCTAGGGACAGAATGGACTCGCACGACCCGCGGCAGAGAGGCGGCACCATGGACAGGGGGAACATGCCGCCCCGGCCCCTCTCGGAGCACGCCGATCGCGGCAGGGGGAACTACGACCCACGGGGGCCGGCGAACGACCCGCGGATGGGAGACGAGCACAGGGGACCGGTGAATGACCATGGCAGTATGCAGCGTCACCCGCGGGAGAACCGCAACAACAGCCGGTCCAACAGCTTCAATAGCAGGCAGGAGCTGGAGCAGCGGGAATGGAGGGAGCCCCCAAGAGACGGACATGGGCCAGGCATTGGGGGCAGGCATCCCGATCAAAGGTACGCATATTTGATAGTCATATCTTCGTTTAACCCTAACCCCCTTGAGTGATGTACTAGGCACCTTTCTCACTCTTGCAAAATCCAACACCATATGGTAACTCAACAACCAGGGCCAAGTTCGGACAAGGACCATTAGTCGACTAGTGGTTGATTTGTGACGTACCTTACGCATGCGCACTGATAGCAACGTGCGAACGTCTCTAGTCAAACACTGGTCAAAATGTCATCGCAAAACTTCTGGATCCTGGCTCTCTGCTAGCATTATGAATGCGCGCGGCTATTGGTTACCAGCGAACCAACCAACCCCAGTAGGCTGGTTCCAAATAGTCGACTAGCGTAGTCAACCACCGTCGACTAGACAGAGTTCGGGCAAACGTTAGTTAACCATTGGTCAACTATAGTCCTTGCGCGAACTTGTCCCAGACTGTTGGACTCTGATTATTGTGGTATGCCTGACCCCATATAAAGCAAAATCAGTTTACTAGTGCAGTAGTCACTCCTACAGATTCCAACAAAACAAATTTTGAAGGGGTGGTTAGGGTTAAGTGAACATCAACCATTTTCCCCCACCCTGGTTTTTCTGATGTTGATGCTTAGACAAGTTCCACATTTGCTATCTGATGCCAAGGTGATCCAGAATGATAAAGTTTCGCATTACTTGATTAGAATTTCATCAGGATAAGTTTTCATTTTGATTATTTGCAAGGTTTCAAAGAAATCAATTATTTGGTGGCAGCTGTGCCTATATTGGTGTAAGGTGCATTTCATATGCTTGATTTTTTGTCATTGTTAGGAAACTGTTTGTATGCTGTATCTTATAGACCTGTTGCATCTGACGTGGCACCTGAGGGCAGTGTTGTGCATGAGCAGGACAGTCTGTACTTTCACTTGTCACTGAATATAAAATAACAAACAAAAACCTGCCCTCAGTGTGGTGTGCAAGGGAAGCCACACATTTATAAACAACATATGCCAGAGCTATTATAGTTGGGAACAGGAAACAACTGGATTTCCTTTTTTTTTTTATCCCATTGCAGTGCTGTTACTGGGTTGTACTACATGTATATTTACAAAAGTCGGAAATTTTAAGGTTTCACCGTTATACATACATACATTGTATTCCATGCGAACTTGTAAATGTTACTGGATGTATGCATAAGCAGATGTCTTAAGAGTTCCATCTAACAGTAAGTCACTTTTTTTTTAAATAACGTGTATGAACTTCCCAATACTGACTCTTTTCATTGTGTGCTTTGTTTGCATGTAGACATATGGATCGGGACAGGAGGCCAGATCCGCGTGGACCTGAACGGGCCCCACCCCCTGGGCATCACGGGCAGCCCGGCCCCCCGGGTAGATACCAGGGCAGACCCCCAGGGGGACAGCCTCCCCCTGGGGTAAACGCACACCCGGGCGGACCCCCTATGACGCAGCGAGACGGACCCCCTGGTGGCCAGCCTGGCGGATACCCTCCCGGTCACCCAGCCAGGCACCCTGGGGCAAACCCCGGTGGGCCCCCTGGGGGTCCTCCTGGGGGACATCACGGCAGGACTAACTCGCCGCGTGAGCAGCAGAATTTCCATCAGCCTGGCCCTGGTGGGGATAACAGACCCATGGGAAATGGTCCACCATCTCAGTCTTCCAACGAACATCCCAGGCAGCTTCCACAGGTAGGGGTAGGTCTGAAAGTTGTATTTGTTTTAATACGTTGATATTTTCAGGGTTTTAAACCACTCTGAAAATCAGGGAAAATGTTGAAAATGAGTTTCCATTTTTGCAGTCAGGGAAAACTTGGGGGATTTGGAGAAATACACCAACAATCGAGACAAACTCAGGGAATTTGACAATGACACAGAAGGGAAAGCTTCTGATGTGAGTCTTGTGCATTGTGTTCCACTCCAGCAAACTCTGCAAACAATCGTGATTTTTTTTTTGTTCATAGCCTCTGGGGAATCGTTGGTAATGTTTGCTTTGTTCGCGTTTACAAGTGGAAAGCAGCCAAGATACATGAAAAGACTCCCAGTGAATAGCCATTCGGAATCGATGTAATAAAAAAAATGTGTGTGCTCTGAGACCAACATTACTTGGCTTACGTTGTCATGTCAATGGAGTTGAGTTCTGTTTGTGATGAAGATTAATTGCTGTTTTCCTATCAATATAAAAGTTGTTCACTTGTGAGTATGAAATGGAAAGAAAAAGTCCACCGACGTTTAGTTAGTGAAGTATTTCTTCACAAAATTTGAATTATTGGCTGCCAAACAATAATTCGGCTCTCGCATGGATGTGTCATTTGTGCACAAAATGAAAACCTGAATTACCCAACAGAGGGTTGCAGACACCTTAACTTGGAATTTTTGTTTTTGCTTTAAAACAAAAAAATCAATTGAAATTCGTTTGGAGACTAAAATCCATTTTTTGGAGAGCATGAGATATGCAACTTTATAAGCTCTACTCTTTACGATTCACAGGGTTATCCAGTGGATGACTTTTCCCGCATGAATCTGAACCGTAACGAGCCCCAGCATCATCGGTCCCCAGCCTCCTCCCATTCTTCCGACAGTCACCCAGGGCCTGCCCACGGCCGGCCCCACGGCCCTCCCTATGGCCACAATGAACCGCAGAACCGCTACAATGCCCACCAACAGGTATGCTTGTGATGTTCAAACCTGGACCGTTTGTCGTTTGTGCCTTTTTTGTGTTTGAAGCAACAAAAGTGCTCAAAACCTAAAGACGGGTGCTAAACAACTAGCCCGGTGTAGTTTTAGCTCTGGTAATGCTGTACATTTAAAAAAAAAACACCACAAAATTCTGGATCTTGATTTCTGATTCAAAAGTTTCCAAATCATATTTTGAATTGCGCAGTCTCGAAATCAGCATTTGGGACATGATTCTTATTCAGCCGATTGTAGCTACATGATGTCACAAACTGAACCGACGAATAATAGCAACTGCGTGCACATGTGCGTCTTGAAAATGCTAGTTCCTATGCACGGATTCACCAAAGTACAAACCAACTACAAACAGAAATTTTCAAAAATGAGTCACTTGACACATCCTCTGGAAAGACCTTCTTTTATTGTTTTCTTCAAAATGACAGCATGCCAGAAGGAATAATTTCACAGGGAGTTTAGTGTCATTACTGTCTTTAAACCAAGTAAGCTTTTTAACAATAATTTGGTCGGTTATTTTTTAAATTGATGCAAATGGTCCACTCTACCTTTAACCCTTTGCTAGCGAGCGTCCTAGAAACGTTATAATATGTACATCTGATCCTGCATCCAAACAATCTGTTGAAAAGGTTAAAAAATAAAACAGTTTTAAAAATGGGCCATAATCTGCTCTTACACAATCAGTTCTTCTGTACTTACACAATCTGCTCTTCACTTTTTTTTGACAAAGAGTCAACAATGTTCATTAAACAATGTCCTTGTTTAAATTGCTGGTAGGTTGATTTTTACATTTTACATTTTCCCATTACTTCGAACTATCTTACCGTCAAATATTTACATTGTCCCTCAGATCCAGGCGTACAACAGCAATGCATCTGAGAGTACCACATAACTTTGTAACCGTCGAGGGGGGTCATTTTGCATGGCGTCCTTGTAAAGATGTGGGTTTTCGTGTAATTATTGCGTAAAGGCATTTGAGGGTACAACAATTTGGACTTTGCAAATTGAACCGTTAGAGTGTACGTCTTGATTCATGTCCTGCACTTTTCTTAAATGCGGATTTTTACCTTACCAGCAGGGTGGCCCACCTCACATTCAAACAGACCCAGACGATCCGATGATGAACCAGCGCATGCATCCCGGACCGCAGCATCACCCAGAGCAGCAGCAACCTATGCAACAGCATCACCAACAGCAACCCCAACCGCAGCCCCAAGGCCAGACCCCATCCCCAGCCGGTGAACAACGCGTCTCCCACGAGCAGTTCCGGGCGGCCTTACAGATGGTGGTCAGCCAGGGCGACCCGCGCCAGCACCTGGACCACTTTGTCAAGATCGGGGAGGGCTCGACGGGGATCGTCTGTATCGCCACGGAGCGGGGCACGGGCCGACAGGTGGCCGTCAAGAAGATGGACTTGAGGAAACAACAGAGGAGGGAACTCCTTTTCAACGAGGTCAGTATATGCTCAGTAATATCAAGTTTTTTTCTGAGTCTCGGAAGATCAGGGTTCCTAGCCATTCTGGAAATCAGGTGAAGAACCTCGAAAATTAGTTTCTATTTTACCAGTCTGGGACAATTCATGGAATTTGCGAGAAACACCAAAAATCTGGGGACAATTTTGGAACGCTCAGAGAATTTGACAGTGACCCAGAAGGGAAAGAATTTTGACCATGACGCGTATGTGCGTCTCTGTTGCATATGGTGAAGAAAGGATGGCTATAAGGGAGGCCATTGCTTGTCAACAAGCTGCCCATGTATTATCAGTATCTTAGTTGCTTTGCTCCAACCACCTCTTGACTTGCCAGCAACCTCGTTAAAGAGCAAATATTTCCCATTAACTTTTGGGACATTTCTCGGGGAATTATCAGGGAAAATCAAGGAATTTTGTTTTCATTAAGTGCTGGGAACTGAGGATACTGGAACATGTGATGCATTATTTAATATGGTTAATATAAATCAAATTAGGTTTTGCCCTTCACCGACGTTTTAAACACTGTATACTCAGTGTGTTACCTCCCGAGTGAAAGTTGGAAAAAATCACTCGGGTGGGACTCGAACCCACGACCTCCTGCTTTCTAGTGCAGATGTCTTACCACTCGACCACCGAGCTAACGGGATCGGTTGGCCGGTTCGAATCTGATGTACATAGCAGCGGGTACCGCATAAACTATTATAAGATGGAATTTTTGCGCCGGGGTGATATAAATCAAATAAGGTTTTGCCCTTCACCGACGTTTTAAACACTGTATACTCAGTGTGTTACCTCCCGAGTGAAAGTTGGAAAAAATCACTCGGGTGGGACTCGAACCCACGACCTCCTGCTTTCTAGTGCAGATGTCTTACCACTCGACCACCGAGCTAACGGGATCGGTTGGCCGGTGTCGAATCTGATGTACATAGCAGCGGGTACCGCATAAACTATTATAAGATGGAATTTTTGCGCCGGGGTGATATAAATCACCCGCTGCTATGTACATCAGATTCGAACCGGCCAACCGATCCCGTTAGCTCGGTGGTCGAGTGGTAAGACATCTGCACTAGAAAGCAGGAGGTCGTGGGTTCGAGTCCCACCCGAGTGATTTTTTCCAACTTTCACTCGGGAGGTAACACACTGAGTATACAGTGTTTAAAACGTCGGTGAAGGGCAAAACCTAATTTGATTTATATCACCCCGGCGCAAAAATTCCATCTTATAATGGTTAATATACATATCTTCCCCTGTGTATGACAGTTGTACTTTAGAAAACAGATTTTCCTTGGCATAACTATGCCTAGTTGAAGTTCATGATGTCAAAATGGGCAACTAAGAGATATTTCCTGATAAAAAGTTGAGGGCATGCAGTTGCCAATATGTCACACCTGTACAAATGAACACTGGTGCCTGTCCACTTTTTAGCACCCATGCTGGACATTTGTGACCCGCTCTTCAAAAATGAGTCTGTTGTGGCAGAACTGACATTTTGAGTTAACAACATTAATAAAATAGGAATGAAATATGCTTTCATTTGACAATATTTGATATATCATGGACCCCTCTAGGACATTTGGTTGCATTATTGTGCTTGTTTAATTCTGTCAAGTTTTTGCAAAGCTAGAAACGTCTCAATGGAGAAAAAAGGGTTTGAAAAATGACAAATACACTGTAACTAACCAAGAAAAGCACAAAAAAATCCTAATTTTGTCAGTCTTTTTCGTACAATATCTAAATTTCTGTGCAAGATATTTGAACTAAAACTATCAAACAACGAAAATATAACCAAAACAAAAAAATCCAAATTTTGATCAAATTTTCACTGTTTCCATCTAAAAATGGCAAAAGCTTGAAATCAAAATATGCGACATCAGACTCATTTTTTCAAAGCGGGTCACATTTATCAACACTGATTGGTTGAAACACCGTGGGGCGGGGTCATAATGGATCGGTCAATTGAATAAATAATTAATTTGTGATGTTATTTGGCTGTACTAGGTTGTCATCATGCGGGATTACAAGCATGTCAACATTGTGGAGATGTACAACAGCTACCTGGTTGGGGATGAGCTATGGGTGGTCATGGAGTTCTTGGAAGGTGGTGCTCTCACAGATATCGTCACACACACTCAGAAGTAAGTCTTGCACAAAAATGTCTGGTCAATTCCATGGAATTATAAAACTCGATAAAAAAAAATTTAAATAATTTTTTTTGAATATGCCAGCGATTATTCAAAAGAAACTCTGAAACAAACATGGTCTATATCCTTTTTGTTTTTTGTTGTTTGCAGACTTGAAGAGGAGATGATAGCCTACATATGCAAGGCGATCCTCAAAGCCCTAGCCTTCCTGCACTCACAGGGTGTCATACACAGAGATATCAAGAGCGATAGTATCCTGCTAACGCATGACGGCAAGGTGGGTTGGAAAATGTGGTTGTTTATGGACCCTGTGCCTAAGGACCTGCCAACAGGAAAATGTATAAGTAGTTGTGTTTTTAAAAGGACATTCTGGTACCATTGCCATATTATGACCATACTCATTGACTTTGTAGGGTTCCTACAGTCGTGGAAACAATCCTGAAAATATCCTGGAATATAAAGCTATCCATGGTGGAAAGTCATGGAAAAGTCATGGGATTATGATATTTTACAAGGAGTCTTTTACAACTAGTCTTGGAAAGTTGATATTTCAAGGAAAAAAGTCGTGCAAACATCATTGAATCCTGCACAACCCATGATGATTTCAATTTCAATTCCAACTCAACTCAGGAACATTTCTTTAGTTCCATCAAAAAACAAAGAATTCTGATAATTTCATGGCACTTAACCAGTTCACGCCGGGATTATTTTGACAAGGACGGAACGAGGCGCGGGATTTCTTTTCACTCGACCTCAATGCCAGGCGGGTTGAAGCCATCACCCTCGGGCAGCACACTCTTATTTCCGGCCTCGCTCGCTGCGAGCGGGTCACTGACAGATATTTCGACCTCGCTCCCTGCGTGTTTATCCGTCATCCGTTCTGAAAACCGCAAAACCTTTGCGGGTATACATGTCATTCTGCGCGAACTGGTTAAAGACCAAAAAACCAGTGGACAAGTGCAAACAAACACAAACAATAGCCGAAGATGGACTAACGAACAAACATACAACAGGGTCAGTGACATAACATAATAATGAGACTAAATGAAATGCCACGAGGAAAGGAGGAACAAAAAGCTGTTCAGGGCGGAAAAAGACAAAGATAGTATGCTAAAAACAATTGGCTGTGTTATATCAGTGTTACCTCAGTCAATTCCAAGATTCCCTCAATTGCAACTTGTACCTCTGTCTTTCACAGGTCAAACTGTCTGATTTTGGTTTCTGTGCCCAAGTCTCATCAGACATGCCTAGGAGGAAGTCGTTAGTAGGCACCCCGTACTGGATGGCACCGGAGGTCATCTCAAGGTTACCTTATGGACCAGAGGTAAACACACTTTTCTCTCGCCCTCCAACAGGCTTTTTTTTTTTAAATACTGCTCCAAATTGACCAAATTTTGGTCACATATCTGTGAATCAGTATTTTTTTCCCCAAGTGACAAACTGGAGATCATACCCCAAGAGAGTGCAAGTCAATAATGTATTAATGAACACTTTGGAAGTGAGAGCTTGCAACGGAAACCTTGCTTTGCGTCGAGGAAAATGAAGATGTTTTTTTTCTCAGTTTTCACAAAAAGTATATCTACTGAGCTAATATTTTGACGGTTTAGTATTTTGATAACCAGTTTCAGATGTATGGTATTGTTGTTTCTTGAATCGTCAAGATACTTTTTTTTTGCAAATGGTGTTTATTACTGTTAAATGAGTTGGCTTTGCATCAGGTTTCAAAAAGACAACACTGGGCTTGCTATACCCACACTCTTTATTTAAGTGGGAGACATCGAGGTTGAGATCTGATTTTGTCATGTGTATTTTTGCTTTCTTTGCGTGAGAACTGATTGCATATGTCTGTTTGTTGGACATTGCAGGTTGATATCTGGTCTCTGGGCATCATGGTTATGGAGATGGTGGATGGGGAACCACCCTTCTTCAACGAGCCACCACTGCAAGCCATGAGACGTATCCGGGACATGCCGCCTCCTAAACTCAAGAACCCACACAAGGTAAGCCTTTATAATCAAGCAAATTTCTATGTGACACATGATATATCTGAATTTTTCAGACATTTCAATTCAAGATTGAGAGTACAAGTGCCATAAAAGATTGGGATGTTCCTACTTCTCTATTTCTAATTGCACATCGGCGATTCCAGCGTTATGTAATGTCTGTGAGAGAGTTGTTAAGAGCTCAGTGAATAAACCTGAAAATGTCGTTATCAAATCTGATACATCCATCATCTAGTAATGGCCAAGGAGATTACAGACTAGGAGCTTGGGATCATTTCTCTAGATATCATGTCACTGTTACGGACACTACACTTGCTTTTATAAGGCTGGAGTTGCCCATATGATTTCTTTTAAGACACCCTGCTTTATAATGTGTACATTCTTTTTGACTGCAGGTTTCCTGTTTCTCTTTAAAACCCACTTGATAAAACTGCGAAGTTTCGTACAAAAAAAGTTGACATGTTCTTAAACTCATGATTTAAACTAAGTAATAGAAATGATCGATATAGGACAGAAGTGTATATAGTCCTATTACATGGCACTGAAACATTAACCCTCCTACTAGGAAGTTGCTATTCAGAGCAATGTAGAAAACCCTTTTAAAACCCAGCAGGTCAGTTTCATGTGAAGGGATGTGAAGTGTTCAAGTAACTGTGTCACACAGACAGTCACTGCACACACAAAAATAGCACTGTGGAGAGCAGTGAAGCGTGACTGAATCTGCCTGCTTGCCCTGAGCTTAACCACACAAAGGAACTATGGAGGGTTTTGAAGTGTTAACCAAGATTACCACAAAGGAATTTGAAGTGTGGGTGCTAACTCTATGGGCAAAAGTGGTTTTGCTAAAAACTTGTAGGGTTGTGAAGTGCAGAAGACTAGTATTAATTTGACTTAAAACTGACACACTATAATTTCATTAGTATGAAAAACACAGAAGCATCGTAACTTTTCTTTGTGTTTTTTTCTCCAAGGCCTCGCCCCGTTTGCAGGGCTTCCTGGAGCGCATGCTAGTGAGGGATCCCTCCCAGCGCGCCTCGGCCTTCGAGCTGCTCCAGCATCCCTTCTTACGGACGGCCGGACCGGATTCCTCCCTCCTGGTACCCATGAGACAACTCAGGCACAAGTAGGAAAAAAACTAAATCCTTCACTTGTGCGCCTCGTTTGTAAATACAAAAATAACACTCATGTACAGTACTTGTGTAAAAAAAAATATTTTCCAGTTAGGTTTTGTGGGATGTTGTGTAGAATTTGTATTCTAGTGTCACTTTTTAAAAAGCTGTAACCAAAAAAAAAAAATGTTCAAGAAAACTAATTTTACATAACAAAAATATGCAAGGAGTTGTTTCTGCTTTGGAAGAAAAACAAAAACGTATATTTTTCAGTAGTGAATACCTTTAAGGACAGCAACAGAAAAGCCAGTTTTTGAAATACGCTAAGCTACAAAAGGGGCTGCGTTTTGTTGGTGCGTAAAATGCTGGGTGAATTTAAAGGCTTTAAAGTGCATTCACTGCGTTTAGCAGCAGTAGTTTTTCACGATGATTTTTGAAGTGCGGACGTGCCAAACTTTTCAGAATATCCACCGAAATTGAAAAAGTGACAAATATTTTGCGATAAAACAAATTTTGAAATGGTTGTCAACAAAGCATTCTAGTCTCACAACAAGTGTTTTTGTTTTCATTTGTTTGTTGTTGAGCTATCCTAGCTATTTTATTCCATGTTTGTATTCCAGTTCACTTCGTGCACTTCACTAAATTCTGTATATTTTGCTGCCATTTGTACTTCCCATTCCATTTAGTGCACTCGTTCCAGGTTCGCCTATCCTCTGTGAATTCCTACCTTTAAGCACAAAATATTCTGTACAGATTTTTTTGTTTATATAATTTCTCGCGGTGTATTAATTAAATAATCAGTATACTCAATTTTATGTAAGAGACGGATAAAATAGCACTGTACCAAAATTATTTTTTAGTTGTTTTCCTAAACAATTTGTAATGGCATAGCAAGTTTTAATTTCTGGTATTTATGTAAAGGTAGGCATATATGTTTAATTTCAGTTACTGAAAATCAAGAGGGTTTACTAATTCTTCAAAGAGACATAGACTTTGTGCGCAAACAGGTTTGCATGCGCATACTGGTTTGCGCGCATGTGGCGCGAAGTACGCACGATTATGTTTATACCAAATGCGCACAAAACAGTGACGTCTTCACGCGAGCACCAGACACTGTCGAGAATGCGTTGGAGTGTCCCTCCCAGTGGTCTCCCCCCACTCTCTCTCTCTCTAACCGTTGAGGGGGTGCTAACTTGTGCACGGAACCCATAGGTACGGTGCCATACAGCTGCTAAGTACAGATTATTTCTTGACAAAGTTATGTAAAGCCTAGCTTATCTACGTTAAGCTGATGCAGACTGCGCAGACGGTACGCAGAACTGGCGGCAAAGTTGCACCAGCGTCTGCGAGATAATTTGCTTGTGTCTGGGTTGACGATGACATTATCACATGAAATCTTTCCATTTGTCTGCGTTATAGTTTGGGTCTGGTTTGCGTTGCTCTCTGCGTTTCTTACCTCAATATTGAAGCCAGGCTTAATCAGCAAAAATCTGCTGGTCCCCTGTCACAAATACAATGTAGTCAACATAAGACTACATTTTGGCTGGTAACCAATGATTTGTGCTTTGATAAAAAATATGTCTTGGGTTCAGGTCCTGGCTCTGTCAAATTTTCTTGAAACAAAACAAGGTAATCCTAGTAAAAGTGGTCCCAGACTGCACACAATTCTATGTAATTGATTCAGAATGGCTACTTGCTTGAAGTCTTTTCATGCATTTGTGTACATAATGGGTTGGATTAACCCATTGATGCTATGGGGTAATCCTATACGAGAGCACTGCCCAGTGGCACTTTCAATGAGGGAGTCAGTGAGTCAGTAGGCTGGCCCTCTCTAGAAACAGCAAAAAGATTGCATTTGATCTGTACATTATGATTCAGGGGCATTTTGTAAATACCAGAGCATGTACACGTACTCGAATCACTGTCTGTCCACGTTCTTCCATTGTGCACATTTTTATTACTGATTGTCTGGTTAAGTGTAATCTTTAATGTACATTGTAATGGAGTCTTTAAATCTAAATGCCTGTTCATACTTTGCGAGAATGCGAATGGAATATGACGTCCCGAAACATTCGCAGCGAAATTTGCCAGAGTTGAAATGAGCTCAACTTTTGTGAATTCGCAGCGCAAATACTTGCTCTGTCGTCACAAATTAGCATTCCCGTTGGCCTTCGCGCCGAGTATGAACTAGCCTATTGGTGTGTAGACACCAACTCAAACAGGGTAACATTTAGTAAGTGGGGCGTGGAGAATTGAAAAGGAGGTGTGTGTGTGTGAATGTGAAGGGGGGGGGGGGTCGGCGGTGGTTAGGGTTTACATGTAATCCAACGCCCTCCCTCAACCAGAATTTGGTCATGGTTTGGGACGTAAACCATCTTTTCATGCTACTAAACTACAGAGACATCAAACAGTTACGGAACATTTAACAATTACAGAGAATGTAGGTTTTTTTTAGCCCAACAGAAGTCAAAAAAATCCATTGAACTTTGAGTTGCAAAGGTATGAGCTGTTTATTTAATCATTTTGGTTTCAAATTTAAAATCTAATCTTTTTTTTTTTTTTATTTCATGTACATGTATTTTCAATACTTATTTCATAGAATTAATTTAATCTTGCCATGTAGGGCTTTTTGTACACCTCATTTTAATTTCATTATTTCGGTGTTTAATCTTGGTTTATTATGTTTTAACTAACAAAATCAGTAACTATTAATTTCTTTTTATGCTGATTTTATTTTAATATTCCTTAGGTTTTGTCAGTCATACCAATCATGTTTACTAAACTATTTTGTTTCACCTTTGTTCTTCCATCTATCCAGGTGCACGTCTATACACGTACATTTATTTTAATTTTATTTTTTAGGGGGGGGGGTTGTAAAATGGAGTTCCTTATCATATCAGTATCAAATTCAGTTCAAAATCATTTATCCTTTACTTTTTTTAGGGGAGGGGGGGGGGCAGTTCATAAATCTATCTTTCGCCATCTGCATATTTTTGTTTTACCACTGGCCATATGTGCCATAAAAACTGTTGCCTTTGTACAACTATTAAATCCTTTAATGCAGGCTTCGACGGATCTAGAAAGGAAAACATAGACTAGCCTCTTTTGTTGGATGGCTCATCCTTCTTGCGGTTAAGCAGTTTAGTGCTGTTACATGTTGGCACAATGGTGATGAATGTAGTACTTGGACAAGTCTATGTGTATCGGGAGCTCAGTAGAATCATGGCTATGTTGAGCCGCTTAACAGAAAACAGAAGCTGCTTAACAATAATTAACAGGCAGTATGCATTGCATGCCATATTTACCATGTTGGCCCCCGGAATCCCAGGCTCAATCCCATAGCACTACTTAACCATGTTACCAGTAAGCAGAATAGTTGTGTTAACTACATGTAAAGCAGAACATTGTGGTAACCTTAAGCACTACTTCATGGCGTGGATGTGCTAATGGTTACACGCGCATTGAAATTCTGTTGTTTCGTCACTGATTTTAGCAATCCTCTGAGGTAAGCGTGCCTGCTGCTGTGCTTACTGCTCACGGTCTCCATGAATTAGACAGAGGCTCTGTTAGCAGAAAATGTGTGTGCCTAACAGCGCTATGAAATTGGGCCCAGTTATTGCTGAGTAAAACTAATTTAAGCTAAGCAAGTTTATGTTCTTTCAGCAGCCCAAGTTGGTTTCTGCAGTTTTGTTCCAACAAATTGTAGGTGCTCATATTAATGTTACACCCCAACTAGACTATGGTCCCAAGTTAAGCTGGTACCATCCCAACTTATCTGTTCCACTTAGAACACTTCAGTAGGGATGGTCCCAACTGAAGTTGGGACCATATTCTAGTTGGGTCATAACAGTAGCAAGCAGTTGGACAGGAACATTTTAGTGTGTGTTGCAGATGAATCTGTTTGAGAGTGACCAACCACATTTTGTGAGCATTATTGAAACACTGTAAAGAAGCAAAATGTTAATAGTTTTTATGGAGAGAAAGAAGGCTGAACATGTATCATACATATTTAAGTGATGTAAATTACGATTGGATGAATTTGGAGTACTGCTTTCTGTGATAAATTGGGTCATTCAAAGTAAAAAAAACTTAGTGATGTCTCGCATGCCTCACACTTTATAAAATATTTTTCTTAAAATTGAAAATTGTTTTGTATGAAATGTCTTGTCTCTTTTCCAACTCCGTTTTTCTCGAAAGTTTTACTGAAACTTTTTTTTTTTAGGAAAAAATACAATGATAATGGTGTTTGGCAGTGCCTAGTTTGCTTAACATTTGATGAAAAATTTAACACGATAAGGTATTCGTTTTACGTAATTGTCTCCTGGAATTGCACACATTTTAGATTTTTGTGTGTGAAAGGAGGTACATGAGAATGAATTATGTTAACTATCAGCTGTTGATCAGTTTTTTGTAAAATGTTCCTATGAATTTTTCCCTTTTTTGTGAAAACAAAAAAAACCTGTGCCTCATAAAAAAGAATTTGTTGATGATTTTGCTGAAATGAATTTCCCGTTTTGTAAAAATACTTCACAAAAGTATTCAACATTTGGTGAACCATTCAAGATATTGTATTTTCACTAATATTTACAATACATTGTAAAAACATTAGTAATGATTTTGAAACAGTAATTGTGTTTATTTTGATTTATATGTACAAGCTAGAATTGGACTTTTGGTGTGTTGGAGATGTGGATTTGGATTTTGGGTTCAGCCCCTCACTGATTGATAATATATATTTTTTTCTAAATAATGTCAGTGAAGAGTAAACACAGTATTCAAATTAACTAGTTAGCGTTTAAAATAAATAAAAAATGGGAAATTTACATGACATTAATTTCAAACTTATAAACAAACTTTTGAGATCATACATTGGTAGAGGCATGCTAAGGTTTTTTTGCAGATATTAGATTTTCTGGTTTTGTTTTGGAGTGTTTAACAGCATAACTCAACTATAAAAAAAAAGGCATCGAAACAAAATAGCAAATGTTTAGACTTGAAAAATTCACTACGTATTCACTAACTAAATTTACAGAGTACAGTGTGTAAGTGTAAGCAACACAAGTTATGGGTGAATTGATATGCCATGCTGTAATGTACGCGCATGCTAAGGTGTGGAAACATTTAAACCTGAGCGTAACTAGCGCAAGCCTGGTGCCAGTACAGTGCCACCTCAGAACATGGCTTTCGCCGCGTTAGTCTATAACGACTGTATTTTTCTTGAGCTACACAGGCCAGCCGGTGGATTACGTACGTAAAGGTTTCCCCTTTAAGTTTGAGAAGTTTTGATGCGATTGGGAATACCGGATCTGAAAGCAAATTTCTGAACATGAGATTTTTTCCTGTGTACTATATGAAGAAAGTGCCCCTTTTGATGCAAAAACTTGGATTTTGTATAAAAAGGCTAACTTGTCTTAACCATTTTGTAATAGCAAGGAGATTTTTTTTTTTTCAAACAAAACAAAATGAGTTGATGTAATTGAAAAACTTCAGAGCAGGGAAGTAGGTCTATTTGTAAGGATAGAAATGAGAGGTGCCATTAAAATTATGTTAATGTATTCAATATTAACAGTACTTTATATAATGTACAGTGTGGGTGATGGGGTAATCATGGTTGACCTAGCTACACACCTTGGAAACACAGAGTTCAGCCTCTTTCACCGTGTATGGGGTGGATGCCCCCTCTATAGAGTTGGGATTCTGCACAGTGATGGGGAGAGCATTCAGGAATGTTCATAGTAAGGGTACAAGGGTGCAGATCTGTAAATAGGCCCAGAATTGCCGACGCGAGCCAAATCGCAATTTGCATGCCCTCAAATTCTCAGGAATCAGAGCATTTTGAGGGCCGTGAACTTGAGGATGTGTAAAAAAGAAGGGTGGAAGCCATGCAGAGGATTTCTGTGAAATTTTGATAAAAATTATAGGCCCTTCAATGGCTCTACCGGTATTTTGCAATGAAGTGTAGTCGTCCATTTCCAAAATGGTGATGGGCTTCAGGACTGCTTTTAGGAGTAATCATCTTTGGATGGAATTTTCTCCCAAAAGTCATCAGTTAACCCCCTCCCCCCCCCCCCAAAAAAAAAAATTGACAGAAAGTGAGAGATGATTAAATAAGCTTTAATGTGATAGGTGTCTCAAACACCTGGGAGAGTTGTATTCTAAATCATTTTTTGAAAGTACACGCAATTACCATTGAGGTCTATTGGAGTCAATTTGCAGGTCTGCACCCTTAAGAACACACAGAGCACTACATATTTCCATTATAAATTTTCCGTGATTTGTTGGCCAGGGACAAAAAAAATTGGAAAAGTTGTAAATGATGTTTTCCTACCTGTGTTTACAAGTTACAAGAAGTTGACAGTTCACTTGTTTTGGTTGTGCATAAAGTTTTCTTGAGAATGAGTGGAACTTCCATTGATCACGGAAGTCCTGGTGTAACTTACAAGGCAAAAATTCAATCCATGAAACGCAAAGGCACATGTACTTCTGACAGTACTCGGATAACAAAATGTTGAAATAAAAATTCCCACTGAAAATGATATTGGTGGAAACGCTACATACGCTACATTTTTCACAAATTGTTCACAAAGTGTTTGTGTTATTCCAGTTTGTATCAATTCCAAGGTTTGAAAGTTGGTTTTTCGAAAATTGAATTATGTACAAAGTAATATTCGTTAGGGTTTTTGAGCTTTGTAACAATATATTTATAATGCTTGTACAGTTTGTTTAATACTGTTGAGTTGGGATCGTAAATAAAAATGACATTTTGTAGCCAGCATATATATTTATGTCTTGTTTTATTTATTTCTATATGGTGTCAATTACAGAGAGAAGGATTTTTGCACATTTGTTAATTTATATAGATATGAGATCAAACATTAAATAATTAGCTTAATTAAATGATGCAAGGCAAATTTATATTTTCTTTGACATTGGCAATATTGCTGTGGCATATTTCTTTTTTTTGGGGGGGGGTGGCACTCAACTCAATACTTTTTTCAGTTGGATTGCTTCAATTTTAAATTTAGATAACTTATGAGCTTTCCAATGAGACATTGCACAAACACTTAAATAAGCCTAAAAATAATATCTAAAGATAATAACTACTTTGACATTTATTGCATCATAATAATTCAAAGCAAGTGTTAAAGGTCTGTCTTTAAAAGGTTTTTTTTTTTTTTAATAAAGCAAGCTGTTTGTTAATTTACAATAACATTAGTTTGTACATGTATGAGATTTGCAACCAAAGACATTTTTTTCCAGACCACTGTATTTTTTTAAGAAAGCAGGGAACACATGTTGCCAAATTCACCTTCAAGATTTTTGTAATATTTCAACACTGACTAATCCCATGAAAGCATTAATTGTGAAATAGCACAAACTTATAACAGGCAACATCCTTAATGATACTATTAAAACAAACAAAACAAATTGAATGAAAACTATTACATAGTTTGACTACAACCATCACAATACTTAAAAGTATTTAGATTCTTCCGAAACTTTTGCCCAATGTTCGTGGCTTCAATTACCATAACCAAAAATATTTCACTGTCACTGTCACACAGCAAATTATGTGCTTCAAATAAACACTCACAGATTAATGAAATTTAACTAGCGATTCTCTACTCACAGAGTAAACACGCAAATTACAATCACATGGTTTGCAAAGCCATAAAACAGCACCAAGACTTCCACAGTCCTTCTCTCTAGTACATGTACACTATAAAGTGAAATATTGCACTAAAATATAAAATGGCAAGCACACAATATCACACAAGAAAAACACAAGGAGATGTACATACAATAGCAACCCGTTTTCTGGCAAGTATACATGTAGTTCTAGTCAAGGGCGGATCCAGAACACAATTTTTTTGGGGGGCCAAAAACATTTTTGGTCCCCCCAAAAAGTGGGTCAAAAAAATTATGGCGTGGGGTTCGGGGCCTGCTTAAGGGCCCCAATATTTTTTTTGGAATCTAGATGCTCTGTGGTGCGATCTGAGGCAATTTCTGACCACTTAAACCAATGTTTTTTGAGGAAAAGATGGTGGTGTACTCATTGCCTGCCTTTATTGCGATGTCACATAAAAAAAAAAAAAATTGGTTTCATTTTTTTGGGGGGGGGGGCATGGCCCCCTTTGGCCCCCCCCCCCCCCTGGATCCGCCCTTGGTTCTAGTATGGTTGAAAAGTTAAGTAATCATTCTGAAGTCTGAAACTAAAGCCCGGTTCATACTTCATGCGAAAGCGAATGCGAAGCGAATTTGACGTCATGAAACATTGGCTGCGAAATTCGCCCGAGTTGAATTATGTTCAACTTTTATGAATTCGCAGCGCGAATACTTGCCACGACGTCACAAATTCGTGTTCGCTTACGCTTTCGCGCAGAGTACGAACCGGGTTAAAAGCCCGGTTCATACTTCATGCGAATGCGAAAGGGAAGAGAATTTGACGTCATGAAACATTCGCTGCGAAATTCGCCCGAGTTTAATTATGTTACACTTTTATGAATTCGCAGCGCGAATACTTGCCACGACGTCACAAATTCGCGTTCGCTTTCGCTTTCGCGCCGGGTATGAACCGGGCTTAAGCCAAGGTTTGGCTAACTTTAAAAATCATTAAACTCTAAAATCATAAAACCACACTCAGGAACATCCGTCGTTTGAGGTATTAATCCTAACTCCCTACTTATAGGTAGTTTTTAGTGGAAGACCATGTCTGTCAAAATCCATCACTCATTCTGCTTCATATAATGCTTCAGGACCAAATGTCCACCACTGGTGCCGGTAGATTTTGATGGAATTGGTACACACGGCTTATCCCAAATAATTAACTACAATTAGTAGTTACCCCAAATAATGATGCATCGGAGCTAAGAACATGCGTGTCAGCTGTCACTCTCTAGGTGTTTGTTTTGCTGCTGGATGGCGTCAATGTGTCTTTGAAGGAGCTGTATAAGACAGCGGTTAAGGAAGGTTTCGTATTATTTATTTGGAGAAAAAGTTCGATGAAAAGTTGAGAAAAAGCTCGATGAAAAGTCTATGACAAGACAAGTCACAAATAAATCACTAGTCCCTTTGAGATTTAGTTGAAAGTTTGTAATAAAAAATAGCTATATCCTCTCTGTGTGATCCCTGTTTCCTCTTTCCCAGGTTTGCAGCATTGCTAACGTTTTTAGCATCGTGTCTTGTGGCATGATCCCTGGCTACATGGCATATGGGTCATTCCACCGGGTTGAAGAACAATGTGTGACATATGACTATATTAAGAAAAACATGAATGCCTTGCTAGCATTTGCTCTACATGATATTTGTTGTTGCGTGTTTCACTACTGCAGAAAGTTTGAAATCATTTCAATGTATTTTGCCAAAAATATGAGCAAAAAATGTCATTTTGGACGTAACATTGACACCGTGTCAGTGTTACGTCCAAATATCACATTTGTACCTTTTAAAAAAAATTCTGCAAACATTACTCAAATTCACTTTGAGTTGGTTGTGTGGATGTAACATTTACACGGTGTAAAATCAAATGTCACACTTCCATTGAGTGAGTTTTACACCGTTACATCCACACTTGAGGTATTGTTTCTGCTATATTTGAACCTTGACTATACCAAAACAAAAGCTTTTCTTGGTCCTTAGGTGTCCAGTTGTAAATATGCAATGTCAGTTTGGGTAATATTTTACATACGTGTAAAAAATGGCAAAAAAATAATATTTGGATGTAACATTGACACGGTGTCAATGTTACGTCCGAATTAATACACTTTTGCTCATATTTTTGTCAAAATACTTTCAAATGATTTCCAACTTTCTCAAGTATTGAAACACCTTAAGACAAATATTATGCTGAGCAATTGGTTAGAATGCATTGATACTTTTAATAATATAACCAAATATATGGATGTTACATGCACTGCTTCCCAACCCAGTGGTATGACCCATATACAGGTTTATGGCTTCTGACTAGCGCTCCTTGAACAAAGACATTGACACAATGGGGAATCGCCAACATAGGGCTGGATAGCTCAGTTGGTACAGCACCGGAACGGTAATCTGGAGGTCGCTTCAGTCAATTTCATTTTTCAACTTTAACAATTATTACATGTAATTGCTTTTAATTTTCAAACCAAAAGGATATCAGCATTGTCGTAGTCCTCCTTTTCAACTGCTTCTTTTAACTGACCCTCAAGCCTCTCCAATTCCAGCTCCGATGTCTTCTCCGACGTGCCGCTCAATCTTTCCTCGCCAACCTTGCTCTCTTCCTGTGTCAACTCTGAAAGCTTCTCGGTTTCTTCCACCGGAAAACCCTCTGCCAGGTCTTCAAGTTCGGCTGGGAATGGCTGTTGATGTCTCAGGCATAGCAGTTTTACCTGCAAGGAGCTTGACACCAGCTCGGCTTTTTGTAGTGCCTGAGCCAAGGGGCTCTGGGAAACGCTCTGAAGCTGTTCTCTCAAGTCTGCAATGTGCTCCAGGAGTTCATCTTTAACTGTTAACTCTGACAAAATGAGACAAATAAAAACGAACGCTAATAAGCAGAGGTAAACAAAACAACATTGATTTCTTTTAACCGTTACCCTTCTCGATGTTTTTGAGGTGTTGGAGGATTTTGCATGATTGAGGAAGGACGAGGCCAGCCACTATTACTTTTAATACTTGGGGCTTGATCATGATGATCTTTGAAAACTGAAGAGCAGAGAGCGAGCCAATTGTAGCTGTTGCATTCCTGCACGGTGCTTGATTCAAGAGGATTCAAGGTAAATTAGCTCCCTCAGCAAATTAGCTAGGAACACAAATGCAGCCGAGTCCGTAACAAGCGAGTCACAAATTCACAAGGTCCCAGTCCTCACAAGTCCATCACAAGTCCTCCAGTCCCAATAGATCTCTCTCAAATTACAGCACTACCTACAGATTGCCACGTGTATTGACATTTTAGGAGTCAAGTTTTTGTGACGCGCATCGGCTGTGGGGCATTTCGAAGGAATTTCCAGCAACATCCGCAAGTGTTTAGAACATTTTGCACACTGCTTGTACACGCACATGATGGCGTTGAATACGCAGTTGTAATGTTCCTACAAAGATTGCTGTCTATGAGAGGGGTCAAGTCAGAAGCTATTCAAATGAACTATGACAAAGGCACTTCTTTGTTTTTGTTCATCCAATGTTACTTGAGAAAGGACTTGTGACCGACTTGTGATGGACTTGTTAACAACACTGGTAACAGCTTTTACAATTTGTCAGGAATCAGGGAAGGTTCAGGGCAGTTGATGAGAAAAAAATGTGGGCTGAAGACTTGGCAGGGAGCCTCCCTTACTGACCTGCCTGTCTCTCTTCCTCCTTCACCTCCTCCTGTAACCTCTCCGCATCCTCCATCATCGTCTTGACTGTCTCGCTTCTCTCATCGTTGCTCTTGCTCAGTGCCTCCATCTCTACCTGGATGCACTGCCCCTCTGCCGTCAGTCTCTTGATTTCCTCAGTCAGCTTCTTGGCCTCTGCAAAATTCCTCCCTGGAAAGGAAGACCGATGGAAAAGAAGACTCAAGAAGATACGCAAAATACTTTTATGAATTACAGAGAAAGAGGCAGGCTGCCATTGGCATCAATCGGTGGGGGACTGGAGGGACAAGTAGGGGGATATCATATCGTTTGTCCCCCCACTTTTTCTTCCCTGAATAAAAACTATAGTCTACTATAATGATTCTTTAGCTCAGAAAATAAAGTCTCTAAACTCGAAAACGATGTTTCAAAGATGATATTTTATTTAAAAACTATTTGTTTTAGTGGTAAAAAAAATTACCTCAGATCACACCACAGAGCATCTAGAATCCAACATTTTTCAGGGCCCTTGAGCAGGCCCCGAACCCCACGCCGTTACGGCTCCGCACTTCACACTCGCATTAGTGCTGATCAAGGTATGCCCCCCCCCCCACTTTTCAGAAGCGATTGACACCCTTGCAGAGCTGCCAAAGGGAGCTCGGCCCAATTTCACGGTGCCGTTTAACCATTCACCTGTTCACTGGGTTTCCACCAAAAGCTGACTTTGTATGTTTTCTGCTGGAGCTTAAAGTTATTGGTCCGACTCTTACTAACATATTTCTGTTTTGTACATGGCCAGTGAATGCCATCTCAACCCACCTGACACAGCCAGTTGCTTGCTCTCATTCAGTGAGGCTATGTGACCCTCGGTATCACTGACTCTCTTTCTCAAGGATACCACTCTGGTTTGGCTCTGGAGTAAGCTAGAGGTTGCCTTTCGAACTTCTTGCACCCTCAGTTTAACTGCCTCCTTTTTCCTGTCAATTGAAAAAATTTATGATAAAAAAATAGTTTTTGAGATTACTTTACAATGGACACGAGTAGGCACGTGTGGTCTAGCAGTAGAGCACAGGATTCATGCATGATCGTAAGATTGTGGGTTTGAGCCCCGCCGTGGCCATGCGTGTTGTGCCCTTGAGTAAGGTGCTTTACCTCTATTACTAGTCCTCTCAACCCAAGTATTAAATGGGTACCAGCATTATTCAATGCTGGGAAGGTAACAGACTCGCTGTGGAGGAGGTGTGGCGATTCCCCCACAGCAGCATATGAGTCTGGCCCAATCGCTAATGAAAGAGAGATGGGCTCTCCGTTCTTGTTAACACAGGTTCGGCATCATTACTTTTTTTTTTACAATGGACGGCTACATGATAGACTCCTTCATAGTTTTAGTCAGTATGCAGAATATTACATTTAACTATCTTTGGACCTCATCAAGTTTGGCTGAAACTTGGATATGCTGAACTCATGGAAGGAGAGAATACAACTTAAAATGTCCTGCCTGCTAGGTGGAAAGTTCAGCGTTGATATCATGCACAATGGTAGAAAAAAACACCATGAATTTCAAGAATCAAAATTCCCCACGAAAAGTTAACTTTCGTGGAAAGGTCATCTTTCTTAACACTTGTATCTATCCTCGCATATCCTAGTGTTACAATTTATTTTGATCGGGTATCTTGATCTAGCTTTTCTTCTGCTGACCTCTTTTATATTTTCAAAGCAAAATATATGAAACAAAAGGAAATTCAAGCTAAACATGTTTCCTCCCAAAGAAACAAAAAATATGAAGTCATATCACCAATGGGCCAAACTCGGGAGTTTGGAATCAACTTGTACTTTTGATTCATTGTTATGAGTTTTTGTAAACAGAATTAACAGATTGATTTTCTGGTTTATATGTACACAAAGATGAGAGAGGTGACAACTGAAAACACAGTTTCAAACAAAACTTACTTCAGAAAACTTTCTCTAGTCTTGGAGAGTGTTGCTGACTTTTCGTCTTGCCACATCTTAGGGAGAGCACAACAGTTCTTGTCCTTGAGGTTGTCAATTGCATCTTCCTCTTTGGCAAGATCCTCCTGCAAGTCTGTTAGAAGTCTGCTTTCACTAACAAGTGAACAAATAAGAAACAATTTAGCCATCAACAAACTTCATTGCTTAAACTCCCCTGGTTTCTATCTCAGATCCATACAGGTAGGTCCTAGCATTCTAACTTTTCTGGAGCTATGTGAGTGATAACAATTGACAAAAAAAATCTATGCACAATTGTAACTAATCCCTATCAGTGCAATATTCCAATTTATATAACCAACATACATATCCTTGTCATTTGATTGGTGGAACTCACATCACGTGACATTCATTATTGCTCCCATTCACGCCGGGGCTCAAAAAGTCCCATTTGCCCATGGGGGATGGGAAATACTATTGAACAGTTAGGATCATTCTTGTTCCATGACGCGATATTTGTGTGCAAATGCATGCTGGTGTGTGCGATCAGCGTTGCGCGTAGCGCGTATTGTTCCAAAGAGACAGAGCTACAGAGCTGGGTTCAAACATTTTCGTGAAGGGGTGGTTTGGAAGCCTGGAGAAATACATTTTCCAACAATTTTGTATTGAAAACATATATTGAGTGCCTGTAAATTGTGAAATGGGAGGGATATATTATCGCTCGGTTAAATCTGGACTTTTCCAGTTCACTCGGCTTCGCGTCGTGAAATGAAAAAGTCCAGATTTTACCTTGCGATAATATTCCTCCCATTCAACGCTGAGCCACTCAATATTTGTATAACATCTTCTTGTGAAATTCTCACCGTTCTTCCGTCATCTTCACTTCCTCCATCCCATCAGCCAACCTCTGTTCCTCCTCCTTCAACTCCTCTCCCCTCCTTTTCAGATCAAGCTCCGCCCCCTCCAGTACCCCTTTCTCTCTCTCTAATGCTGATCTCTCGTCCTCAAAGTCTGCTGTAACCGTTGCGATCTCGCGGTCTTTCTTCAGGATCGCTTCGGAGATGACGTTCTCCTGGAGACGCAGGGCGGATAACTTGGCCTCTAAGATCTGAATTTCATCCTGGAGTGATCAAAGTGTGAAGCGTAGTCATTAAGGAACAGTGTTGTTGTTTCCTTTGCCTTCCAATTCAGTGACCCAGGTTCGATTCCCACAGAGGCAAACATGTATTCCTGCTTCCATAGGCTTCCATAAAACTCTTGGTAAATAAATGATGCAAGGCAAGCATTAGAAAACATAAGCTTTTTACATTGCTTATCAAGATAAAGAAATGTAAACTTTGAAGACAAGGCAAATTGTTTTGTTTGGCTGGTTTTAAGTTTGGGATGTTGGAAATGGTCAGTAGGGGTGTCTGGACTATTTCGGCAACAACCAATTTCTGAGGTGGCGACTCCTTCAACCAATACGGTTACAAAAATGTGTTTATGCCCTGTTTTTAAGAAAGTGTGCAGCATGCGCGCAAATGTGATTCCATCTCAAAAATTTCTTGCAATGTTTTCGCTGATTAGTCTATAATGAGTAAATTTCTAAAGAAGAGTTGCTTTTTCTGTCCACGTACCTGCACTTTTGCCCTGTCATCTATCAGCGAATCCCTGGACTGGCGTAAAGGAGCCGTCCCTTCAGCAATCTGGTCTGCTAGGCTAATGTCCCGCTTGCTCAAGTGCTCTTTGTCCAGATGTAAATGCCTGAAAAGTGAAATGTAACCCCATAAGATATTGGTTCACACTTTGTGCAGATAGGGAAAACACGCAAATTTGCGATGTCATGTCTGCCTTTTGATTAAATTTTTTGTTAAAATCCCCAAAGTGTGTATTAAACCAAAGACCCACTGGAAACTTGAATCTAAAAACTCGATCTCCCCCTTTGACAAACTCACCCCAGGTCTCTGTCCAGCTTGTTCCTCTCTTCCTGGACCTTGCGCAAACGGTCGCTCTCCCACTGCGCATGGCGCCCTCTAGCGTCGGCCACGGCTTCCTCCTGCTCCGAGATCAGCGTCCGGTACTTCTTTGTCATGCTCTGCCGTGCGGCCTTTTCTTGCTCATGCAGGGTCTGGAGGTCTGTGAGGAGATTGCGTAGGGCTGGGTGGTCACGTGGTAGCAGGCTGCCAGATTGCCCGATGTCATCTTCCATGGTTTGACACTGGAGGTGGAGCTCTTCAGCTGAACAAGAGTCATGTAATTGAATGGTTAAAGGGAATATACAACATTTGCAAACATCGAAAAATAAAACTACCAAGTTTTTACGAAATACCTTACTAGGATGTTGGTAAATGACAGTCTCAAGCATCTTGTAAAATTATGGCACCTGGCGTGAAGTCATTTTCAAGAAAATAGTGTTTTTGTAAACATTTCCAACGGTGGTCGGCCGACCAGCGTTGGAAAAACCTAACTTTTTTTCAACTTCTGCTCCAAATTTACAATGTTTTCAGTCCAAATTTTGTTTGCTATTGGTTACATGTTCATGAACGGGTGCAGGCCAGCTAGACTGGTTCCCTTGCCTTACAATTTTCCATCATCTATAAATTGATCCATTTTATCATTTGTGGAGTCAGGGAACCAGACTACTTGAACATTTTTGGGGTTTTTTGGGGGTTTTTCCAACCTTTTAGAACACAGAACTTCAAAAATGTCAGTGTAACAATATTTGATCTATTATACTAACCTCTCAAATAGTTCATTTCTGAAAATTACAGCAAAAGCCAATGATGTATATTCCCTTTAAGTGTATGATAAAGTAATGCTGTGAGCGTGAGAAATGGCGTGATTTGGAAAGAAATACAATAATAGCAGAAACTTTTTAGGCCCTTTTCCATCATGCACCAATTTCTCAGTTTTTATGCCTAAATCATACATGTGGGTCATACATTCTATAAATTTGGGGTCCACTTTTTTCCCCGTCCCTGTTACATCTGATATCCATGATTCAATAATAATGATGCACTCCTTAATGCAGTCATCCTCCAAGAGTGATTAAAATAGCAAACTACATGTACCTACCTAAAAAATAAAATATAATTTGAAGTCATTAATAATATTAGAAAATTACAAAGTACCAAGTTAACATGGACAGGAAAAGTGTCACAACCCTAAATTTATAGAATGACCCACAAATTAGAAAACAAAATCTCACTAAATCTCTACTTTATATCCTGAGCTTTAGAATCTGGTATGAAAAATACCCGGGTAGGTCGGTTCGGCAGGATAGGGTTGGTCGCTTTGGCGGGTATTCTGATGATGTTTGCAGTGAAATAGAAATGTATGCCATTGAACTACCTTTTTCATAGTCTTCTTCGTTGACAGCCTGCTGTTGTTGCTGCTGCAATGCCTGCAGCTGATGCTGCTTCTCCAGTAGAGAGAATCCTGATAGCACACAGTCCTTGGCAAGTTGCACAACCCGGTCTGCTACGTCACAAGTAGATTTCCTGAAGTATCAAAACTCAGTCAGTGTTATGCAGTCATTGTCATGCCGAAATAACTTTGCCAGTTAGCAAAAAAGGACTCTAGCTGAAAACACTCGTCGGCTCCCTGCCAAAATACCTCTACCAGTTCCTAGCTAGAAATACCTTGAAGGTTCTATAAAACTACCTACGCCAGCTGCTAGCTGGAAAAACCTGACTGCCACCTGGTGCGATAACGTTGACAGTTACTATCTGGAAATAAAGTACTCGTCTGCTCCCTGCTGAAATAACTCTGCCAGGTCCTAACTAATTGCTGGAACAAACTTGACAGTAACTTCGGGCAATAATGCCGCAAGTTCCTAGCTGAAAAGTAAATTTGTCAGCTCCCTGCTGCAATAACCGTGCCAGTTCCTAGCTAGAAATACCTTTAAGGTTCTATAAAGCTAACTACGCCAGCTGCTAGCTGGAAAAACCTGACTGCCACCTGGTGCGATAATGTTGACAATTACTATCTGGAAATAAAGTACTCGTCTGCTCCCTGCTGAAATAACACTGCCAGGTCCCTGCTGGAACTAACTTGACAGTACCTTTGGGCAATAATGCCCCTAGTTCCTAGCTGAAAAGTAAGTTTGTCTCCCTGCTGCAATAAGTGCACCAGTTCCTAGCTAGAAATATCTTGAAGGTTCTATCAAACTAACTACACCAGCTGCTAGCTGGAAAAACCTGACTGCCACCTGGTGCGATAACTTTGACAGTTACTATCTAGAAAGCACTTGTCTGCTCCCTGCTGAAATAACTCTGCCAGGACCTAGCTACATGTAATTGCTGGAACTAACTTGACAGTACCTTCGGGCAATAATGCAGCCAGTTCCTAGCTGAAAAGTAAGTTTGTCAGCTCCTTGCTGCAATAACTGTGCCAGTTCCTAGCTAGAGTCAGCTTCCCGCTAAATTAACTCCTCTAGTTACTTGTTGCAAGACTAGATAAAATGTGATTTAACAGTCCCGAGACCTAATGACCTCATGCGTGTGTGCTTCCCTATGAGAGCCAGATGAGATGCGTCCCACTTAGGAAAACACACATGTAAACAAAGCATGACGTCATATAGGTCTTACTCTTAGGCCTATTGTGCTGACTTGTCCTGACTTGTCTAGAATGCGATGTATTGATTATAATTCTTGGTTATTCCTTCCAAAGTTTTGGTGGCAAGAAGAATAAACAAATTTGACCATAATTAAAACTGATGTGACATTGAACTGATGAGGGATGTTTTTGCTGATGGGGAGAATGGGGTGGAGGGGGGTGGGGGTGGGAGGGGGTATATAGGGGGTTAGGGGTTTGAAGGTGAAATCTTTCCGTGCCACATTTAAAATCTTTCCCTGACAACATTTGTATTTACTTAATGATAAGCAGCTGCTTCACATGTTCTTCCATATAAACTCTCCGTCGATCCAGTGAGCCCGTTTCTCCATCGTCTCTTCTTGTGATCTTCCCAATTTCCAATTTCCTTCTCCCTGGAGTTTGCGAATCCTCCGAAACCTCCTCAACCGACTCATTGCCAGTTGCAGCTTGACTGTCTTCTTCTACATCACAACTCTCTTCGGTGCTCACCAAGGATTCTTTTGTAATAAAACTAAAACTGCTTGTTGATTTCGCATCCAACGCTGAATGTTCGTCTTCTTGATTTTCTTGCTCTGATGGCGCACTGAAATCCACATCCCGTAGGTCGAAACCTGCGGGGCGATGTTCTTGGCCCTGCGTGTGGGCATCCCTAATGACCTTTATGGGGTCGAGGTCGAAGTTTAGGTCATCTATGGCTGATTCGGGTGGCTGTGACTTTGGTGAACGGTCTTTACACAATTGTCGGTCCACTTTACTACTTGACTCTCCAGTACATGTATGTTCTGTTTCAAGAGCAGTACTTGTTGGCCGTTTTCCATTCGCTGTGTCCAGTATAAAAGAGAATTGACTGGAATCCCTGGTTTCTTGTGAATTACTGGTACTCTTCTCTGTTTCAGTTGAAGGGCTTTTGTAGATCTTTGGTTCCGTCGTTCGAGGAGCACTGTCTGTGGGATGCTTGTCAGGGCTAGAGCTAGCCAACTTCATGCCACTGAAGAGTGACATCTTCTCCTGGGTAGGAAAAAATGACATAATTTTAATCGATAAGAAAACAAGTCATTTCAGATTTGAGGGATTGCATTTAGAAGATAGCAATATTAGACTAAGTTTGCGGTTGCACTATGTAGCAAATCTCTTTTGTGAGTTAATTTATGAGGTTGTGAAAAGAACCCGAAACACAAAATTTTGGAAAGTATGCTCTGCCAGTCATCAGGAAACTGATGATGGGCAGAGAAGTTTACAATTACAAACAACTTTTTATAGATGAAGATGCAGGTTGCAAGATTAAGCATTCTGGTCTTCTTCTTCCTTGCAAGTACTGCCTTCAAATGGTTGAAGATAAAAGCACTGCCAGGGGCAAACCTCTTCTCTTATCTTAGCGATACGTGTTACTGGGTTCTACGGGACCTCGTACGGCTTTGTGTCCAATCCCAAGGATGAAGCAATAATGGTCAAGTGTCTTGCTTAGCCTTTAAGGACACAAGTGTTGAGACCGAGACTTGAAGCCACACTCTAGTCTCTACTGATCTGAAAAACCAGAGCTTGAGCCTGGTGCTCTCAATAGGCAGTCTTATTCTGCTCGATCACGAGTTCATGACACACATTTTTTGAGTTTACATGTATATGGTAATTCTGGAAAGAACTGGGGAAACTCAACGCTTCAGACGGTATGCTCTGCCAGTCATCAGGAGACTGATGATTAGCAGAGGAAGTACCGGTACCTGATTACTTGCAGAACGTTGCTTTCACAGGAGGAGGGGCTGGACCTCATTCGTTGATAATGATATGTTACTCCCACCCCCCCCCCCCCCCCACCACCTAGGGCATGCCATTGCCATGGCAATTAACTGCAATGTTAAAGCAGGCATTCCCGGTTTGATCATACTTTCTCTCAGACTCAACCTGCAGACAAGTCTGAAAATGTTTACCAGATATACTTCTAGGCATGATTGGGCTAGAGTAACACTCTGACTGGTAAGTGCCCCCCTCCCCCCCCCCCCCAATTTGTTTAGGTACAAATAAAATGTTCACCTTTTCTAATTCTATTTTACTCAGTTAAATTTTGGAGAGGATTTCTACTGTTTTGTTTGTACACAGGATTGGCACTGATTTCACAACCAACACAACAATTTTGAACACGTGAAGAAGTTGGACAACACTCCTTGGTGCTCCTTGCTCAACAAATATGTACAAAGCAGAAAGCTAAAAAAGTGAAGTCAGAAAGCAAGACACAACATTATTTTTTGTACGTGTGATTCACAAACATAAACATTGCCGCTTGAAAGAAGGCTAGCACTTCGCGCGTTGATTAAATAGCGTTGGTGTCAAACAAAATATTTCGCCTTTGAAATCATGGCACCGGGTACCAGGCTTTCTTTCACTACAATAGTTTATTAGACGTCTGTCTATTGGTCAAGGGGAACAAACCGCGTGTCGATTCTTCCCCACTATAGCTGTTATATTATCAAGATATATGAAAGCATTAAATACGAAAAGGTATAAATTATTAATACATAATTTTTCAGCTAAATAATTTTATAATTCTTGCAAGTTTAACTGAAAAATTATGAGAGGTAAAATAGTTGCCTTTAAATAATCTGACCAATGAGAACATGTCTACGAAAGAGAAGCGGCAATAGCAGTACAAGTACGCGGATTACGCATGCGGCGTGTGTGAGCTGAATTGTCCGTGTTGTGAAGAGGTATGTTGCTAGTATTTTCAAATATTTTCGTTAGAAAACAAGTTTTGTTTCATAACTCATTTTTAATAGGTACTCGTATGTCAATAGATTTATCATATATATTTCACGATTTCAGTTAAGGGTTCAGTTATGCGAAAAAATGCTGACCAGATGCAACGTTAGTGCAAAACGTTTTCACGATTTTGCTTGGCGGTGCGGCGCGGTGTCTGTTCGCCGTCTCGCTGGCGCCATGGCGTGGCCGGCGAGACCAGACACGCCTGAATTTCACCTGTTCAAACTCGTCCGCTATGAATGATACAAACTCGCTCATTAACTTTCCATTGGCTTCTCCTGAATTCTAAGCCTAGGCTTTATCTTTGATTAAAAAAATAGACTACTTAGGCCAAAAAAAAAAGTCTCCGGTTTCTGGTAATGGAGCTTGCCCCAAAAGTGGTGCGGCGACGCGGCTTTTTTTTTTTTTACCTGTTTTTTTTTTTTTTTTTTGGCTTCAAATGTCGGCTAATGACTGCAAATGGTGCCCGACTAAACTTAGTGCAAATATATGGGAGTCCAGAGAGGCCACATAAAGCTTATTCTCGATCATAACCCCATCTAAAAACACGTAAAAATTGTGCAGCAGCAGGATTCCAGTCAAACCAGTGAGTTTGGCGATTTTGAGAAATCATCTTGTATTGAAAAAAAAACTTTTTCATTTTGCCGATGCGCATGGCTACGGCGACGCGCGCGCATACCAGAAACCGGAGACTTTTTTTTTTGGCCTAGTACTTAAATTTTATTTTGGAAGCAGTTTCGTCTATAGAGGGCGCTGTGTACTACAAATGTTTCTGCCTTGAAAGTTGAAAAGAATTTTGAAACTGATTTTTTTTTTTTTGTGTATGAATAAATCAATCAGTCACCTTTAGAGTTTAGTGAGGAGTAAATCAGTTAATTTACGAACACAGAGGTTGCCCTTCCTCAAAATCACGTGCATTAGGCTGAGACTAGTGAGAAAAGTTGTTTCTCATGTGGGCTTTAAATATGCCCCCCCCCCCCCCCCTGATGGTTAATTTTCCAAGACAGTGCAGGCCTTCATTTTTAGAAATTCGTGGAGCTCAGTTAATCGCTCTCCTGGGAAATCCGAGGAGCTCAATTTGAGCACCCAAAATTGCTCTCCTAGAAAAGTCCGAGGAGCTCGATTTGCATGTTTTGTGCTCAAAGTAAAAAATGAATCCAAATCATTTCCTGAAGCCTTTCATATCATGCACACACACTTGCATCAGAACTGAGAAACAGATGCGACTGTTCACTACAAATTGAGTGCTTAATTCATGTCAATTTAATAGGTTTAAGTTTTACTTGTTTGTGAATCATCCTGATGTGGAATTGGAAATAAAAATGAAAAACAAATTGGAGTTGACTTGTGGTTCTTTAGTGTTTCTTTTTTGTTCTATTTTACCTCGTTTTTATTATATTCACTTTATTTTATTTTTATATTTTGTTTTATTTACTGTTTATTTCAGTTTTTATTTATTGATTTTTTTTTATCAAATAGTTTGTTTTGGTTTACTAACTTTACTAAAAACCTGTTTTTGTTTAAATTTGCATATGTATGATGTGGTGTAACCGTGTTTTTGAGGGGTTCTAAAATTATATCCAAATTGATGAATAGAGCCCCCTCCCCCCCCCCCCCCCCCCCAAAAATCCAATTAATTTAAGTCCGGTCATACATCTGTCAAAGAAATTAATTTTACTCAAAATTAGTAAAACTAGTGCAGTGCCCGTCTAAAATGTGCATGTTCGGGAAACGCAATAGAAAAGGAAAATAATTATATGAATATTTGGTTTTGGGCACAAAAAATAAAAGGATCGAAAGTAAGGTCACAGAAATGTACAAGTATTAAACGCCATTACAAAATGTCGAATGGTACTACGCACAAACAATGTCACCGTGCACGGGTGGCCAGTTGACCGGCCGCGCTAGCGGCACATAGCCCGGTAGTCGACACACGGAAAATCGCTCTGCACTCTATCGTTGTGGGACAAATGAGCTCAACCTTTCGTAAGGTATTTCCAACCCAAACTTGTCAAAAATGAACGCTAGTTTCTTGTGGATGTACCTGAGATCATTCAAAATGCCGTTCAAAAACTCTGGCTCCCTTTGGAACATCACAACTTCCAGAAAAACGGTGTAATTTCACTGTTAATTGTCTGGCTGCACAGTATTAGATCGCGCACAAGTACATGTAGGCCTACGCGTATATGCGTGGGATCGGGGGACGGGTCGGTTTCGCGATCGCCCGGCACCACACTCAACACGTGTGCTTGGGCCACGTCCATTTTATCGAAAAATAGGGGTGTTGGTATTAAAAAGTAGGTGGTTTCAATTGCACAGCCCATCCATTTCATAATTGTTTTGTGTTTTCACTTCATCGGAGGTTTATTTATTTAGTTTAACATTATAAATATTTATAAACTGATCTCAACCGAAATTATTATTTCATTTTATTCACTTAATGGCGGTGCACGTCTAAATGACGATCCTGCCAGTACCCTTGATCATAATGGAACATGCTACATGTCGTTGATGAAAAGAAAATGGCTAATGTGTCCATATGTACGTGATGTATGGGATGGCTCGAGTAACTGCGATGTTTACAAAATCCTTGCGATGATTATGATAATATGGGTGGATTTTACGAAGGTATTCGACTTACTTTTGTTGATTTTTTTTGCAACAAAATCGTTCAAACATCGGGATGACAAGTTAAGAAATCAAGTATATAAAATTTGGATTGACAAGATTTTACTGTTGGCTTTATGTAGACAAAAACTGGAGTCGACAATTAATGAGCTTACAAATTTACCCAGGAGCGCTATTATTCGCGCGCCAGAAACCGTGTTAAGGAGCGCGAAGGAGCGCGATCGCGCTCGCGCTCCTTAAAAATGAAGGCCTGCAGTGGATGGTCTTTTCATTTTCTTGACACTTGCTAATGAAATGATGATTGTGTATCTACCTACGGGCCCGGTTCCTTTATAACAAAACCCTCTTAAAAATTATTTGACCTAAACGAGTTGGCGACATCAAGAACATGCAGGTATGTCATAGAAAAAGGGCAGAGTTAATGAATTTTTGAGAGAAATTTGGGGTAAAAATGACAAAACGCAACAAGAAAATAAAGATAGCGAGGCGTGTTGAATTGCACAGCACCAACCGTAAACCTGGTAGGAAAATTGTAATTTCTACCCCAAGAAACTGTTCAAAAATTACACAAAAGGTGTCATTATATTGAGAGAAGTCTGTTTTAGGTTGAAAAGGTCATTTTCGAGTAAAGAAAACACACCCTTGATTCTAATTTGATTGAAACTTTATAGGGGCCAACACTACACGATCGTCGATAAAATTGTGTCCAAAGAAGTTGTGAGCCTGTCTACATTATAGCTACAATTTTGTTGGAAATAAATAGAAAAACAATAGGCCTATCTACATATTGATACTATATTTGCAAATGTACAGAATTAAAATTCGTTTAAAAAGGAGGCGGTTGGTGAAAAGGAAACGGGCAGGGATGAGAAATTTGGTAATTTTTTTACTTGGCCTTTTTTCACTTGGACTTTTGCAGAAGCTCATTATACATCAAGTTCTCAATCAGCCAGTGAGTCAAGATGAGTGAAATAGTCACCCCTTCCAAACTGAAAGTTGCTGAGCTCCGAAGTGAGCTGCAGTTACGAGGACTTGATACGAAGGGGGTGAAAGCAGTGCTTGTCCAACGACTGGAGGAAGCCCTCCTTGCAGAGAATGACGATGCCTCCACCGATGTCTCCCCTGCGCCCGAGGAGGAGGAGGAGGAACTAGAGGACGATGTAGAGGGCGAGCAGCTGGAAGGCGGGTACGAGGATAATGGGGTAGAAATGGCACAAGAAGCCAATGAGGACGAACTGTTGGGTGGCAAATCGGACATTGAGCAAGAGGGCCAAGAAGAGCTCACCGAAGCAGATGCTGCTGCCGCTTTGGCAGAAGAGGCTCCAGAGATTCAGGAAGACTTGCCACAAGAAGTAGAACAACCAGTGGAGCCAGAAGCTGAGACTCCCATGGAGCAAGAGCAAGGACTTGAGCAGCAGGAGTTGAAGGAGGAGGCTCCACCCCCCGTGGAGGAGAAGGAACCACCTCCCGAGGTGAAAGTTGAAGCAGCTGAGTCAGATGTCAAACAGGAGACTGCGGATGTCAAGATGGAGGCAGAGGAGGCCAAACCAGAGGTCAAGGAGGAAAGTGGCGAGGAGACCAAACCGGAAGTCAAGGAGGAAAGTGGGGAGGCTGGTGCTCAAGCTGAGACGAAAGAAGGTAGGTTGTTTCAGATCTTGCCCACTATCTGGGAGTGATGTCACAAGTATTTTACTCATTGGGGAACCGCCACCATTGGGCTAGATAGCTCAATTGGCAGAACACCTGAACGGCAATCTTGAGGTTTCCGGTTCAAACCCCGCTCCAGTCAATTGCTTTGTTCAACTTTGAAAATGAAAAGTATTTTTTGCAGTTTCTATTCCAGACTGGAGCTGGTTTTGAAGAAATTCAAGGCGGTCTGTAGCAAGGATGCCTACAGTGTTGGAAGTCGGGGCTAATGTGCATAAAGCTTGGTGAAATATCCCAGATGTTTAAACATTGAGGAAATTGCTAATATTTTTATTTTTTTAACCTGCCGTTGTAATTTTCCCAGACAAAAAAGAAAGCCCAGCCAAGACTGATGACAGAGAGAGGGAGAGGGACTCTCGTGACAGAAAGCGAGACCGGGAACACGATTACCGAGACAGAGGCCGCCATGACCGCTATAGAGATCGCTCGCCCAGAAGAAGGTATATTCAGTTCGCTGTAATATTTGTGTCAGCCAGCGCAACATTCCAAGTATACTGTTGTGCTTGTGTTGTTTTGTTTGTCATCTATTGAGCGAAGAGTTGTACATTTTCATCAGTTGCAAGCCAATCATAAGTCAAGTCAAAAGTCTTATCCGAATAACGGGGATGAACAAAGACACTGTTAACCCTAACCTTTCCAAATGCTCCGAAATCCTCTTTGCAAAATGGACGATTTCACAGAATTGAGGCTATATGGCAAAAATGTTTGGCTGATTTTGGAGGATGCACTGTGTCAAGGTCTTAGGCTGGACCCTGTGTTGTGTATGCTCAGCCGTGATTAATTTAGACCTAGATTACACTGAACTCCTCTGTACTGCTCCAAGATGTCACTGGCTCTGCCTCAACACATTGAAAGTGATTGGTGGTGGAGGATTTTGGAGGATTGAGTCAGTCAGTGTTTCCCCTGGCTAATGAACTGAGCGAGGTGGTAGGCCTACAAATACAAATTGATGATTGAAACAAAAGTTACGAAGTCTGCAAACTGAAAAGAATGCAGCACTCATGAAAAAGTGCGATGATCCATCTACACATCCAACTTGTGAGTTCTAAACACTCATAAATTACACAAAATTTTTTTTTTTTTTATTAGTATTTCCTTTTATTGCAAATTTTCACAGTGAGGTGGTGATATTGGCAAAAATTGAGCAAGGTGGTCACTGAAAGTAGCGAGGTGGGCCGCCTCACATTTGATTGGGCAAGGGAAACGCTGGAGTCCGTATGCAATTTTTACATATGGAAGCAGTTGGAGGATTTTGCAGGATTGAGGTTGCATCTTAGTAAAAATGCCTGGGGAGTTAGGGTCAACTCTTTGTTGCAGTTTATGGTAGGAGCTTGCGATGACGAAGTGGAGGTCCACAACATCAAGTAGAGACCCCATGAACAGCTAGTTAAAGCTCAACTTATTGTGTTTTGTATTTAATTAAAGGGAAAATACAACATTTGCAAACATCAAAAAACGAAATGATCAAATTATCACAAAATATCTTACTGGATTGTTAGGGAATGACAGTCAAAAGCATCCTGTAAAATCGTGGCTCCTGGTGTTCTGACATTTTCAAGAAAACTTGTATTTTTCCAACGCTGGTCAGCCGACCAGCGTTGGAGAAAACTGGCTTTTTTCAAAAACTGTTTTAATTTTTCATATTTAGTTATTCTGACTTTTCTTTGCAATTGATCACATACCTGTGAAGGGGTACATACATTCTCTGACCTTACAATTCCCCAAAGTGTATTAATTGCTTCGTTTCATCTTAAGTGGGGTCAGGGAACCAGACTACAAGAACATGATAGGTTTTCTTGGTTTTTCCAGCATCTACAAGCCCAAAACATGAAACAAGTCAGTTAAACATAATTTTATATAACATACTAATCCTCCAAATCTATTTATTTCTGAAAATTGCAGCAAAAGCAGATGTTGTACCTTCCCTTTAAAGTTAACCATGTTTACCCTGCCTCAATTTTAATATCTAAATCTCACAGTTATTTCTGTCATTAATGCCCGAGTGTCCTGTCTTGCATATTTGTTTCCAGAATGAAATTAAGTTCACAGTTTATATTCACCTTGGCTGATTTGTTCCATTCATTTTTAGGACGCCTTCACCACCTGTCATGGAAGAAGATGACGACATTCCTGAAACTACCTGCGTTCTTAGCAAATGTAAGTCACTCTTGACATACACTACTGAGTCGGAACTTTCAACTTTAATACTGCAGTAAAGTAATTGTAAATTAACAATATAAACCCATTATAAAAAAAACCAACTCCTTTTGCCTGAATTTTTATGGAACAAATTATACAAGCCTTTGTTTTCCCTGCCTGTTTTCTGTAGACATTTCCGACTTGAACATCAAGATTGCAAAGGATGGAACCTCAGCCCAGCCTCTCCACACGGACGGCTTTGCGTTCCTTTGGGGCGGTGTCAAAGCAACGCACGGCTTCAACAAGGGAAAAGTGTGCTATGAAGTCAAGGTACATGTCACACTGAGGCCATAGTCAGCAACAACAAAACAAATACAATTTTCGAACAGTTCCAGACTGCTGTGATGTAATATTGCTCTTCAATGGACAACTTTCTCCTTGACCCAGTCTCTAATTTATTACATGTCATTATTGTTTTCAGCTGGAGGAGCATTTGGATGTGAACCATCTTCCCTCGGAAGAGGTCAACAGGCACGTCATTCGTGTGGGCTGGTCCACCGATGAAACCTCCCTTCAGCTGGGTAAGTAGGCTGTGTCGGCCTCCATACACTGTTTGCAACTTGATGTGAAGTCCTCACATGTAACTGCGACAATGGCATTCCATTGCTATTGCTCTGTTACTTTCGGTCTAAGTTGTCATTGATGTGACTTCGAACTGCCATTTGATTATCAATCATCCAGATGTATTCATATGTTAGCACATCCACACTCCAATACTTAAAGGAAATGTAACACAAAAAAGGAGTTATGGACATGATACACAGAGGGTTGGTTCATGACACAAATGAGGCAATAATTGGAATGCCTGGACACTCGTATCCTCCACCATTTTTCATCAACGACAACTGGGATGGCTTGGACATGTTTTGTATAAATCTGATGAGTTGAGCCCTCAGTCCACATTCAAGCAACCAGCGCATTGGAAATGGATAAAAGAGGTCTTTCTCAAATGTCTTATATCCAGTGTATTACCAGGCTCATCAGCATGGCTCATCACCAAGAGAGATCGCCGCTGCCGCTAAAGATAAAGCAAAATGGACACAGATTGTGACTGACTGCAGTGTGGTCGCTTGATGTGACGATGATGGTTTAATTTGTTCCCTTTTGTTTTCCTGTGTTCAGGTGAGGAAGCATTCTCATACGGATACGGTGGCACGGCCAAGATATCCGTCAAGTGCAAGTTCAGTAACTACGGTGAGAAGTTTGAAGCCGGAGACGTGATCACAACATGCCTGGTAAGATCATGAGAGATTTAATAGTCAACCCCTGATTATCCCTAACCCTCTTGAATCCCCTCAAAATCCACTAGGAAGTGTTTGGAGCAGTTTTGTAGGATTTAGGACGGTACGCCCAGCCACCATTTGTTTGATCGAATGTGCCCATTTGTCTTGTTTTCAGTCGTGAATATTTGGAGAATTAACCCTAACCCCTTAGGGTATCTTGGATAGAAACCCTGCTGAACGCAGCAACATGCAACACTTGTCAAAATGACAAGCCTGCTCAGTGTAGCAGGATCCATCAGGTCGAAAATCTCAAGGCCAAACTGAGCCTGTGGTCACCAACTGCAGCAGGATACAACTGTGGCATTGTTCAATGGGACTAGCTCTCAATGTTTCAGAATTGGAAGTTTATGCAGTGGTGTTGATGGCTCAGTGCAAGGTCCCACAGACCTTTACACCTGATGCACTATGTTGCATCTGGAGTAACTTCTTCATTTTTCTTGTCCTGGGGCTTTCATTGAATCTAACGGAGTATTACTTCTTTGTTTCTTTCTTGCCCAGGACTTTGAGGGAGAGAAGCCCACCATCTCCTACAGCAAGAATGGTACCGATCTGGGAGTGGCCTTCACCATCGATGATGACCTGGAAGGCAAAGCACTGTTCCCTCACTTGCTGCTCAAGAACACATCCATATCGGTCAACTTTGGACAGAAGGTAAATAACTCGAGGGAACGCAACCGGAAGTCCCACTCCCTTCTAAAAAAAACCCCAGCCACACACATACAAAAATAAGCTATAAATTGTGGTTGTGTCCGTCTCTGGTTGACAAACTCAGCTAAACCATCACAGCAGTCAAAATTAATCAAGTGACTGTTTAAAACAGTTCAGAATTCCTTTGTTTTTATTATTATTATTATTATTTTTAATTATTTCTGGCAATAAAATACCAAGGATTCCTCAAAAACGCCTTAGGCACTGTAGCTAGCAAGCCTGAAGAAACCTGTGGAGAACAGACTAAAGGGAAGAAATTACAGTTTAAGACGTGGGAGGAAAAGCCCAGAAGAACATTCTGGGGAAAACCCACGGAATCAGGCAGGGACTGAAAACCCAATCCGCATATTGGCCCAGGATTCGAACCCGGGACACAGCGGTGGAAGGCGAGGAAAGTACCGCTACGCCAACCTGACTCCGCCGTGTTAATTTGATGGAGCCATGCTTTGACTGGAGGTGATTGATATGTACCTACCAGTTACCTCTTTTGTCAGTTGAGGGGATTTGACTAGTCACAGTGTTCACATGAATGTGATCCGACTGGTTTTTTGTTTACTAGTCTGTGTACAAATGCATGACAGGGGAAGTGGAAGACATTTTAGTTGTCCGTGACACTTCAAAAAATAGGAGCGTTTGTGATATGCATATACTTGAAGTATTCTCTTTCACTAGCACCCCTCCTTAAACAGGACAGGCTTATTGCAACCCTCTGTGATGGATTTGTCTAACCTTTCATGTGCAGGAGGAGCCTTACTTTCCCACACCGGAAGGCTTCACTCTAATTGGTAATGTCCCCGTTGAAGACCGTGCCCGTGGGCCTCTCCCTCCAGCGACCAAGAAGGACTGCGAGGTAGGACACAATACAAATAAATATTTAGCATATTTTGGAATTTTTTCCCCCAATACAAATAAATATTAAGCAATATTTTCGGATTTTTTCCACCTGATTTTGACGAGTGCAGCAATTTTTGACCCAGTCCGCGTTTCTTTGGCCTGGGACTTGGTGTGTCATTCTTGTGTGATTCATTTTAAATTATAGGTTGAACAAAGAAAGTTGATCAAAGAAATTGACTGGAGCGGGGCTTGAACCTGTGACCTCTGGATTACCATTACGGTGCTCTACCAACTGAGCTATCCAGCCTTATGTTGACGGTTCCCAATTTTGTCAGTGTTTTTGTTCAAGGCCAATATTTTTTTTATTCTTGTGGCTTCAGAACAGTTTCTTTCCGAACTGTAATGTGTTCGTACAAAAACACCAACAATTGTTTCCTAAAAAAAAAAATGCTAACAAATCTTGTTGGGATGGGTGGTGTCTTTTTCATATATTCCGTGTATTTTTATATTGGGACAAGGCCCCAAAAAACCCGAAAACAGAAACAAACCCCAAATTACATGTTATCAATTTTTTTTTTAATTGTTATCAAAATTTACTAATTAGTCATCTTCAATCTCTCCCCCCCCCCCAATCGAACCCAACTACATCTGAATTTGCTTGAACATGTCACTAATGCCCGTGGACAATGAATATTATAACTAGTCATTCTTAAACCGAATTTCTTAGACGCACTCCTTCCTCTTTTTCCTGACTGATCAGATTCTGATGATGATAGGCCTGCCAGGCGCCGGCAAGTCCACCTGGGTGGAGAAATATTGCGTGGAACACCCCGAGAAGAAATACTACATCCTGGGCACCAACCTGATCATGGATAAGATGAAGGTAATGAGCATTTGCAAAACAAAGACAAGAAACTTGGGTGAAACAAAAAACAAAAACCCAGACTGAGCAATAGTTGACGGGGCTTACTCTTAAGGCTGCAGTACATTTCTTTTTTAAGTAGTAGCTTGTTAATTAAGTAACACCCTTAATGTAATTGTATATTTCAACTGCATAGATTTATAACTGTTTTCATGCCTTGATAAGTCACTTTTTAGAACGATGCAATGTCAGCAGTTTAAGTCTTCATCAACTTATAGATTAGGGGATGATAGTGTGTATGTAGTGAGTACATAAATAGTTTGTAGACTGTTGTGAATTAACAGTGGAAAAAGTAGGGAAAGAAGTAGTTGCGTTTCGCTGCTTTAAATATTCAAAGTTTTTGCATCACAGAAATTCATTTTATCAGCCAGTCTTTATAATGGTTCTCCCTACATTGTGACGATCTCAGTGGATGCGTCAGAAATGTTAGAAGTGGATAAGCGAACTGATCCGTCCTGATTTCAACAAATTTTCACCCATTGGGTTATTCATTATTTTGCGAAGCACTTCAAGTTTGCTACTTATTGCTGAGGCAGTTTCTGCCCATGATGTCGCACATTTGAACAAGTTAATATTCAAACAAGAGGAAGAAATCGTTGCCCTTCAAGACCAGCAACGCGAAAAAAGTTAATATTCTTTAAAATAAAAAGCTGAAATTCCAGTCAACTTTAGGTGTGCAGAAAATTTTTACTCGGCCTGATTGGGCAACTATGAACGAATCAGAGTACAGCTTCTGCATGTCGGGAGACTTTGTAATGAGCATTACAGAATGAGAACGGAGCATCAATTTCTATCAAATTTGAAGCAACTAGGTCCCGGTTATTGACAGTAAATTTTAAAAAATCCCAATCCTTGAAAACGTTGGAATTATACCTTACAGCAGACGCTGGAGTACCTCAGAGAATTCAAGAAGCTATTTGCAAGTCTCAGTATGTATTGATCAATCCTCCGACAGTCCTCCTTTTTTTCCCCGTTTGCAAAACGAAGTTTCCATTCTATACTGAAAATCAACTACAAGTGGCATTTGGAAGGAACTAAAGTTTTTACTTTCATAAAAAAAACCGTGAGCCCAGTTTCGGAAAATTGGCTGTGCAGATTTTGAAGGTACACATGTACATGCACATCAACAACACTGTCATGTTACACTTTGTTCAAAATGAATGTGTTATTTTAGTTTGTCAGACTTTAGTATTCATTTTCAACTGATGGTATAGAAATGCAATGATATTGATATAATTGTTTAGTTTAGATATAACTCGCACAGTTGTTCATGTAGGTAATAAACTCATTTGGATGTGAATTGCAGCCTTAGTGTAAGCCCCAACGCCTTGCTTTCAGTCTCACGTTGGATGAACCCTTTTGTCGTAAAAGCACTGTAACGAAGAACCGTAAAGAACGCAGGTTGTCTGTTAAGATGTATTATGACTTATAAAGCAAATGACATAATGTACAGGCTGTTCAGCCTTTATCCTACACAGATACCGGTCGCTGTACCACAGCAGTGATATAACCCTCCACGCTGCTAGATGTTACGTTGAGTGGGGCCAGCACAGATTATGACAAGAGTTACATAGGAAACAAAGCACAAACAAAGCAATGAGATAATGTAAGTAGATTTTCAGAGAAGGCCCTCGAGAAAGTCGCCGAAGGGCATCGTCAAACTCAGCAAGGTGCTGTAAGTTAGTCTCTACGACTTTTCAAGAAAAGCTCCTCTTGTAGTCAGTTTAGCATGTGCATAACCCATTCCCTTGCAGGTGTAGCTAGTGTGTAATTGATACACACTTTGTAGGGTTCTGGGGTTTTTGTGTATCTAATGAGTTCAACCCCCGAAAAATGATCTGTAGGTGATGGGCCTGTCCCGCAAGCGCAACTACCACGGCCGCTGGGACAGTCTGATGGACAAGGCCACCAAATGCCTGAACCGGTTCTTTGAGATGGCGCCACGTAAGAAACGTAACTTCATCTTGGATCAGGTGAGTGGCAGAAACCAAATCCTTGCTTTTTTGTCTGTTTTGATACTTGATTTAACATTGCCTCGTGTTCTGCTAATGTTGGTGATGCACTCAGTATTGTAGTATCATTAGGTTTTCCTGAAGACTGATTCTGCTGTAGAGATACTTGAACCGACTTACCCTGTATCGTAGGGTGTAGATTGTAGCTCTTCAGAAGGAAATTTGCAAGTTACAGGATATTTTTGTATATTGTGTTGTGGATGTAATTTATACTGTACTTCTTTATTTTACACCATTGTTACTTAAGAACTGGGTTCTGAATGTATTGTCCAAGAAAACCATCTTTACAGAGAGTTGTCTTTTATCTTGGAATGTACGTGTATATCTTAAGATAAAGTAAGGCCTACAAATTTTGTCAACTGAAGAGCACAAAAATTGAAAGCCAGGAGCCATATGTATTATAATGCTAAGAAAGAAAAAAAAAAAACGTTTGGGAAGAAAGTGCCAGTCACCAAAGCAAGGAATATCTGTGAGAAGTCAATTGACACAAAAAAGATTGAATGAAATATGGAGCTTATACTTTGGAGGCAGAATTTCAGAAATAGACACAGACACAGGTGCTAGTAGCAAAAGTTGGTGAAGGAATTAGTGGCAAAAGGAATAAAGAATATACATGTATGAAAGTTAATGCTGAGCTGACAACGAATATTGAGGAATCATCGTCGTTTGTTTCGTCTTCATCTTTGAAATGTTATTTGATTGTCGTACTGTTTCTACAAGAAATTCTGAAGCTAGGCAGTGCCAGCTGAATCAAGTTTATTGCGGACCATATCATCATCCTCCATGTAAAATTAAAGCAGAACCAGAACCAGGAATTCTCTGTCGTTACGTCTTCACAAATGGTCTTGGTGTACGTTCATGCATGTACTCGTTTTGAAACTCCTGAAAGTCAGCATAGTATTACTGAAGGTTTTTATAGTCTTACCCCAAGATCAATATGATATATATACTGGTATGTATTGCTAAGGCCAAGTAGTTCTTTGGATTGTCCTCATGGATATAATAATGGTTCAATATCGAGAATCTTGAATCTTGAAGTTTTCATTGTACGTATGTTGTATTAATCCGTGTAGAGTTTTGCTCAGGTTATTCAAGTTGATTCTACTTAATACTTCAAATGGATTTGTACAGTTTGGTACTTTGGTGTAATTATTATATTTCTGCTACTTGAAAATGTTTTAAAGTAATGATTGTAATGAATTTGTCTTAGTGTGATCTAACCAAATTTGACATGATTGTTTTTCCTTCCAGCGTAAGGTGAGTTCAGGAAGCTAGTAATCATAGTTGGATTCAGAGCACTGCATAAATAAGTTGTACTTCACAAAAACTGATGTTTGTAATCCATGTTGTGGACTTGATCATTGCAGAGAGAGCCGAAGTCGTCATATCCTGCCCGTATTTTTCTTTAATTGAGAGCTTCAACCTTTCTCATTTATTACTTCCCCCCCTATACACAACCTGGGGCCGTCAGACCAATGTCTATCCCTCTGCCCGCCGACGAAAAATGCGACCATTTGAAGGTTTCACCAGCAAAGCAATCGTAGTAGTCCCCACTGATGAGGAATTTCTGAAGCGAATTGAAAAACGCACAAAGGACGAAGGCAAGGATGTACCCGAGAGTGCCGTTATGGAAATGAAAGGTAGGATTGATCACCCGGAGAGAAAAACACAAACTCCGCTCAAAACCAGGGAGTGAGAGAGAGAACCAGAGGGACTCTCGTAGCTTAGGCTTTGTGTAGGGCACCTGCTCGTTAGGGGTATAGCTCTAGGGCCTAGTCAGTAACAAAAACCCCACGCCATTACCTTCGCTCACGCTCCATGTTTTGTTTTTTCCCCCCTCCATGTTACGATTACAATTTCTAGCCAACTTTGAGCTCCCGGAGGAAGGCCAGCTGTTCGAGGAGTTCACCTTCACCGAGCTGAGCCGGGAGGACTGCAAGCCACTGGTGGAGAAGTACAAGAAGGAAGGGCGCGCTGCGGTCGGATCCCAGCCCAAGCGCTTCCGGGATGATCGGGACCGCGGCGGCAATTGGAACCGTGACTTCCGCGGTGGTGGTGGCGGCGGCGGTGGGTTCAATCGCGGCGGTGGTTTCAACCGCGGTGGTGGCGGTGGATTCAACCGTGGGGGTGGTGGATATGATCGTGGGTACAGCCGGGGAGGATACGACCGGGACAGCCACCGGGGTGGATATCGCGACCAGAGACAGAACCGTGGAGGTTAGTGGAGACGGAAATGATACAAAATTTTCTAGAGTGCCAAAAGCGTGTCTTAAAATTTATGCTCAAGGTACATTATGAAGATTTACATGATGGCAGTCAAAATGAAGTTTCTCCACAAAAAAAATCCCAACTTTTAAAGGAAAAAGTTAAAATGTTGAAATGAACCAGGAACTTCGATACTGTCTTCATGATTACATGTATTTGCCGTTGCAATTTCTATTACAATTTTCACTAACGAAGCAGATCAGATTAATCCGTAACGTGTCCAATGCCATTAAAAAAAGACGTAGAATATCTGCTTGTTTCCAAAATGTGCCCGATCTTCGAACTCATGATGGAGTCATTCCATCTTTAACCCTAACGCCCTAAGGGCTCTTTGGGGGTCAAGGACCAAATACCACAGAATACTACATGTGTTGTGCACACTTAAATGGAAAGAAATGCATACTACAGGTTACTACTGAGTAGTATTTTGTAGCTTTAGGTGAGGTTAGGGCTAATGAACGAAAACAAGTAGATTCGGCTGCTGTAGAGAGTTGATGCCTCAGGAAAAGTGGAGTCGTCATTCCTAGCTTTGAATCGATTCTCTTCGATCGGCAGTGGATACAGGGGAAAAGTTGTCCAAGCCGAAAATACATTTGTGTGACATACCGGCTGTCAACTACTATTGCATCCCTTGCCTTGTGTTTTGACAGGGTACGGTGGTGGCGGTGGTGGTTACGGAGGCGGTGGCTATGGCGGCGGTCACCGCGGTGGCAGCAGCGGCGGCAACTACAGGGACAACCGCAGCGGTGGGGGCGGCTACGGTGGGCGAGGTGGTGGAGGCAGCGGCGGCTATGGTAACAGAGACAGCGGCGGTTACGGCCGGAGGGATTCCGGTGGGTACGGCAGTCACGGAGGCAGCGGCTACGGTGGTGGGGGAGGCGGGGGTAACTACGGCAGTGGTAGCTACAACAGGCGCGATCAGGGATCCGACTACAACAAACAGGTGAGACATTTCTGCCTGCTCACGGAGATTTGATGCCAACTGTGCCCAACGAGGTACTTTGCTGTTACAAGTCAAGTAAACGTATCAGGCCGGCGTTTATCTCCAGTTTCAGTGGCATGAAATGACCGAGAATATTTCTATTCTCCCGGGATGGGATGCAAATCCATCGTGGGTTACTCCCCAGCTAATGCTGGTACCCTTTGAAACTCCTGGGTGGAGAGAGGCTAGTGGGGTGAAATGGCTTACACAAGGACACAACATATGACCAGCAGCTGGATATGAACCCCTGACACTCTGATCATGAGTCACAAACCCTAACGATTGGGCTGCACTCTCCCTTTGGCTTTAAAAACGCATAAAATATCTAATACTGCCGAAACTGAGTCAATAGAATTTCCCCAAAAATGTTAGAGGGCCTGACGTTTCGGCTTAACAAGACCTTTTTTCAAAGGCAAAAGGTAATAAGAATCAATGCAATTTTAGTAAAAACGGGATCTTTCTCACTGTGCCAGGCTTAAAACTGAAGACCATGTGCATGACTGCAGTAGGTACAAATAGACACACAAACTGCTAAGATAAACTGAACTAGCTGAGTCAATCTTTGAGATTTCATGTGCAGAGTTCAAATTCTTTTAGAACCTTGGAGTGGATTTGCAGTGCAAAAATTTACTGAGCATACCGTATGTTGGAACAAATATTATAAACAGTGGCAAAAAGATCTGATCTCCGCCTGTAAGTCTACCCTCTTGACTTACACACGAAATATTCAGTCATCACATGTGATGCGATCAAGCTACATGAGTCGTTTGTCGGGAATTTTCATTTGGAGATACAGGCCATAAAAGGGCCACTTCATCACATCACTTCATCACATCTCTTGGTGTTCGGACTTCCATAATTTTTTTACTAAAGATGGTATCAACATGCGGTTTTCACAGCAGTTATGCTGAGATTGTGCTCTTTTCAAATCTGTAATAAAAAAACACAAACGACTCATTTAACTTAATCGCATCACATATCTGTCGGCCTTTTATCCCCTGAAACAAACTTCACAAGTCGACGTTGTTTCTTTTGGTACTGTACAGAGTGGTGGCTACGGTAGTTCCCAGGGTGGTTACGGCAACCAATCCAGCGGCTATGGCTCGTCCAGCGGCAGCGGCGGTTACGGCAGCGGCAACACCAGCACCACTCCCTACAGCAGCACCGGCACGGCAGCGACGGGATACGGCAACTATGGAACTGGCACGGCCAGCCAGGCAGCCGCACCGGCCGGCCAGCAGCAGGGCTACACCAATCAGCAGTACCAGCAGTACGCCCAGCAGTACCAACAGTACCAGCAGTATTACCAGAGCAACCCGCAGTATGCCCAGCAATACGCCCAGTACGCCCAGCAGTATGGGAACTACGGTGGGTACGGGCAGGGCTCTGGGGGTACGTCTCAGTAAATCCAATCCGCTGACAAAACCACAAACAAAACAAAAACCTTTCAGGTCGGCTGTGTAAACACTGGTTTGTGCTTGGTGAATTTTTTAGAGCAAAGGCAAATGAATTTGGCACAATGAACTAAAGAAATTCTTACATAAAAATTCTCTTCCATGGCTTTTGCATGAAATTGAGTTTTCGTTCATATTCATCGTGAATGCCATGTTAGCAAAATTTCATACCGTGTTTTCTCGCCGTGTAAAATTCATGTTTCTGTTTGCCTTTTGCACCAAGTATGAATCAGCCTTAAGACAGACTTCTTTTTTTAAAAACCTACAAATGCTTTGAAAGAAATAATAAAGAAGGAACCTTTTTAATTGGGTATAAATGTAGCGTTTTCGTAGTGTAAGCTGGTGTAAGTTCCAATTGTGGTAGAATTTGCCGGAGAGAGAGGGGGACACGTCGTTTTAAAAAATGTAAATATATTTTTAAAATTTTGATTCCCTGTTCTTGATTGCACCCTTGTGTGATTCAGGTCGATATATTCATCAGGAAAAGTCTTGTTTTAGATTGAGTGTGTCACAATCAACTTGACTGTGATTCCTGAACTGTGTCTAGCACATGTACGTTATTTCTTACCAGTTAATGTAGATTAAGTAATTTTTTTTTCTTTAGGTAACCAAATTTTATAGACATCGAGAGGGAAAAAAAAGAAAAAAGCCAGAAATTTAAGGCATCGAGGTAAAAAACATGTGAAGTATCACTTGCGCGTTTGCGATGTAGACTTGTGCCATTTTGTTAAATGTAAAATTTGTGCTGAAATCATAACGGGAGAATGCAAAATTAAACAGGCGGTAACTCAAGGTTTACCTCGGTTTACCAGGGTTTTGTGGGTTACCTCGGGGTAAAACCTCGAGCTACCCCCTGTGTAATTTTGCATTGTTCCCTAAATATTTTCTATTATTTCTATACAGGCATGTCTTTGGAAACTGCAACCGTCGACTTTTTATTAAAAGGCCTGCTTTTTCATTTGCTGTTTTTGGCTTTATTCTTTAGATATTTGGGAATATGGCGGCGAGTGGCAGGTTTATACAAATAGAGCAGTCTAGTTATTCTACAGGCAAGTTGCTTTGCTCTAGCATCATTTGCATGGATGCTGTACAATCTATTGATGTGTTCTTTCTGGAAATATGTTGTGAAAGTGTTGCTTTGTACAACTGAATTTTCACGGCTTTTAGTCCATAGGCAGATCAATTCGTCGTGTCAGTGCAACAAGGTTGCATGTCCATTCTGCAACAAAGTCGTATCTCGCGCGTATACGCTCCGTGCATCAACGTCGTATCTCGACGTCCATTGACTTTGCCTGTACATCCGGGTTATTTTAAGCCACATACGACCTTATGACATTCTGAAACTCGCGTTTTGCATTTATGCCATTTTAGGAGATACGACCTTGTTGCACTGACGCAACGAATTGTTCTTTAAAGGTAGAGAAGACCATTTACAGCTATCCAAAAAGTAACTGCCCAAATTAGTGTGAAAAAATTGATAGTAATGACGCTGAACTCCCTGTGAAATCATTCCTTCTGGCGTGCTGTCATTTTGAAGAAAACAATAAAAGGTCATTTGCAAAGATGTTTCAAGTGACACATTTTTGGAAATTTCTGTGAATTGGCCCCCATGCGTTCAGATTTGTAGCGTGTTTGCAATTGGGCGAATCCGTGAATGGGCGACAACCGGCTGATTGAGAATCATGTCCCGAATGCGGATTTGGGGATTGTGTCACAAGAGGGCGCAATTCAAAAATTTGACTCGGCAACTTTGAAATTGAAATCAAGATCCAGAATATTGTGTTAATGTTTGTTCTGTTTTCTAGCAAATATACAGCATTCATAGTGCTAAAACTTCATCAGGTCAAACACCTTTTGGTTCAAATGAAAACAAAATTACAAATGGTCTGCTCTGCCTTTAAACTTATTAAATATATAAAGCTGTACAATTTCTGCCTAACAGCTGCTAAAGCACACCTAGAAAATATGACATTTATTTTGTTAAAACAGTGACGATTTGTTCCTCTCATGCAAGACCTTTTGTATATCTCTCGGATAATTTCAACACTAGGTTTCATTGGAATATGTAAATGTGAAGTAGATAAGAATTTCTTAATTTTTTTTGTGTTCCGTGATTGACATGTTGTGAGGTTGTTTTATAGGTTTATTTTAAGAGTGAAGTGATATTCGGAAAATTTAACCTTTACAAAGATTGATGTTAGGTTTATAATTATGTGAAATTGAAAATAACAGAGGAATACCTTTAAAGAACACACACGCGTGGAATGGTTTAAACAGTGCTGAAAATCTGCATGTTGCTTGTACATGTACTTTCAAGCATTTGCACATTTTCTGGAACTTGAGTCTATTCTGTGCCATAAATGGTTTTCAGCATTGTTTTCTCCATCTCTTGCTTTCTTGACTTGGTTATGCAATTAAGTGTACATTGCTTTTCAGACCATCATTTGGTTCAAAGACTTTGATGTTTAGAAGAAGAAAAAAAAACATGTAGAACTCAGGGACACCAACAAGTTCTGATTCTGGTTTTTGTAAAGAGCAGAGAGAGACGTAACAAAAACAGTCAGTCCTGTAAAGTGTTTATTTCTGATATCATAACTATAATGCAGCCTTTTTTTAAATGACGAAAAGGAGAAAATTGAGGAATAAAAGAACGATCATTTTGAGATGCATCCTCAATCAAGTCAAGCGTCTGAATGTGTTATTCACTTTCCCGTTTCACTTCATCCGTGCTACTCCCAGGGTTCATGTCTTTTATGATAGGATGTTAAAGGTAAAATACAGCATTTGCAAAACATAAAAAGAAATTTAACTGCCAAATTATCAAGAAATGCCTTGCTTGACTGTAAGTGAATGATAATCTCAAGCATCCTGTGAGATCATAGTTACTTGTGTGCTGTCATTTTATCGTTGGAGAAAAGCCACACTGTTTTTTGCAAATACTGCCCCCAATGTAAATATTTAGCACTTTAAAATGTGCCCCAAAAATCCGGTGGAAACCAGTCGCAGACAATAATACATTGCATACCGATTCGGCTGGTAACCGGCTGTTGCTACGAACAAAGGTTTACCTCCCTTAAATTTTCTTTTTGGTAAACAGCTCTACGAAATTTGTCCCCGGTCTATTTCAAGAGTAAACAAATAATATTGACGCATGCGTGTAGGCCCTACATCTCGCTAAGAAATAAAGTGGTTGTAAACACAGAATAAAGTGAACTTAAAAAAATCAGAGGAAAGCATAGTCAGAGACGGCTCAAGTTTACAACTGACACACAAACACGAAATGGCATTACAACATCATGTTTTTTTTTTTCCCGCCACATATTACATATTTTCTTAATTACTGAACTCGATATAAAGGTAAACCATAAAGCCATTTAACTTGTAAACCAATAGTATACGTTCGGGTATATCTGCTTAATTATGCTCAGAGCAAACATTTGTAATGATTTCACATAAGTATAGCTTATGCTTTTGTTGTGTTCATTAACAAGATAAGAGGTAATTTACATTTGCCAAACATCAAGAAACAACATTAACAGTATTACGAAATACCTTACTTGACTGTAATGTCTTAGGCATCGTGTGAAATCATGGCACCTGGTGTACTCTGATTTTCAATAAAGGTGCCGATTTTGTATCAATTTCCAATACAAATATGTTCAGCTGCACTATCGTTGGGGAGAAACATGACTGTTTCAAAGACTGCACCCGAATTTACCAAGTCCACATTTTGTTGCAATCGGTTACACATCCGTGATGAACGGGTGCAAACTAGCTATAGTCTGGTTCCCTGACCTGCCATTTTCCCGACGCCTATAAATTGCTCCGTTTCGTCTGAAGTAGGGTCAGGGAACCAGACTACAAGAACAGCATATTGTTCTTGGCTTTTCCAGCATCTATGAACACAAAATTTCAAACAGGTCAGTATATAAAAATATTTGCTAAAAAATTACTAACCCCCAAATCCATCCATGTCTAAAAATTACAGCAAAAGCAAATGTTGTATATTTCCTTTAAAGACGTGCTTTTTCTGGCGGTAACAGACGTAATGGCGTCACGTTTTGTGCTTCTTATGGGTTGAAAAAAGTACATCTGTAATCAAGCAGTGACGTCATCATATGTCTCAGGTCTATCCCGGTGTATGTGGGTTTTTTTCAAGTGAAGACCAAAACCACACAGAATTTAGGAAAACAAAGGTAAAGGACCATTTGCTTTTTACCCTTTTTCGTCTGAAGCAAAACTTGCTCAAAAATCTGAAAAAGGGAGCTTAATAAACAACTTATTGAAGTTTCATCTCAGCTCAGTGGATACATTTACTTTATACATTTTGAGAAAACAGAGAAGATGTACGCACAATTTGTGGGTCTCGTAACTGATTTGCATTGCTATGGCACGTACAAAACTGTGGCTGTGGGCCGTCAATGACCACCTTCAATAAAGGTTTTCTTCTCAATGATACCATATTAGGTGGATTAATTTCACCAGACCTATATTCACTTTGAGCAAGGACTTTCTCTTTAAATCGATATAGGTATTCGTTTCCGGCTAATTTCAAATGTTCCTATACTTGCCTCTAATTAATAACTAATGCGTGACTAGAGCTGTCATTTTGCTAATACATTCACAGTACATATTAAAAAATAATATTTGCTATAACTATAAACTTTTATAAAGCAATATTCATTGGTTAAAATACGCTGTTCCGATATATGAAATGATTGGCCCCTCACCGCTTGATACATATGATATAAAACTAAAATTACATTATACTTCTAAGATATGACATAACATCATTATATTCTGCGTTCAGCGACAAGTAGATCACGGTATTAATAATGTACAACATAACAATACCAAACAAAATATCAATAGGTATGCAAAATGTAGCGCGAAGTGTTATAAAAAGGTTTACATGCGAAACGTCATGCTGTATCTCTCCCAAAAGTACTTCGTTTAAAAAAACACCGTAAAGTAAAATTTTGATGTGATTTGCACTCGAAACGAAATAATTCGAGATTCACCGATAATATGCTAATGCTTTCAGGTACAAATGTTAAGATTACACTAGATCAACTGGGTTTTTTTTGTATAGTGAAATTTAGAAATGCATGATGTCTATATATTATAGTGCCTTTGCATGGCAACCATTTTGATGGTGAATTTCTTTTGTCCCACTGGAAACATTTATACATTCATTTTTACTGAGTAATAATAATATATGATAACAAAATATTAAAAATAACAAAAGTATACCTCTCGAAAATGGTCTGAGTGTGAAAAAGGTCTATTATGGTTATTGATTACACAAATTTTATAAATGGTAACTTAACAAGACTGTGTATCTGTCTGTCCACTGATGCATCTAAGGAGGGGCCTAATCTCATATTTGAATTTAATCAACCATCATGATAATCCAAGGCTAGTTTCGATACCTAATTGAGATTATACATAAACATCACTTTTAACAGTTACCAAATTTGCACATTCTAATTTAGAAGTATCACAAACCAAGAGCTTTCTCGATTGTGTTTCAGTCTGATTTTCATTGTACATTTCTTTTAAAACTTGATAAACATGATAAATTTGAGTAAAAAGTTCCAGATTAACATTAAGACCAATGACATTGCTATAAATCTAGGCCTACTTCTAGATAATATTCACTAATAAGTTTTATATATGAAATTAGCTTCAACTCTGAGTACAGTTAAAGGGAAAATACAACATTTGCAAACATCAAAAAATAAAACTACCAAATCATTTTGAAATACCTTGCTGGACTGTTAGTGAATGACAGTGTAAAGCATCCTGTAAAATCATGGCACCTGGTATACTGTCATTTTCAAGAAAAGTGCTATTTTTGTATCAATTTCCAACGCTGATCGGCCGAAAAAACTGTCTTTTTTTCAAATACTGGCCCTTATTGACCATCGCACTTGTTTGCAATCGATTACACACCTATGAACGGGTACAAGCCAGCTAGACTGGTTCCCTGACCTTACAATTCCCCAATGTATGTAAACTGCTCTGTTTCTTCTTATATGGAGTCAGGGAACCAGACTACAGGAAAATGATTGTTTTTCTTGGTTTTTATAGCATTTTCGAACCCAAAACCTCAAAAAAGTCAGTGTAACTATATTTGCTATGTATTTCCAACCCCCCAATTCCATCCATTTCTGAAATTTACAGCAAAAGCAAATGATGTATATTCCCTTTAATGTTCGTCTTCATTATGATTGGATGGATATAGATTCTAATACCAATACTAAAATGACGAAAGAAAAATAATCTGAACGGACAAGATCGAACTGAATGGCCCGCTTGTATGCGCTTGATGTAATGCTGAAAAATATGATACCGTATTCATTTAGCTTTTTTGAGATAAGGTAGCCACAAAAGGAGAAGGCTATGTGGTTCAAGTTGGATTCAAACCAAATAGCGTACACTTACTGTGGCCACAATGACAGCAGTAGGGCCTACATTTGTAAACTTTGACACAGGGCCGGCCGGCCATACCTAGCGCGTGACGGTGAGACTGACGTGGTACAGTGCATCCTGGGAGGGCGGCAAAACTTCTGCGAGGCAGAACTCTAGGGAATCCGTGAGAGTGTCGAGATAGCCGGCCCATTTATCTATTTCTTCATTGACTGCGCGGTAGATGTCCAACCCTTCCTGGCCAGTCGCGGTGAAAACAGCTTTTTCCTTCAGGTATGTGACGGTGTCCCTGATCTGCTCGTCAAGCATGGTCTGGTCCATGGCCCACTCCTTCACCATTTCATTGCCGTTACTGATGGCGGGATTTATAACTGCACTCTTAGCTCCCGCGCGGAATTGATAGGTAATCAAAGCTTTGTACAGGCTCTTTTTGGTAAGCGTCCCAGCCTTGTGCTCGAGTTTGACGGTCTTATAAAGTTTTGCCATGTCACCAGACTTGAGTAGGGCTGCCTTCCCCACCGCTTTGCTCGTCCAGGGTCCGAACACAAAGTCCAACGCGCTGACGCAGAGGTTTTCCGCAAGGAACCCAAACCAGGAATTCTCCTGGAAGATGTTTCTGCCCTCGACCACGACTGCGTAATCCAGTCTGATGTAGTCTGCGGCCCCGTTGTCCAGAGTTTCCCTCATGCTATCCATCTGGCTGCTAGGAATCTCGATCACTTGCGAAAGATCATCTGCTCCCTCAAAGAAAGAGTCCGCCTCTGTCAACCAGAAAGAGACGCCGGCGGTGTAGAAAGAGTTTATGGACAACGAATCTCCGAACTGGAGAGTCTGACCCTCGTAAATATCTCGTGGTTTGGTGCTGGCGCTACAGAGAGCTGCCGAGTGGATATTGACGGCGATTTCATCGGCAGGCATCCCAAACAGAGACTCCCAGCCCAAGAAGACATTATCGGTGGGATGGGTGGTCAAGGTGACGTTATTCACTCGGACGTTCAGGGAAGAACCATGGCCAAGTTGGCACTGATCAACCCACAGTCCAAACACGACACCAAAGATCAAAATGCCGACAACGACAGAAACACATGTGCAAACTGCTCCTTCCCCCGACATTTTGTGAGGCAAGCTAAGTCGCAGTCAAAAACGAAATGAACGAATGTAGTCGTTTGTCAACAAGCTGTAAGTAAAGAACACAAAGGGGGAAAACAGTCGGTGAAAATTGCAATCCCATAAAACAAAATGTACACA